TTTCCAAAAAAAAAGATTCCAAAAATACAGAATTACAAAAATTCAACAAACAAAGAACAACCATAACCATGACAAAAAAAAACAAACAGAAATGACAATATCCATAACAAGAAAGGAAAAAGAGAAAACAAGAAAAGAAGCAGAAAAAATTTAAAGATATATTATACTTTCATTTAGCCTTCTTATCTTTACCTAGTTCTTTGACTTCCCGCACCTCCCGCTTGCACTTCCATTTAAAAACTCCTTTCAGCAAATCCTTACCCTCCTTTCATTATCTTGACTCAAAAAACTTCATCTATTTATATATAAATATTTTTACAACCTTATCCATCAAATATTCCACACTCTTAATCCCAAAGCTTTTGCCAATACCAGTTATTTTCAATCAGACTTCAATTTAACATTCATTAATTTTATAGTATTTCTATAGATAGACTTTAGAATTTCTTCCAATCTTCTTCCACCGACTCTTCTCCTGGTCACGAGATTCTGCCAGTCATCTCCGCCAGTTCCATATATTCGATTACCTTCATCTGCCATTCTTCCAGAGTGGGGTAAGTCTTGTGTCTTCCAATACTTTGCGATGAGTATTCTTGCTGCTGCTGTTGCATACATAAAAAAAGTTCTGTCTTTCTTTAGCACCAATTGGCCAACAATGCCCAAGAGAAAGGCTTCTGGTTTCTTTATAAGGTATACTTAAATACCTTTTTCAACTCATTATATATCCTTTCCCAGAAGGCCTTAATCTTTGGGCACGTCCTCAAATGTGAAAGAATGTACCTTCAGTTTCCTTACATTTCCAACATTTATTATCGGGCAAATGGTAGATTTTTGCAAGCTTGACTGGGGTCATGTACCACCTGTACACCATTTTCATAATATTCTCTTTTAAAGCATTACATGCTGTGAACTTCATACCTGTGGTCCATAACCGTTCCCAGTCAGCAAACATAATATTATGTCCAATATCCTGTGCCCATTTAATCATAGCAGATTTTACCGTTTCATCCTGAGTATTCCATTTTAGCAGCAAGTTATACATTCTTGAAAGTGTTTTAGTTTTGGAATCTAGCAATTCTGTTTCCAACTTTGATTTTTCCACCTGGAAGCCAATTTTCTATCAAATTATAGACCTCTCTTATTTGGTAATAATGCAACCAGTCTCGCACTCTATCTTTTAATTTTTCAAAACTCTGCAGTTTGAATTTGTCTCCCTTCTTGTTCCAAGATCTCCCAATATTTTGGCCATTTGGCCTCCATATTGGACTTTTTAGGGCCTTTGCCTCCATTGGTAGATAGCCACCTTGGGGTTTTATTCTCAATAAGTCTTTGTATCTTATCCAGACATTGAACAATGCTTTCCTGACAATATGGTTTTAAACATTTTGTGAGCTTTAACCTTGTCATACCACAGATATGCATGCCACCCAAACACATTATTGAAACCTTCTAAGTCCAATACATCAGTATTTTCCAGAAGTAGCCAATCCTTCAACCAGCAGAAAGCTGCTGATTCATAATAAAGTTTAAAGTCTGGCAGGGCAAATCCCCCTCTTTCTTTAGCATCAGTCAATATTTTAAATTTTATCCTGGGCCTCTTGCCCTGCCAGACTTTAAACTTTATTATGAATCAGCAGCTTTCTGCTGGTTGAAGGATTGGTTACTTCTGGAAAATACTGATGTTTTGGACTTAGAAGGTTTCAATAATGTGTTTGGGTGGCATGCATATTTGTGGTATGACAAGGTTAAAGCTCACAAAATATTTAAAAACCATATATGTCAGGAAAGCATTGTTTCAATGTCTGGATAAGATATAAAGACTTATTGGAGAATAAAACCCCAAGGTGGCTATCACCAATGGAGGCAAAGGCCCTAAAAAGTCCAATATGGAGGCCAAGTGGCCAAAATATTGGGAGATCTTGGAACAAGAAGGAGACAAATTCAAATTGCAGAGCTTTGAAAAATTAAAAGATAGAGTGCGAGACTGGTTGCATTACTACCAAATAAGAGAGGTCTATAATTTGGATAGAAAAATTGGCTTCCAGGTGGAAAAATCAAAGTTGGAAACAGAACTGCTAGATCCCAAAACTAAAACACTTTCAAGAATGTATAACTTGCTGCTAAAATGGAATACTCAGGATGAAACGGTAAAATCTGCTATGATTAAATGGGCACAGGATGTTGGACATAACATTATGTTTGCTGACGGGGAATGGTTATGGACACAGATACAGAAGTTCTAAGCATGTAATGCTTTAAAGAAGATATAATGACAATGGTGTACAGGTGGTACATGAGCCCAGTCCAAACATTGCTATGAATATCCTATGCCATTTAATCAGTTGAGATTTTAGCCGTTTCATCCTATATCATTTGACAACAGAATACAATTCTTAATATTTAATTTTGAATCTCTCTTGTTTCAAACCACCTGGCAATAGCAGACCAATCTCTTATCAATATTATCAAAGACTCTATTTAGCAATTTAATCTACCTTCTTGTTCAGATCTCCCAATATTTTGGCCATTTGGCCTCCATATTGGACTTTTTAGAGCCTTTGCCTCCATTGGTGATAGCCACCTTGGGGTTTTATTCTCCAATAAGTCTTTGTATCTTATCCAGACATTGAACAATGCTTTCCTGACAATATGGTTTTTAAACATTTTGTGAGCTTTAACCTTGTCATACCACAGATATGCATGCCACCCAAACACATTATTGAAACCTTCTAGGTCCAATACATCAGTATTTTCCAGAAGTAGCCAATCCTTCAACCAGCAGAAAGCTGCTGATTCATAATAAAGTTTAAAGTCTGGCAGGGCAAATCCCCCTCTTTCTTTAGCATCAGTCAGTATTTTAAATTTTATCCTAGGCCTCTTGCCCTGCCAGACAAACTTAGAAATATCTCTCTGCCACTTCTTAAAACAGTCCATTTTATCTATTATTTGTATCGATTGAAACAAAAACAACATTCTTGGCAATACATTCATCTTGATGACAGCAATTCGCCCTAACAAGGAAAGCTTCAAATTTGTCCATATTTCTAAATCCTTTTTAATGTCCGACCAACATTTTTCATAATTGTCTTTAAATAAATTCCCATTTTTAGCTGTCATATGAATCCCCAGATATTTCACTTTTTACCACTGTTAAACCTGTCTCATTCTGAAACCTCTCTTTTTCAATCGGTGTTAAATTCTTCTCAAGTACTTTAGTTTTAAGCTTATTCAACTTAAAACCTGCCACCTGACCAAACTCTTGAATCAGTTCTAATGCTCTTTTCGTGCTAGATTCTGGCTCCTGTAATGTCAATACAAGGTCATCTGCAAATGCTTTCAATTTATATTGTTTCGCTCCGACCGTTATGCCCTTAATCAGATGGTCCCTTCTTATCATATTTAACAAAACCTCCAGAACAGAAATAAAAAGTAATGGGGAAATTGGGCAGCCTTGTCGTGTCCCTTTCTCTATCTTAATTTCCTCTGTTATCACATTATTAACTATTAATTTAGCTTTTGTTCTGAGTAAATTGCATTTATACCATTTTCAAACTCTTGGCCTACCCCATCCCCTGAAGATTTTTTCATAAAACTCCAAGAAATGTTGTCAAAGGCTTTCTCTGCATCCACAAAGATCAAAACTGCTTTAGTATTGATCTCCTCTTGCAGCTTCTCCAGAATATCAATTATGTTCCTTGTGTTGTCCGAGAGATGTCTATCTGGAAGAAAGCCAGCTTGGTCCTTGTGAATCACTCCTTTTAGCACTTTTTAAAGCCTTTTTGCTAAAATGTCAGCAAAAATTTTGTAATCCACATTTAACAGGGATATGGGCCGGTAGTTCTTAAGCTGTGTCTTTTCAGTCTCGGCCTTTGGTATAAGTGTAATAAATGCATCTTTCCACGACTCTGGCGCTCTTTTCCCCTCTAAGATTTCATTACAAACCTCAGTTAAAGGTCGAATTAACCAGTCTTTCAAAGTTCTGTAATATTTTGAGGTTAAACCATCCGGTCCTGGAGATTTTCCCAACTGCATATTCTGAATGGCACCTTCAACCTCCTGTTCTGTGATTTTATAGTTCAACAATATCTTGTTGTCCTGAGAAATTTTTGAAATCCATTGGTTTTCAAAAGTTGCTCTATCTCGAATTCTTTCTGAGGCCCTTGTGTGTATAGTCGTTTAAAATATCTCTGGAAGCATTTCCTAATTTCTTCTGGATTCTGGATATTTTTCCCTCCACTTCCAAATTAGTAATAGCATTAAGTTTTTGTCGCTTCTTCAACTGCCAGGCCAGCAGTTTCCCCATTTATTTGCCGATTCAAAAGTCTTTTGTCTCATTTGCTTAATTTTCCATTCCACTTCTTGATTTATCAATTTCATATATTGCACTTGGTACAATTTTATTTCCCTCAGAATCTCTTGTGAATTGGGCTTCACTCTCAATTTCTTCTCGCCCTCCTTTATTTTTCCAAAATTTTTTCTTTCTTTACGTTTTGGGCCTTCTTCTTAATTGAATTCTGTTGAATCAGGAAGCCCCTCATAACAGCTTTGCTTGCATCCCAGATTACTCTTTTTCTACAGTTGTATTCAAGTTTATCTCAAAATAGTCCCTCAATGTCTTTTGGGCCTTCTTAATCACCTCTTGATCTCTAAACAAGGTGTCATTCATCCTCCATCGGAAGGAACCAATAGGTGTTAACTTCATCTCCATTCTCACGGCGTTATGGTCGGAGCATGTTTTTGGGCAGATCTCTACCTTCTTAACCTTGGGTGCCAGTCCTCTAGTAGTCCAGATTTGGTCAATTCTTGTCCATGTCTTCTGGGCTTCAGAAAAAAAGGTTCCTTCTCTATCAAGGGGTTCTTAGTTCTCCAAATGTCAATCAAATCCATATTGTCAGTTAGTTCAAAAATGTTTTCGGTAGTCTACCATCTTTAGTAACTACCTCTCTTTGTGACTTGTCCATATTTGTAGAAACCACCCCATTCATATCTCCCATGAAAACAGTATTATAGTCCATATAGTCCATCAAGGTCTCATGCAACTTTTTGTAGAATATAGATTTCCCCTCATTTGGTGCATATACACCTACTATCAGAAATTTTCTCCTTGTACTTGAATTTCAATTGCTATGAATCTTCCTTGTTCATCCTTAAAGACAAATTTTGGTGAGAGGCTCTCCTTTGCGTAAATTACCACTCCTCGTTTTTTTTTTAACTTTGTCTGATGAGATAAATTCTTGGCCCAGTCTCTTATTGATCAATATTTTCCTATGGAGCCTCGTCACATGGGTTTCCTGTAAACAAATTAAGTCCAATTGTTCTTTTTTAAGTATATGAAATACTTTCCTTCTTTTTTCCGGAGAATTCAAACCACAAACATTCCAAGTTAAAAGTTGCAGAGCCATGATGATTTCTTTATTTGCCTCCAACTGCTCCCAATAACTCTTCTTCCTCTGTTGGTGGTTTCGGCTTCACTGTCTTATCCTCTCCCAACGGTGGTGATGTAAGATCCAATCCTGTTAAAGGGGCTTCTGGCTCCAATCCTTTTTGTAGGTCCTCTTGGTAGTCTCTCAAAAAGTTCTGTTTCTCCTCCACAGATTTAATTTTAATTTTTTGCCTCTAAAACTGAAAGATAGGCCTTGAGGAACTCCCACCTGAAAAGATTCTGTTTCCTCTCAGCAACGTCACCAGGTCTCGATAGTTAGACCTAAGCTCCAAAGAAGCTTTGGAATGTCTTTAAATATTTCTATCCTTAAGTCTTGTATTGTCAGTGTATTTTGATAATGTAGGCTCAAAATTTTATCTCGTTCCTCTTTTGATCGCAGGGTAATCAGGCAGTCTCTCACTCTATTTTTCCTTACTCTTCTTCCGAGCCTAAAAGCAGACGTTATCTTGAAATCTTCCTTATCATTCAATTGCCAAAAGTTGGCAAATTCTTGCGTCAGAAAGTCTGCCAGGCTCCTTTTTCAATCTCAGGTACTGCTCTGATCCTTAAGTTGGTCTGTTTCTCCTTTAACTCAAGAAGAGATAACAATTCCTGGTGCGTTCCCAATCTTATGTGGTGCTCTTGAACTTGTTTAATTAAAGGTGGTAGTTTTTCTTCAGCAGCTACCGCCTTTTCTCTGGCTTCCAAAGCTGTTGTTTGGGTTTCAGCAGATTGTTCCAGTAGTTTATTAATCACATCTGTATTTTCATTAGTCTGTCGGGTCAACTTGTCAATACTTGCAGAGTTTTGTCTAATGGCTTCTAGAGCCTCGGCATTTTGTTGACCCAATTTTTCAAAACCTTCATTCACAATTTTAAATAAACTAGCCAATCCTTCTTCCTCCCCTTGTGGTCCAGCGATGGATTGCCTACGCTGTTGCTGTTGTGCAATGTTGCTCTGCTGCCTGCTTTTCCCAGACCTCAGATCTCTTCCTTCCATGGCACTTTATCTAAAAGTCAAGATCACTCTCACAGTCAAAATTGTTTTGTTATTGTACTTTCCCAGGCTGCTGTTAGGTGGAAAATTCCTCAGTCAATTAAAGACTTTTTCCCTTTTGGCCTCAGGGGACACAAGTAATAAAGTATCAAAAATAAAGACTCTCAAACAGCCAAAGAGGCAACTTTTTCCCAAAGTTGTAAAACTGTCCCAAAGTTTCAATTTTGTAAAGTTAAAAGGCAAAAAGATACATTGTCCATTTAGAGTGCTAACAAAGTGTCCAATCTTTCCAAAACCTGGCAGTCTGTCCCCAGGGATTGAGAGGTGGTCTTTTATTTTCTTATTTGCTCTTTAAATTACTCGGAAATAACAGTAAATAACAAGAAATACTATCTCTTCTTCCCCCCCAATCCAATTATGGGGGGGAAAATTTTACATTAGAAGTCTGTGTTTCAGTCTTTTTGGCATTGATTGGTATCGAACTCACACAGTCTTTGCTTTATTCTCTGTACAGACCGGGAGGTGGACTTCCTTTTTACACCATTCCCGCTTCAGCCGAATAAGTTCAAAATTTTTTGTTAATCCTTATAGCGTGAAGGATCTCTGTGCCTATTATAGAACTGTTTACCATTAGTTCCACCTCTCATTAGCTGCCCTGCTTTCTGCCCCACCAGACCCAATGAGCAGTGGCCACCGTTGAGCCAAAGCCCTAACCTATATAAGAGTTTTGAAGCAGGAGAGATTAGTAAGCAAAGAATGTAACTAGATAGATCAATTTCATTGTTGCATGATTTGAAGGTGTTTTGTACAACATTCTAGTAAGAAATGATTCTGGTTCTCTGGCTTAATTTTTATTGCTTTCATAGGAAATAGAAAAGCTTCTGGAGATGGTGATAAATATCCTCTGTAATACACAGAATGGGTAAGTAAAAGTTGTACATACCTTCCTTAAACATGCTTATCTGGAAAAAGTCCGCAAAGCACAAAACGGAGTCTGAGAATATAGATTGCGATATAGTTATAGAAGGATTACAGAACATTTAACTGTCTCTAAAGAATCATTTTAATAGTTATGTCCTTACAATTATTACCTAGAACATTATTACCTCAGTTTTCATAGCATGCTCTCTGCCTTTAGAATCTAATTACAAGTTTTCCTTAGCTCTGCTTTACTAGTTCTTTAATTGTGAATGATCTCAATTTGTCAGTTTCTTTGCTAGTTTTATCCTTGCTCTTGTTATCAAATTATGAAATGTGTTTCTCCTTCTGCCAGTAATCTAGTATCTTTTCACCCCGCCACACATGCATATAATCTGCATGCAGGGCTGCACAATTTCAGTAATTATTCACATTCCATAGACTCTCAGAGGTAAAGGCTGCATTAGAGAAGCACTGCTTTCTGCACCCACAGTAATTAAAGTATTTCACAATTTAGCATGCTGCAGCAGGACTCTTGGAACTCGTATGTGTCAGTCTGTGTAAGACTTCATCAGATGATATGCAGCAAAGTTAAACTAGTAATTCAATACAAGATACCAACTTCATCTGCTGTGATTTTTTCAAGGATTCTTGGACTTGCACCTTCAGAGGTGAGAATTTCTATATGATTTTGCACATTTTTTGTGTATCTGCATATTTTTCTGTGTTCGCCTGAACCAAGTCGCCAGGCCATCTGGAAGAGATTCTGTAAGGAAGCTCAAAAGGAAGGGGAAAAGAGGCTAAGTTTGGTCCCCCTATGTCTGATTGCCTTACTTTACTGTTGCCCAGTAGGCTCAGGAAAAAATATAAAGCCTTAACACAATGTATTATTTATAAATGTATACACTACATTTCTGCAGAATTACACAAAGGTGGCTTATGCAAAACTGACACAGTATAAAATAAGCTAACAGTGCAACCTAAAACAAAGAGAAAATGCAAGCTAAAAACAAAGCAAATTAAGGAGCAAAACAATCAGAAACTAGAAACAAACAAGCACCATTTTAAAAGCAGATCACAGAGTAGAAGATCTGCAATTCTTCCCTTTCTGTTTTTTTTTTTGTTTTGTTTTGTTGTTTTTTTGCCAGCATTAACCAGGATTCCTTCTTAACTGATATTGACATGAAATCCCTTATAAGATATGATGGGTATGAGCTTAGGTGACTTTAAAAAAAGAAATACTCTAGATCTGTCAATGTCTGTTACAAAGATCCCAAATGGAACCTCTCTGTTCAGAGACATATGATACCCAGATGCTGGGGATTGAAATGTGGTGGCCTTTACCTTCATGCCTTTTGAGTTCTAGACGTGCATGGTTGGCTGGTATTGGAAACAGAATGCTGGACCAGATGGTGTCAGTGAAGATGCTAGGTGGACCTCAGTTGGGATGGCCACCTCTTTTTCTTTTGTAAATAATTACTAGTTTTCAAAATATCCATATTCCAATACTGTAAATCATGTACTGACAAACAGGGCAATAAAACGAAACTGCATTAAGAAAAATAACCACAGGTCTGTGATAGTATGGAAACTTGTATCCATTTTCTTCCCCTCCCCTGTTTTTGTTTTCCTCTCTCCATTTTGCTTCTGTTTTTAATGAACTGCAAATGGGCAAACTGGTTAGTGTTTACTACGGTTTATTGAAAAAGCAAACTTTAAGTAATAATGATCCTGACTTGTTTCAATAAATACTAATTGACGCTAACTATAGTTCATGCTTTAGTAATAATAACAAGCTGCAGTTAACTGGAAGTGGAGGAGCACATAAGCCCAAACTTGAGTATGTAATGTTAACTGGTTTAAACATCTGCTTAAATTGCATTGGCTAAAGAAGATTCTCTTTACTCTGATATCTTACAACTTCTAAATGTATTTGTATTAATAGTTCTAAAGTGTAGTTTAGAATGGAGCCTTAAAAAAAATTTTTTTTTTAATTACTGGCAGGTAAAGGTGCTTTGTGGGACGTGGGTGGCGCTGTGGTCTAAACCACTGAGCCTAGGGCTTGCCAATCAGAAGGTCAGTGGTTCAAATCCCCACGACGGGGTGAGCTCCCATTGCTCGGTCCCAGCTCCTGCCAACCTAGCAGTTCGAAAGCACGTCAAAGTGCAAGTAGATAAATAGGTACCGCTCCGGCAGGAAGGTAAACGGTGTTTCTGTGCACTGCTCTGGTTTCACCAGAAGCGGCTTAGTCATGCTGGCCACATGACCCGGAAAAACTGTCTGCAGACAAACATCAGCTCCCTCGGCCAGTAAAGCGAGATGAGTGCCACAACCCCAGAGTCGTTCGCGACTGGACAGTTGTCAGGGGTCGTTTACCTTTTTTAAAAAAGGTGCTTAATTCTAACCAAAATCTGGAATGGATTTTTGCATGTGAAATACCACCCAGTGCCCAATAATATGGGAGATGCATAAAGTAGAATGAAAGGTTGACATCTTTCTCCAGTATCAGTACTATCTCTCACTATTTAGGTTGTGTATTGCATTCTTTTTTAAATATATAGAATATTCTGTATTATCTTAACCTCTTTATTATACCAGAATGTGCCTACTGTATTATACTTGAAGGAGGGAGCAGTAAATGCTGGGGTGGGGGGAGAGAGAGACTAATGGAATCGATAGGAGAACTGTGTGATAAAAACCAAAATGTAAAAATCTCAATAGTGGTAGGTTGCTTTTGTATTCAGCAGTTTGTAACTTTCCCTTTTGCATAATAGGTTGCAGAAATATTCCAAAGGCTCTGTGAAGATACCAGGACCTGGTTTCGTCAAGTTTTGACAAAACCCTTGCTAGAAAGTCGTTCATATTCATCTTCAGTTACATTCACATTTCCAGCAGAACTTGAGGTTTGTATTTTCCAGCTAAAGCTATCCCAATCTTTGTCAGTATGCAGTGTTTTTTTTCCTGTTAACTTAATGAGTTTTTTTTAGCAGCTGCCCTTACTTCCTTCTCATACCTATGTGCTCCTTCTGACATGTTAAGAAATGTCAGAGAGTTTATTGTTTGGTAGCTTAAGATCTGTGGTTTCTGTCACACCATAGATACAAGGTTTTACCCATCGAAAGTTGGTTCCAGAGAGCCCACCCTAGAGTCACTGTTGCTCAGATGCAAATCATTAAAGCCATGCAGAGAGAGAGAGATAGTGGAGTGCCACTCATTTCCAGACTGGGAATATATCCAAGTTAGTGTGGTGGCTCCTCTACATAGAGCAGGGGACTGCCAAGCTTCTCCTTAGTCCAGCACTTGAACCCAGCAGTTGCATTGAGTTCTAAGAGAGAGATTCTGTACTTCATAGTGACTGAGAACCCAGTGCTTTGTTGGTGTGTAAAAATGACCAGTCATAGTTCCTAGCCTAATTATAAAAGTGGTGGGAGGAAGAAGAAGAAGAAGAGGAGTTTGGATTTGATATCCCGCTTTATCACTACCCTAAGGAATCTCAAAGCGGCTAACATTCTCCTTTCCCTTCCTCCCCCACAACAAACACTCTGTGAGGTGAGTGGGACTGAGAGACTTCAAAGAAGTATGACTAGCCCAAGGTCACCCAGCAGCTGCATGTGGAGGAGCGGAGACGCGAACCCGGTTCACCAGATTACGAGTCCACCGCTCTTAACCACTACAGAAAGTTTGTGTGTGTGAGAGAGAAAGAGCGAGACGGGATATTAATGTATGCTCTCTTAGAGGTCACAGACTAGGAGTATATGCTCAGTAGGAGAAAGCATAGAGGAGTAGGCATGTTAGCTAAGGACTGGTGTACATGCCTGGTCCCAGCTTTTTAAGAAAGCCTGAGTAGGTTTTCCCCAGAGGCTTGCCAAACACTGTGGGGCAAAGGTGGGACAGTTGATTGACAGTTTATTTGAAAACAGCCCATTACAGTTCCATTTCTGCCAGGTAATCCCAGTTACAAGTCAGTAAGCATCAAGGAGAGGTGTGGTCCTCCTTTTGCATGTAGTATTGAAATGGGCCTCTACCAGGTAAGGTGGCAGGTAAAGGAAGGTGAGGCTGGCGTCTACAAGTCTGCCACTGCCAGGAGCCCATGGGGTAAGTTGGCAGCCCTAGTGGATCCTGCAGAGGCCTCATGAAATGCCTCTTGTCAGAAGCTGATGTCGCTGATGGGGATCTGGTCTCTTATTTTTTGCCACTTTTTAAAAGCTCCTGTGAAGCATGCAACCTGTCTTCTAAAGATGCAGGCATTATCCCTGTCGTCTTCATCATTCCATTTTTTGTATTTCTCACCTACTGGGAAAGGGTAGGGGATTGTTGTCGCATGCTGTTCTTTTCTTCTGCCAAGAAGAAAAGAGGGCCTTGGCCAGGGAGAACCAAGGGCCTATAAATACAACCTCCTTCTGCTCTTAATTTGGGTTAATTTAACTGAATAATAATTTTCTTTCTTAGGCTTGGGATCATTTTTTGAAAATAGACTTTGCTAATACAACTTTCACAGAAGAGTGGAAGAAAACTTTAATCACAGATATGGAAGGCAGAATCAAAAAGGTACTGAGATTAATGGATTATATTGTATCATATGAAATGGAAACTATCACATTCAATCTAAATCAGGGGTGGGAAACCTTTTCCCCATGGCTACTTCTCATCAATGAGCAGTGCCAAATATGTGTGGCCAGAGTTGAAAGTGGGCATGGCCAACCCCACAATATTACACACTACCTTTTCCTGACGGACTCTAGAGCCAGGTAGCCTGTGTAAAATTATGGCATACCAGCCTAGACAGGAAGTGTCTCAATCAAATTGCATGCCAGTTCCTCCTTCCAGGCAGTCTTGTTTCAGGAGATGTCTGCTGTCACTCCATGTCACTTTCATATTGAGGAAAGATCCTTTTCCTTAACAGAGCTGGGAAGCTTGACCAGCAGGGACAAGCAGAGGGTAACCTAAGTTCAAGTTAAAATCCCTTGCCGATCCTCATCTTTTGCTGATCCCCATCTTTTTTTCTGGGTCAACACCTGGCCTTACAAAGGCAAATGGATAGGGAAAGGCAGTCTTATCAAGCCAACCAGGCCACAGCTCTGGCCCAGATCTCATTAATGAAAGCAATCTTATCAGGCACTCGGAGAGACCCAGTGCGCAGAAATCTTAAATGAAGTATTGACTGGCCAGGTCCCCTTCTTCCTCTTTTTCAGAATCTCTCCCTCTGCCCTCGACCAACATAAAGCTTCTCAAATGCAAGGTGGTTCTGATGCACTCCTTAGGAGCTTAGTGAAGAAGAGGCCTCTCCCATTCCTCTCAGTAGGACCCTGGCAGAGACACACTCCCAACTTGCATGTTCCCTTGATCGTTCGGGAGCTTCAAAAGCTTTCTTTTGCCTGAACATCAAGTGACCGATGCCAACAGACATTGACACACTTAGGGATCTGCAGAGTCTTTGCAGCTTGCGTAACAGATCTCAGCAACTCAGCATTTTGGCTAATCTACTTTATTTACATATAAACACACAGAGAGCACCGCAACATGGCTCCCTCTCTCTAGCATCAAACAGCAAAGAGAAAAAGAATAAAGGACCATAGTCCCACTTCACGGAACACAGTAACACAAACATCCTGTCTCCGTCACTTCCCACTCTGTGGAGTCAAAACATACACCATCATGTGATAGACAAAAATCCCATGACTGCAATTACAGAGCAGGAATTCTAACAGTTCTGCATACCAGGAGACCCCACCCTGGGTCATCAGAGCGAGATCTCCCTGCTCACAGAGACACTCCAGGCCCTTTACTTCCTTCCCCTATGAACCACTGATGCCAAATGCAATGTAGGGTAGCGGCAATGCAGTTCCTTATCAGATAATAACTCTGAGCCCAACCAAGAGCAGCTGAGGTGGGAACAGAATTGTGTGCCCCTTGATCTCTTTAGTCCCTGTCTCAGCTGAACTTACGTTCCACTCCTGGAGCAGCTACCTCTTAAAGTGCAACTATTCCTCCCATCCAACAAGGTGGCACAAAAATCTGTTTTGTCATTCCTTAAAAAGTCTCACCTTTTTGCAATGGACAGTGCCACTTAACAACAATAAAAATCCTCCAGTTATGCTAATTCACAGTACAGTACAGGCTGGAGGATCATCAGGAAGTTTTTAAAGTTTGATGTTTTATTATGTTTTTATGTGTTGGAAGCCGCCCAGAGTGGCTGGGGCAACCCAGCCAGATGGGCAGGGTTTAAATAATAAAATTATCATTAGTTACTGTTACTAGAAAAATATATTTGCTTTGTTTTATTGTCCTAAATTACTTTCCCTCCATGTTTTCCTTATCTGATAAAATCTTAAATAACTGGAACCAGGTAGAATGTTTTGTATTTCTTTTTGCTCTTCCCTGATAGGAATCTGCTGTTAACCAGATTAAAGCCTACTGCTGTTGCCATGAGGAAATGGAACAATTTGACCCTATGATTAGCAAAGCTTTTGAAAACTGTGCCATAGACGCTATAAAATTAGCATACCAGGTACTATATCTAAAATTTTCTGAATCCTACACTTATTTTCCAAGTACTGTTACTTTGTTGAGATTATGCTACATGTGCCTGACTGTGGGAGTAAGCAATAATGGGTTTGTGATTCAATGCCACAGGTAAATCCAGCTTGGCTTCCTGGATTGCCAGTCAAGGCAGGCTGACAAATCATGTAACTGGGAGCTATTTTTTTGTGGATAATCCCTGCTCAGTGACAATCCTAGGATTACAAAGTCATTCCTCAACTGTATTTTTGTCTCATCAAATTTAAATCGATTTCTATTGCCATATAATTTACCCTTTGGGAAAGGACAGCAAATTATTTGGCAAATCTCACAATGAGCAGATCTGTGAAAGCAAGTTCCTTTTGGAATCTGTTGGATTCGGCTGCATTATGAATAGTAAACTTTTTTAAATGATGTAGCAAATTTGTGAAAATAAAATGACAGACTCATCGCTATCTAATGCTGCCAGGTCTGGCCTGCCCGTGAGGCAAGGTGAGGCAGTTGCCTTAGCGACAGGCTCTGGATACCTGGAGAAGGTGTTTGCCTTCTCCAGGTATCCAGAACGTTTGCATTGCCAAATGTAGGGGCCCTGAACCCTCTACATATTTTGTGTCTTATGTAGGAACAGTCTAATCTCCTTGAACTGATATCTCATTACAATCTGAGCAAGCTGGGTAAACTTGTATCTGCTGCTATCATAAAATCATGGCCAGCTGATGTAGCAGGGAAGCCTATGAGAGATTTGGAAGGTGTGCTGAATCATCTGCTTGTTTGGCCAGACATTAAGCATCTTTTCATCTTCAATGGTAAGTGCAGCTATCATTTGATGGGTAAAGTTCTGGGAGCAGGTGGGAAATATCTTATTATTGAAAGGAGCACAGAGGGTTATTTAATATCGAAACAGAGTTGAATAGGAGGAGAATTAGTATTGGACATTGTAGAAAGGAAAAGTCAGTTAAGGTTTAGTAACTGGTAGAGGATTTATGCTGAAACACAAATATTGTGCGTATTGGAAGAGTATGATGTTGCAGGCTATTGCAATTCTTTTATGTTTTATTTCTTCTGATGAATAATGGGTCACCGTTGTTGTAAGGAGGGCAGCAAACTTTCAAACTGTGTGTAGAACAGAGAGAAGTAAGGAAACCTAAAGGAGTCACCTTGCTTCCAGCTGCCATGGGGGATGAAGTTATTTTAGCATCTAAGGACAAAGGTTGTTTGCTTGTTTTTAAAATACCTGACTGATCTAACAGGTGCGGCTGGAAACATTCTGGACCAACTTACTGAAGAAGCCCAGGAGCTAATGGCCAGCGCTGACTCTGTATATACAAAGGTTTCTGATGAACTCATGACAGGCCATATCCTAGTTAAACATTTAGAGCTGGTTTTAAAGCACAAGAAGCAGTTTCTGTCCATTTGGGAATTTAGTAAGTGTGTTTATCTGTATATATAAATGGAGAGATGGGTAAAATATAGGACCGAAGTCCAGTTAAATGCTAATAAATGTTACTCAATTAAAACATATCCATTTAATGTCAATTTGAATTTGCATATCGTTTTAAAACAGCATTTCTGAAGCAAATATAGTGGCTTTGTGTTTAGTTGACACACGTATTGTAGCTGTCATTTGCCAAATTCACATTTCGTAGTAAGCCAAACTATGGCTCACCAGGACCATGTGAATTTGTGAATTAGGAGTTTGCAGCCTGGTCTATTTTACTCCCATTCCATGCTGAGCTAAGCTAAGGTTTGGTTTAGTGTATTGCCTGAGCCCAGGATTATGGTTAAGCTCCTCCTCATTACAGACTGTAGCCAGTGTTCGTTCCATTCTCCAGTAGCCCACACATTTGCAGAGTCCCAGTAAGTCATGGCTTAGCATGACATGCAAACTAGGTTCACATACAATTAGCATGCCTATTGTGTATGAAAGATGGGAGAACATTTCTTCTAAGATAGTGATTGCTCTTTGTAGCCTTTTATAAGGTTGGGGTGGGATTCAGCTAATGAGCCCTACCAGTGGAAGCCTTCTCAAGGACTTCCCCTAGCACAGTGGACCTTTTTTCACATGTTCCTCCCCCTGTGTCTCACTTGTCCCCTCCCCTCCCCCCCCCCCAAAATAATTGGCTCAGCGGGTTGGGAGAACCCTTGGAACAGCATGCAAAGAAAGGAGAGGGGATATTGCTCCATCAGACAAGCAGAAATGCTTACACTGACAGAGCAATCTGCTTACCACTGTGTTGTGTTACTCCTGCTGTATTAAAGATATTCCTTCTTAAAAATGAGTGCACCCTTTGGTTGATCTTTGTTTTTATCCAATCGTGGGATAGGAGACAAGGGAAGCACTTAAGCCTGAAGCTTCACTTGGGCTCAGGGTGGCTTGTGCATGTAATGCTAAATCACAGTTTAGTGGTATTTGCACACCAGCTGTTGAGAAGCAGAGTTCTGGAATGCCCTTGTTCTTTAAGAGCTTATTTGGGAGATAGTGAGTCCAAGTTTTGTAAAAGGAAAGAAAATAGGGATCTTGTGCAAGTGATTGTAATTGGCAATTTTCATTTCAGAGCCCAAGCATATTTCGCTGTTTGATGAAAAAGAGCACAGATCAAAACTAGAAGGAATACTTGGCTTGAGGCTGCAAGAACTACTGTATGTCAAGAGGGAGAAAAACTGTTTGGAATCCCTCTTGAACATGTGCAGGAAAGTGCAAGAGTATATAAAAGGTATTTTTAAAGGGGGAGGGTAATTTTAAAACTCTGGCTCTGTTAGTTTTCCTTTGCAAAGATTGTTAAAGATTGGGAGTGGAAATAAACCGGGGAATGAGAATGTCCCAGAACTCTCCAACATCAGAAAAGCAGATTGATCCAAGTAGAACAATTGGGTAGAAATTGCAAATTGTTCATTTTTTAAACAAACGTCACAGTCTGGTGTTTGATGCTGCAATGTGAACCATTGTATAGCAAAGATAAGACCCACTGAAGTTTTTTTTGTGTGTGTGTCCAAGTTCTGATTTTCTCTTTACTTTCAGTGGATATTGCTGAAATAGAGCAGAAGCACAGTGAAAACCTGGCCTCAAAAGCACTGGACGATGTTGTGAATGTGAGAGACATTTCCCAGAGTGCTGATAAAATTGAGACATATTACCACCTGAGTCCAGCCCTGAAGAAGATAGCGGAAATTGTGAATAACTTTAAAGAGAGTGACGTCTTCCAGTACTGTTGGGAGTGGGCAGCCAAAAAACATGTCGTTGATGAAGACATTGCTGCTCTGGATCTTGATGAAGTGCCTCTCTCCCTTTTTGATCCTTGTTACAGTGAATTCTTGAGGCTGTATAACAGTCTGAAATCTGGGGAGCTCATGTTTTCTGAAGTAGACATGCTCTTCAGAGATTTTACTAACCGTTACGAGGATCTGAAAAAGGATTTTCAGGTTATGTGCAATCTACAGCGTCAAGATGGTGGAGAATGGATAGATGAGCGGATTCAACAAATCCAGCAATATCATGAATTGCATTTGGCCATGGACTCTGCTAAGGTTATCGACAAGGTCAGGGAAGGTTTGAATCTCTCTGGTGACTTCAGAGTCCTGCAACAGTTACTTAACTTCGTAAGTATATTTCTTTGAAACCACAGTTCGAGAGCTTATCCAGTAAACTTAGGTAGCTTCATTCTGTTCAAAAGTTGATAGTGTGCACTTTTCATTTGGGTCTATACGTTATCGCAGGAACACAAAATGTGGATTACATATAGAGTTGTTTAGTACTTTGGCTTTTTGGATCTCTTTAATTTCTTTAGCATGGTTTTTCTGCACTGAAGACAAAAGAGGGTGTGTTTTTTTGTAATTACACCCCATTTGTGAATTGCTTTCCCCAAGGATGTCTAGCCATTAGGTCCCCCCCCCCCCCCAATTCCTAGCTACTTAATACTGTCAGGCATTTTGTTTATAGAATTTTATAATCATATTAAAGAGGCAATTGTATGGGTTGGATTCAGTGTAGCTGCTTGCAAGACAGAACAATCCTCTCTCCTCCTACTGTGTACTGTATAAAATGCAGGGGCACATAGGAAGAGGAGAGGGGAAAGTCCTTTTGCATTGGTGGAACTTTTTCTCGCTTCCCCTAGCACGCCAACTTAGTTGAACCTCCCTATACTGTATTTCTATTCCGTACTGCAGAACCATCTACATGCAGTATGCAATTTAGAGGATATGCACACCACTGTAAGACACGTATAACTTTTGGCTCAATTTGCCATGTGGATATTGTGTAACTGGAGAATGCGAAACAAAAAAATAAGGACATTTTGACTGGCAGAAAAATAATCTCTATGCTACTAAATAGTCTATCTATGCTACTTAATATAGTTTTGGGAGTCAGGTGTGTCCTGATGAGCATTCATCCATGTGGTATCTACTGAGTAGTGGATCAAGATGTGTAGCAAGCAGTGCAATCAGGATATCAAAGGGCAGATAAAACTAGCTACTTACCTCATGGTAACAGTTTGCAAACTTAACTGCATGTGCTGTTCATTTGCCATATCTAGTCAAGTTTAGCTCACTTGCATCCCCACAAAGAGTCAGAAGTAGTAAGGGTGTGGTGATATTGAAATCATAGCCATTGTGGGCAGCTTGGGAGGAAGGGGTTGGCTATAAATCTAACGGAATAAAAGATGTGCCTAGGTGCTACAGGCTTTCATCTTACCTACATGGCTTTCACAAACTCTGCATTAGAGTTACAGGAGGCTACTATGTCATAAGGCCACTTGCCATCTACTCTATACTCTGAGCAGCATCTCCAAAATGTTTCATCATGGGATGGCACGTTACCATAGTTTTTTTCCCCTTGTAAAGACAAGGGGATTCCAGTTCCTGGGAGATTTTCCTTTCACTTTGTATAGAATCTGTTGTAGTTGCAACAAGCAACAAATGTCTCTCTATAAAGCAGCCTAACTCATTGTTTTCCGAAAGGGAAAAATATAAATAAATGTTCCCCTGCTGCATGGATGCCATGGTAATATCTGGTTCAAGTTCTGATGTAGATATTGTGCTTCCACTGGTTTGGACAGCTAAAGACGGCTTCTGTCTGATTTTATTCATTTTCCTTTCTACCCCCCCCCCAAATGCCTTCACAAACAAACAAAAGCCTTAGTTGCGGTCAGTGGGGCAGCAGCGGTAGGGTGATCCTGATCCCTTGCCATTGGAACACTGAGTGCAGCTGCAGGTTCCTGAGAGGGGCGAGGTGTGGGGAGCCATTGCAGTGTTCCTAGAAGGAATCATATCTGAAACAATCCATGATGCCTCCTCTTGAAACCCAGCACCATGGGGCTGAAAAATGGGAGATGGAAATCAAGGGAAAGGTTTTGCACATCCTTAATGTGCAGTACAATCCTCTTATTCCCTTTTCAGGTACAGAAATTCCAGGTCCAGGAAGAGAAGCTCTCCTCCATGAGTATTGAATTGATGCGTGTAAAAAAATGGCTGCAAGACATAACTGAACCACGTCGTAGGTGCCTTGAGGAGCTGGCACTCAGGAGGGATTTTGTAAGCTGGGTCAAAGAATCCCTGGAAGGTAGAACAGATGTGCACCTGACATTCTTGTTTCTTAGTTTTAAAAGGCTAAAAAGTTACTGGGACATATGATGTACACTTGTACACTGTTATATTATGTACAGTGGTACCTCTGGTTACGTACTTAATTCATTCCGGAGGTCCGTTCTTAGCCTGAAACTGTTCTTAACCTGAAGCACCACTTTAGCTAATGGGGCCTCCCATTGCTGCCGCGCCACCGGAGCACGATTTATCTTCTCATCCTGACGCAAAGTTCTTAACCCGAGGTACTATTTCTGGGTTAACAGAGTCTGTAACCTGAAGCGTATGTAACCCGAGGTACCACTGTATAGGTGTATTACATGATGTTTTTCCTCATTTTGTTTTCTGTACAAGCTGGCACCTGCAAGATGTCTCAGTGCAGGAGGGACCCCAAAATGGGATGTTGTCTTGTCCATTTCTCAGCCACCAACTCCTTCTCATTCCCTTGTCTCATGCTTCCTGTTTTTCTCCCTTAAATTTCTTATTTCCTTACACAAGGAGGATCTCTTTCCACTTCATGTCTCCATCATATTTTTATTTGTACAGGCAGCCTTATCTTTAAATGAGACATGCACAAGGTTGAGAGAAGCAATCATTTCAGCAAGAAAAATTATTGAACTAACAACACTTTCCATAGCAAATTATTTTCGTAGTTTTTACTTGGACAGAGTGGTTTCAGCAAATGTACCTCTTAATGAGGTATGTGGGGAAGCCGCATGGGCAACTTCAACGATGTTTATGAGGCATCATAAGATTGGTAAATATGCTTTTCATGAGGTGGCTTTTGGGAGGCAAATCCTCCAGCAGGTTCGTTAAGGGGAAGTCATAGAATAGAGAGCCCACCCAATTGAGATCTTACCTTTATTCAATCCAACTATGCCACCTTTGGAAGGAACAATTGTTCTCCTCTGAAGGGTGCATCTCAGAAGTGTTGAACACAAGGCATGGGCCCAACCTATGTTCTAGCTTCCTTACATAGGTTCAGAAAGTGCATCAATGTTTTCCCTGGGGGGCATGGCCAATGGACAAAGAGCAAGATGCATTTCCTGTTTTTAATTTGAGAGGGCAGCATAGCCCACAATGTCATGTTTTTCAGAACCTCTGAGAAACACCTTTCAGATTAATCACAATAGTTCTTTTGCCTCCTTGTGGTTTACTCCACTTCACAAAGCAAAGGAAGCAAACGTAAGTAATGCAGGCTTTGTGTCAAGCACTGAATAAAGATGTAGGTCCTAGTAGAAAGACATGGAGTACTACCAGGGGCGGAACTTATAGACAGTAAACTTTGGGATGTCTTTCACTTTGTTTATTTGCCTTAGATAAGAATGAGCTGAAGGTATTTGTGGACTTAGCTTCTATCTCTGCGGGAGAGAATGACATGGATGTGGATCGTGTGGCTTGTTTCCATGATGCTGTCCTTGGCTACTCCTCCCTGTTGTATGACTTGAAACGGGAATCGGGATTTGGGGAGCTCATGAAGTGCTTGAGGAAACTTTGGAAAGCTCTGGAGAGTGACAACAACCTCCCAAAAAAACTGGTAATTCCTGCAGTTGGACCTTAGTTCATCTGTCTATATCTGCTCTTATTAAGCTGTGTATTTTATAAAGATACTGCATCCAGTGTGAGTTTAAAGGTAAAGGGACCCCTGATCATTAAGTCCAGTCGCGGACAACTCTGGGGTTGTGGTGCTCATCTCACTTTACTGGCTGAGGGAGCCAGCGTTTGTCCGCAGACAGCTTCTGGGTCATGTGGCCAGCATGACTAAGCTGCTTCTGGTGAAACCAGAGCAGTGCACGGAAATGCCATTTACCTTCCTGCCGGTACTTTGACGTGCTTTCGAACTGCTAGGTTGGCAGGAGCTGGGACCGAGCAACGGGAACTCACCCCGTCAAGGGGATACGAACCGCTGACCTTCTGATCGGCAAGCCCTTGGCTCTGTGGTTTAGACCACAGTGCCACCTGTGTCCAGGTGTGAGTTTACTGTAGATATATTGAAGGGTAGAAAATTATTGGTGTGGACATTGAGATTTTGTAGGGATATCCACCTTGTAGCTACTTAAACCTACATTCTGCAGAGTAGTGTGTGCTTTGTATGTGAATAGCATTTATGCCTGTGCTCTATTCTACCGCATACACTGCAGTTTTGTGCATCATACCAGCTGGTGGGTTCAGTAGCTACTTTTAATTTCATGAAATATCTCTGGGCTTCACAGCACAGCATAGCGGAACAGAAATCTTCCAGATTCAAATAATCATGTCCTAGAGTGAGGGTTGTCATTTAGCAACACACCATGCTCCCTTGTCATCTATGGCTATGCTATTATCAGCATATGATTTGTTCTGGGATAAAATATGGGACTAATTCAGAGTATATCTTCTCCCTAAACCCTACAGCGTGATTCTGCAAGATACTTGGAATGGCTAAAAACAATAAAAGAGAGTCATGGTTCTGTGGAACTGTCATCTATATCACTGGCAACTAAAATCAATAGCAAGGGAATCTACCGAATTAGGGCGCCAGCAGAAGGCCGGAAGGTAAGACCATGCTTGTAGTATATTGTCCCAGTTTTTGTAACCTTTCTCCTCATCGCTCAGTAGCTACTTTTTCTGTATACCACACCCAACAAACAGCCTGCTATAAAGTGAATGATATAACCCTTTCTAAGTGTCTCTTTCAATAAACTGCTTCCTTTATCATTTCCTGGTGCCTCTCTGTTGTAACACCATTAGGTTGGTCAGGGATTTCCTCCCATAGTGTTCATGAGTGTGAACTTGAGAATTCACTATCACAGAGCTATTTTCTGTTGGTGGCATTTGCCACAACTTTTTACTGGCATCTTTCCAAAGACATTGCCCTCATAATTTGGTGCAACCCTCTCAGTATTTAGCATAAACCTATTTACCGCTGACAACTGCTATCTCTGCATATAGTAGGGGGGAACCTTGTATGGCATCATAAGGAAATAAAGCAATGATTAAATATATTTCTAGGTTTCTCTGGATACTGTCCTGTGCCTGACTATCTCAGAAAGTCACGGTGGCCAAGAAGAGGAACGGCAGTACTCCCTAGAAGAGCTCCGAGAATTGATGAATAAGCTGATGCTGATGTCAGGCAAGGTAGAACAAGGTGCAGAAGTAGAGAAGTTTTCTGAGGTCAGTTTTCAGGCATAATTTCCTGTTTGTATTTTGAAACTCATATTGTCCTTTGAGGGATGTGCAGTGGGGGACAAGAGTAATGGGGTTCTTCTTCCAGTCATGCTGAATTTCTGTGTCCTTTGAGAGATTGTAGAGATTTCAGTAAGTGTTTTCCCCCCTGAGATGTAAAATACAGTTTGAAACTTCACAGAAGTTTGCATCACATTGAATTGTGATGATTTGTTGCTGATTAGGATCTTCCTTTGGGAACTGAATAGCTCCATCATTTGGCTCACTTGACCTTTCTAAATTTCAGTGTTCCTGATAAATTTTAAAACAATTAAAATTTTACACCCTGAATGCCCTTGGACCAGAGCTTGTTGACTGTTTGCCTGTACAGAATGTTGAAGGGAGCAAGGTTGAAGAAAAATTCAGGGAGTAAATGTCTCCTCCCCCCCATTATTTTAATACATATTGTGAACCCCTTTGAGCTCTATAAATGAAAAGTGGTGTGTCAGTTTTTAAATCAATAAATGTTAGGAGAACCAGTTTTTGATACCGCCTTCATGTATTTTGGTTAACCAGCTTAAAAGTTCAATTTGGCCATAGTTTCTGCTGGTGTAGCTCTGTCTCTAGGCAAATGGAGTTGGCCAACGCTAGTTTAGGCATTCTAGTAGTAAGGGTGGCAGTGGGTAATGCATATTTCACATTCATTGGTGTTGTGATACTTAGATTCATTGTTCTGTCTTCTGCTGTGTTTCTTCTGCACCCAGGTATTTTCTAGTGTCCAGAGGCTTGCACTGTCTTTCATCGACCTTCATTCTGCTGGAAACATGCTTTTCCGCTCTTGGGTCGCTGATGTATATTGCTCACCCAACCATGAATTCTGCCTTAGCATGGATTTCAATTTAAATTCTAATTCTGTCCTTATTGGAAATGGAGACGTCACAAATGTTCTGCCACTCATTTGCCGAAAGATGGAGAGTTTCCTGGAAAAGTGGAACCAGTTTATGTCGGAGAAGCGATCCCAGTACTATTATTTGAACTACTATATGGCAGAACAGTTTGTATACTTGTGCAAGGAGCTTGGCTCAAAGTGCCCCAGTGAGGCTGCCTTAACGATGCTGTCATTTATAAAGCACGACTGCAGCAAGCAAGATGTCCAGGAGATCTCCCGCCAAGTAGAGTCTAAAAAAGCAAAGAGGAATTTTGCCGATTTATTTGGGCCGGTGGCAAGAGGGAAAGAGTTGGCTGTACAACTGGAGTACATCTGGGAGTCGTACATGGGAAGTATGGGCTCATTCCTTCCAGGCTGCCTGGACATTGAAACCCTTGGCATTTACTTGGCCACCCTGGCAGATCTGGAGAAGAAGAGTGTTATGCGAAAATTGCCACAAGGTCTTCAGGCTGGCAGGCCTAACCTCATTCTCTGTCCTCGCTCTGAGGTGTTGGCTTCGGCACTGGCCATCTACATGAACAGTCCAGGGGAGATGCTACCCTCTTACGATGAAGTGCTGCTCTGCACACCACAAACCAGCTATGAACAAGTGGCGCTGTTTTTGAGGCGGTGCCTCACTCCAGGCTATAAGGGGGAAAAGATTTACACCTTGCTGTTTGCAGATGAGTTGAGCTATGATGTTGGCTACAGGTCTGAGGAACTTTTCCAGAGTCTTCACTTAAAGCATCAGGATGATTATAAGCTAGTGATTCTCTGCAACTGTGAGAAAGAGCACTGCTATGTCCCTTCTGTCTTCAGCCAGTTCAAAGTTCACATGATCCCTCAGCAGCCCCTGAAGGACATTCAGGGCTACCTTGGGAATCATTACAAAGCAACACAAAGTTCATCGGCTTCTGTCTTCAAGGACCAAATGTGTGTTGGGATTGTAGCTTCTGAAAGAGCTGGAGTAGGTGAGTGAACTAAGTACATATAGTTTACCATCTAAGTTTCAGAATGCGTAGACTAAAACTTGAGGATATAAAACATGGTCTGTTGTTTTTCCTTCTGTGATGCTCTTTCAGCTTGTGACTGGAAAGATCAGCACAGGAATAATGAGGGGCAAGGGGCACATTAAACAGCAGGCTCAGTGCCTGTCTAAAAGAGTAGTTTTACTTGAACAGTATTTCAGCCCGCTGTTTAGTGTTTTTGTCCCAAGCTTTGACATAAATGTTGGAAGGAATAGTACCTCTTTTTACAGAGATGATTCCAAGATGATAACCAGAGGTTACAGTGCAGGTGGTGGCAGCTGTGACTGGTACATTTTGGGATAAACAGTTAGTACAGCTCTAGCTGAAGACTGTATCCAAGTGTTTATTGGATCAGTTTCTCTCCCTCACCCAGATTCTTCCTACTTGTTGCTCAGCAGAAGCCCAGACCATTGAGTGCTCTCAGTTTCAAACCAATCCATCGTGTGCCTGCTGTGCCCATTAATAACTCAGATATGTTTTTATTATTAACAATAGGAAAATCTCTCTATGTAAAGAGGCTGCAAGAGAAAATGGAAGCAAAACTACATCACTCTGAAGTGCCATTAACAACTATTAGGTTGATAGACCCCCACGTGGATGAAGGGAAAGTGCTGAAGTCTCTTCTCCCATTCCTGCACCATAAGTACCAGAAACAGCCTATGATATTTCATTTTGATATCACTTCTTCAGTGAGTATACCATGGTTTTGGCAGAACTTTGTCTCCTTACCCTACCCCTCACTTAATAAAGTTGGTTGTTATTGGTTGGTTGGGTTTTTTTTTTTTAACTAAGCAACTCAATGAGGAGGAAAATTTCATTTTTCTTTTTAAAATTACGTACTACATTTCTGTATTTTCCTAGGTTCATTCTGGAATTCCAGAATTTCTGTTCAAGCTCTTAGTTTTACAGTACCTGGCAGATATACATGGGAAACTCTGGCTGCGGAAACAGTGTCATTTGTATGTCGTAGAAATTCTTCAAACATCTTCATCACCAAGAAAACAAACTAGATCTGTAAGTACCTATGGGTATTTAACTACTATGTCCATAATTGCTAGTTGTTGTTTAGTCGTGTCCGACTCTTTGTGACCCCATGGACCAGAGCACGCCAGGCACGCCTATCTTCCATTGCCTCCCGCAGTTTGGTCAAACTCATGCTGGTAGCTTCAAGAACACTGTCCAACCATCTTGTCCTCTGTCGTCCCTTTCTCCTTATGCCCTCCATCTTTCCCAACATCAGGGTCTTTTCCAGGGAGTCTTCTCTTCTCATGAGGTGGCCAAACTATTGGAGCCTCAGCTTCACGATCTGTCCTTCCAGTGAGCACTCAGGGCTGATTTCCTTCAGAATGGATACGTTTGATCTTCTTGCAGTCCATGGGACTCTCAAGAGTCTCCTCCAACACGATAATTCAAAAGCATCAATTCTTTGGCGATCAGCCTTCTTTATGGTCCAGCTCTCACTTCCATACATCACTATTGGGAAAACCATGGCTTTATACGGACCTTTGTTGGCAAGGTGATGTCTCTGCTTTTTAAGATGCTGTCTAGGTTTGTCATTGCTTTTCTCCCAAGAAACAGGTGTCTTTTTATTTCGTGGCTGCTGTCACCATCTGCAGTGATCATGGAGCCCAAGAAAGTAAAATCTCTCACTGCCTCCATTTCTTCCCCTTCTGTTTGCCAGGAGGTGATGGGCCCAGTGGCCATGATCTTTGTTTTTTTGATGTTGAGCTTCAGACCATATTTTGCGCTCTCCTCTTTCACCCTCATTAAAAGGTTCTTTAATTCCTCCTCACTTTCTGCCATCAAGGTTGTGTCATCTGCATATCTGAGGTTGTTGATATTTTTTCCGTCAATCTTAATTCCATTTTGGGATTCATCCAATCCAGCCTTTTGCATGATGAATTCTGCATATAAGTTAAATAAGCAGGGAGACAATATACATCCTTGTCGTACTCCTTTCCCAATTTTGAACCAATCAGTTGTTTCATACCCAGTTCTAACTGTAGCTTCTTGTCCCACATAGAGATCTCTCAGGAGACAGATGAGGTGATCAGGCACTCCCATTTCTTTAAGAACTTGCCATAGTTTGCTGTGGTCGACACAGTCAAAGGCTTTTGCAGAGTCAACGAAGCAGAAGTAGATGTCTTTCTGGAACTCTCTAGCTTTCTCCATAATCCAGCGCATGTTTGCAATTTGGTCTCTGCTTCCTCAGCCCCTTCGAAATCCAGCTTGCACTTCTGGGAGTTCTCGGTCCACATACTGCTTAAGCCTGCCTTGTAGAATTTTAAGCATAACCTTGCTAGCGTGTGAAATGAGTGCAATTGTGCGGTAGTTGGAGCATTCTTTGGCACTTCCCTTCTTTGGGATTGGGATGTAGACTGATCTTCTCCAATCCTCTGGCCACTGCTGAGTTTTCCAAATTTGCTGGCATATTGAGTGTAGCACCTTAACAGCATCATCTTTTAAAATTTTAAATAGTTCAGCTGGAGTATCATCACTTCCACTGGCCTTGTTATTAGCAGTGCTTTCTAAGGCCCATTTGACTTCACTCTCCAGGATGTCTGGCTCAAGGTCAGCAACCACACTACCCTGGGGTGTACGAGACATCCATATCTTTCTGGTATAATTCCTCTGTGTATTCTTGCCACCTCTTCTTGATGTTTTCTGCCTCTGTTAGGTCCTTACCACTTTTGTCCTTTATTATGGTAATCTTTGTACGAAATGTTCCTTTCATATCTCCAATTTTCTTGAACAGATCTCTAGTTCTTCCCCATTCTATTGTTTTCCTCTATTTCTTTGCATTGCTCATTTAAGAAGGCTTTCTTGTCTCTCCTTGCTATTTTTTGGAAATCTACATTCAATTTCCTATATCTTTCACTATCTCCCTCGCATTTTGCTTGCCTTCTCTCCCCCGCTATTTGTAAGGCCTCGTTGGACAGCCACTTTGCTTTCTTGCATTTCCTTTTCGTTGGGGTGGTTTTAGTTGCTGCCTCCTGTATAATGTTACGAGCCTCCATCCATAGTTCTTCAGGCACTCTGTCCATCCAATCTAAATCCTTAAACCTGTTCCTCACTTCCACTGTGTATTCATAAGGGATTTGATTTAGATTGTATCTTACCGGCCCAGTGGTTTTTCCTACTTTCTTCAGTTTAAGCTTGAATTTTGCTATAAGAAGCTGATGATCTGAGCCACAGTCAGCTCCAGGTCTTGTTTTTGCTGACTGTATAGAGCTTCTCCATCTTTGGCTGCAGAGAATATAATCAATCTGATTTCAATGCTGCCTATCTGGTGATGTCCATGTGTAGAGTCGTCTCTTGTGTTGTTGGAAAAGAGTGTTTGTGATGACCAGCTTGTTCTCTTGGCAGAACTCTATTAGCCTTTGCCCAGCTTCATTTTGAATTCCAAACTGGCCCATGCCAGTTGTTCCTTTTATCTCTTGATTCCCTACTTTAGCATTCCAATCCCCTGTAATGAGAAGAACATCCTTCTTTGGTGTCATTTCTATAAGGTGTTGTAAGTCTTCATAGAATTGGTCAGTTTCAGTTTCTTCAGCCCCAGTAGTTGGTGCATAAACTTTGATTACTGTGATGTTAAAAGGTCTGCCTTGGATTCGTATCGAGATCATTCTATCATTTTTGAGATTGCATCTCAGTACAGCTTTCGCCACTCTTTTGTTGACTATGAGGGCCACTCCATTTCTTTTACGGGATTCTTGCCCACAGTAGTAGATTTGATGGTCATCCAAGCTGAATTCGCCCATTCCTGTCCATTTTAGTTCACTGGTGCCCAGGATGTCAGTATTTATTCTTGCCATATCATTTTTGATCACATCCAACTTACCAAGGTTCATGGTTCTTACATGGTACTTTGCTAGTACACCACTGAAAAACCCTATTGCAAAGCTCCCATTTTTAATGAGTTTAATGATTTCTAACATAATCATGTATTTATGGAATGTTGATATTAAAATTGTATGTGTGCTAAGATAACTGATTTTTTTTAATTATCCAGGAAAATAGAATGAATGAGAAGCAGTATTAACTCGTCAGTTTAAAAGTTTAAAAGCTGTGGAAAAATTACCAAAACCAATAAATAAATAAATAGTATGAGTGACCAAGATGTGTGATATTGGGATAACCTTTCCCTTCTTTCTCTCTCTCTCTCTTTTTTTTTATAAAAAAAAGTATTTTCCAGGATTGAAGTACAACTTCATGGATGTGTTCCCCAAAGTAACCTGCAGATCTCCCAAGGAAGTCCTAGAAATGAACATGCAGAGGAATCTGTCCTATGATTGCTCAGACCCAGGTATAGATCAGGAAGTGTTCCGTAGCGAAGCCTTTCAGAGACCCTACCAGTACTTGAGAAGATCTAGCAGAGGAGATTGTCTTGACACATTCCAGTATGAAAAAGGCTCTGTTGAAGGGACACCAGAAGAGTGCCTGCAGATGCTCCTGATCCATTGTGGAGTGATAGATCCTTCCTGGTCAGAACTGAGAAACTTTGCTTGGTTTTTGAACCTTCAACTGAGAAATTGTGAAACATCAGTGTTCTGTAATGCTGCTTTTGTCGACGACGCTTTACACGGCTTCAAAAATTTCGTGGTCACATTTATGATTTTAATGGCAAAGGATTTTGCTACACCATCTCTAAACATTTCTGATGAAAGCCCTGGGAATCAGTTTTTTGACATGGAAGGAGTCACAGAAGAAGATCTTGCTCCATTTCGTGTTCGGAAGAAGTGGGAGTCAGAACCCCACCCATATATATTTTTCAATGCGGATTCTGTATCTATGACATTCATTGGCTTTCATCTCAAACCCAGTGCTAATGGTGGTATTGATGCCATCAATCCCTTGAATGGGAGTGTCATCAAGAGAAATGTAATGACAGCTCAGCTATACCAGGGATTGTGCCTTCAGAGAGTTCCATTCAACATTAATTTTGATGCACTGCCCAGACATGACAAAATTGAGAAACTTTGCATGGTTTTAGGAATACACTGGCCAATTGATCCTGATGATACGTATGAGCTCACAACAGACAACATGCTAAAGATCCTTGCCATTGAAATGCGATTCAGGTGTGGTATCCCTGTTGTCCTCATGGGAGAAACTGGCTGTGGAAAAACCAGGCTAATAAAATTCCTGTGCGAACTACGTAGGAGCGGTGCCAATGCCGATAACATGAAGCTTGTCAAGGTCCATGGAGGCACCACAGCGGATGCGATCTATGCCAAAGTCAGGGAAGCAGAAGACATTGCTATTGACAATAAACAACAATACCAGTTTGACACCATCCTGTTTTTTGATGAAGCCAACACCACTGAAGCTGTCAGCAGCATCAAGGAAGTCTTGTGTGATCGCACAGTTGAAGGACAGCCTTTGGTCCACAACTCAGGTCTGCAAATCATAGCTGCATGCAATCCTTATCGCAAGCATACAGGGGAAATGATTCAGCGCTTGGAATCGGCTGGCTTAGGCTACCGTGTCAAAGCAGAGGAGACCAAGGAAAAGCTTGGCTCCATTCCTCTTAGGCAGCTGGTATACCGTGTCCATGCGCTCCCTCCTAGCATGATCCCTCTAGTGTGGGATTTCGGACAGTTGAACAATGTTACTGAAAAACTCTATATACAGCAGATTGTGCAAAGACTTACTAGGTCAATACCAATGTCTGATGTTGAGCTCCAGTTAATAACAGATGTGCTTTTTGAGTCTCAGACGTATATGAGGCAAAGGAATGATGAATGCAGCTTTATCAGCCTCAGGGATGTGGAACGCTGCGTGGAAGTCTTCAAGTGGTTCCACAGCCACAGTGAACTACTAATGAAACATCTGGAGAAGCAAGTTGCAGAGAGGAAGGCAGCTAAAGGTTTTGTCCAGCGAGACCCAGTCATTTGGTCCTTGGTTCTTGCAGTGGGTGTTTGCTACCATGCTTCCCTGGAAAGGAAAAGGGAGTACCGCAGAGTCATCAGCACCATCCTTCCAAAGCCATATGATGATGAAAAGGGAATTCTTGAAGAAATTGGCTTAGTTCAGGATCTCTTCTTGAGTGACCTACCTCTGAGGGAAACGATCGCCAAGAACTTGGCACTGAAGGAAAATGTTTTTATGATGGTTATCTGCATTGAACTTAAAATCCCCTTGTTTCTCATTGGCAAGCCTGGCAGTTCCAAATCTCTTGCCAAAACGATTGTGGCTGATGCCATGCAAGGCCAAGCAGCATATACTGATCTTTATAAAGAACTGAAGCAAATCCATTTGGTGTCCTTTCAGTGCAGCCCACACTCTACCCCTGAGGGAATCATCAACACTTTCAAGCATTGTGCTCGCTTCCAAGAAGGAAAGAACCTAAAGGAGTATGTCTCTGTGGTGGTGTTAGATGAAATTGGCTTGGCTGAAGACTCCCCCCAAATGCCTCTGAAGACCCTTCACCCGCTCTTGGAAGATGGCTGTGTTGATGATGATCCACTCCCTCATAAAAAAGTTGGCTTCATTGGGATCTCTAACTGGGCGCTGGATCCAGCTAAGATGAATCGAGGCATCTTTGTATCCCGTGGAGAACCAAACAAGAAGGAGCTCATAGAAAGCGCAAAGGGTATCTGCTCTTCAGAACGCTCCGTCCTGCACAAAGTTGACCGCTTCTTTCCCATCTTTGCAAGTGCTTATGAGGAAATTTGCAAGACCCAAGGCAAGGAGTTCTTTGGGTTGCGTGATTATTACAGTCTCATAAAAATGGTGTTTGCTTTAACCAAAAAACTGAAAAGAGAGCCAGCTCCCCGTGAACTAGCAGAGATAGTTCTCCGTAATTTCAGTGGTAAAGAAGGTATTGAGGCCTTGAACATTTTTATGTCTAGGTTCTCAGAAAAAGGAGATGCCATCCGTGAGGACACTGGTACAATTGATCTAGTTCAGCAGAACATTTACAGTGACTATGAGGATGGTGAATGCCGTTACCTGCTGGTGTTGACGGAAAATTATGCAGCCCTCCAGATCCTGCAGCAGGCTTTTTTCAAAGATACACAGCAGCCAGAAATTATTTTTGGTTCCAGTTTTCCCAAAGACCAGGAATACACCCAGATCTGCAGAAACATCAACCGAGTGAAGATCTGTATGGAGACAGGGCAGATGGTCATTCTTCTCAACCTGCAGAATCTGTATGAAAGCCTCTATGATGCCCTCAACCAGTATTACGTTCAACTTGCTGGTCAAAAGTATGTTGACTTGGGCTTGGGGACCCATCGAGTGAAATGCAGAGTGCACCCTAAGTTCCGTTTGATTGTCATTGAGGAGAAAGAGGTGGTCTACAAACATTTCCCCATCCCGTTGATCAACAGGCTTGAAAAGCACTACCTAGACATCAATACCGTGTTGGACAGGAGGCAAAGAGACACTGTGGAAGAATTGAAGAAATGGGTGGACAGCTTCACAGCAGCTGAAACTGAAAAATACTTTATGGGCCATCAGAAATATACCCCTTCTGATGTCTTTGTTGGCTACCATCCTGACACCTGTGCCTCAGTTGTCTTGCAGGTGACGGAGAAGCTGAAAATGGATGTTTCCCCTCAGGAGCTGATGCGAAAAGTACAAGAAGAAGCCAAGTTGGTCCTGTTAAACTGTGCAACGCCCGATTCTGTAGTCCGCCTTGGTGATTCGCGGCTGGGTTCCTTTCTGGCAGATGACTTGGCCAAGGTATACTTTCAGCAGCAACATCACACTTCGCTTGCAGAGTTCCTTCGTGCTTGCCTTGGGACAGAGTCTAGGGGTCACACAACCTTTATTGAGGTGAGTTCTGAAATACTTCTTTGTTCTTTTTTTAATACATTAGGAGTTTTGCTCTCCTGAGATGGCATTAGAACTTTAATAATTCTAGACTACAAATGGGAGCATATGGATCAGAAAATACATTTCTCTTCACCTTGGAGATCATTATTCTATATTGTCAGAAAATGTTAAGTCAAAAGTCTGGTCTGAGCTATATTTTACTGGTTGTACAAAGGTTTAAGATATTTCTCATGGGTAAAAGTGAAGCAGCCATTACCAGTCCTGCCTTCATTAAATTGTCCATCAAGCAGTATTTACAGCAAGGTAAAATGTAGCTACTGGTCCAGTTGAGCTGTAATGGCGATACACGGTTTGTAAAGAGAATGTGCTACAGCAAGCCTTGGGCTTGTGTGTGAAGGAGAAGGGAGGAGAGAATGCAAATCTAAAGCATACTCTAGATGCCTCTCATAACAGGAAACCAAGTTGTATTGTTTTATTTGATCTTATTCAATATAAAACAGTGAATATCTTGCTATCCGCTTCGCCATGGGTGTTCCATGTGCTAGAAACATTTTGAAATTAAAAGTTCAAACAGCAGATACAAGTGACAGGTGATACAATTAATTTTGCTTTTTTGGCAACTCAGATGCCAGCATTCTTGGTGTCTCATATGCGGCCAGAGATTTAGAGAATCCAAATAAGATCTGTTTTGCCCATGTTTGTTGGTGGAATGATTTCCTAGTGCTTCCTTTGGCAGTGGAAAGACTGTCCAAGAAATTAGCAACGTCTAGACTGCTTGTCAGGGTAAAAAGTAAGGCATCTAAATGCTACTCAGCAGATTATACCTTTTCCTTCAAACAGGAGTTGCATTTCTTTTTCCCTCTCTGCCTCCCTTTTAATTTTATTTTCATTCCCATCATGATCTAATAGAATTTTTGTTGTCAAATAGGTGTAGTAGTTGACAACCAAGTTTTTCGGATTTGTTCTGACAGAAATGTTGGGTTCTTGATTGCTGTCAGCATCACTCAGATCCTAAGAGCAACTCAAGGGCCTCCTTAGTGTATGTGGTGCTGGTGGGGCTAACCTTAATTTTATTGGACATTAGACTACCATGCCATATTGCTTCATTTTGTTTCAAAAGGGTTTGCTGTGTGCAGTTGTGCAAAAATCTTAAAAGGCTTTGTACATCTCTGACAGAGAAATCTCGTATTTTTCTTTACGTTTCAGGTTACAACTTTCTCTAGACTCTTGACTGCGGCAGACACAGAGACTTTGAAGACAGAACTATTGGACAATGTAGGCATTCCAAAAGTTCTTTTCTTGCAACAGTTTGACACAGAACATTCCTTTTTGAAAGAAATTCGGTGAGTGGCTTGCATTTCTCAGTCCACTTGGTTTGTAGACCACATTGAAGATGACAGTAACAGAATTTTTGAGTGAAACAGATGGGTAGAGAATAAGCATGGGCTTGTGGTAGCATTTAAGGTTATGTTATAGATTCAGATTGCTGGGATAGATGGAAGTTGATATTTATTTATTATCTATCACCCACCCTTCACCCTAAGGTGCCGTGGTGTGTGACAATATTAAAAACAACATATAGTCATAAAAAGTGGGGCCTAAAAATATACAAGAGTTGGGTCTTCAGCATTGTCTGGAAGCTGTAGAATGAAGGTACCAGACACACATCTGTGGGGAGGGAGTTCATAGCTTAGGGGCAGCCACAGATAATGCCCTTTCCCAGGCTACCACCACCACCCCAAACCTACCAAGAGGACCCCCTCTGCCAGTCTCAGCACCTGAGATGGTCTATAGAGAAGGAGGTGGTCTTTCAGATATTTGAAGTCTGGGTACCGTACTGTTGTGTGTGATGATCCACTCTGTGCCTGAAATACAATACCCTTTTAACCATTCTTGTGACATCTGTTGTTTTCTCCCAGGAATTCTCTTTCTGTTGCGCCTGGAACTAAAATACTGATTATTCAGACTGACTTTGAAAATGGATCCCTCAGTGCCCAGATTGTTGCCTCAGCCAAGTATGTTGTATAGCATGTGTTGTATTTTCCAGCTTCTTTATTAGAGCAGCATTGAACTCATGGCTAAGAGTTACCACAATCTTTTTCAAGGTCTACCCTTTTCAAGGTCTAGTAAAACACTTGGGGAAAGTGTGAGGGAAGACAAGCTTTTGTGTGAAGCTATATGAACATGTTGTTGTTGTTGTTTAGTCGTTTAGTCGTGTCCGACTCTTCGTGACCCCATGAACCAGAGCACGCCAGGCACTCCTGTCTTCCACCGCCTCCCGCAGTTTGGAACATAGTGAACATTTAAAACTTGGTGTTAGGATGGGGTGGAGAAGTAAGCCTTGTGTGTTGCGATAATGAGATGTGATTAGGTAGTAGTGTCCTCTGTACTGCCACTTGAAATTGCCAACAAGTGTTTCCTTTCCCTTACAGATACTCAGCTGTTAATGAAATTAACAAAATAGACCTGTGTGAAGCCTCAGTGTTTGTGCTCTTCATCACTAAGCTATCTCGCATTGAAGGAGGAAGTTCCTATGTGGGATTTCATGGAGGTAGGTCTGCACAACTGGTGCAGTGGGATGTAGAATAAATATGAGGTTTTCAGTGAGTTTGGAATGCTGTTGCAACTCGGAATAAATACCTGATATCGGCGCAAATAGAGAAGAAAATAGGGCTATTTTGTGAAGTATCAAATTGAGGTCCAAATTGAATCTTGTGGTCAGGACACTTCTCTAATAAATGCAATATTTGCTGTCTTTTGCTTTCTTTTGAAAACAATACAAAGAGAGCAGACGGGGTTAAAGGATGCCCATACTGTGAATACCTTTTGATGAAGGATGGTATATAAGTCTAATAAATAAGAAATCAGTATTATTGAGCCTCTAGGTAGCTAGGCTCATCCCTATCTGTCCTGCACTGGATTTTTCTTTTTTTTTTTTAGATCATCATCATTTTTTATTTGTATGCTGCCTTTGCACAGTTAAAAAAACAATTCTCAAGGCGGCTTACAGTGTAACAAGATTTACATAATTAAAAAAGTCATGAACAATAAATAAACCACATTAAAAAATACACAACCAAATGGGAAACAATTTCCACATAAATCAAAATCTAAAACTAAGAATACAGCATGAATATCACAGTTTAAAATGACATAGGTAAAAAATAACAGCAATTTAAACAAAACAAAACGGAGCCCTCTCTGCCTAGCAGCAGCAACAGTCCTTTATAGAGCCCATCAGGCCCCGTCCTGGGCCAGGTGGTGAGTGGCAGGACTGGGGCCCTCAGGTGCTGAGCCATGATAACTTCATGGCAGTAGTCACCGAAAGTATTTCTGTCTATTGCTAGGAATGTGGCAGTCTGTGCACATTGATGATCTAAGGAGATCCAAGGATATGGTTTCTGATGTAACTTCCCTGAGGAACATAACCCTCAGCCAGCTGTTTTATGAAGATACGGGGAAGTCTGCACAAAAACGTGAGTGTAAGAATTTCAATAAGTGATGTAGCATTAACTTCTGACAACTTGTAGTCATTCCCGGTGTCCTTAATTTTATCAGTAAGCAAATTTCAACCCATGCAATCTTCTGTATTATTTGCAGCTGTGATTATGGCAAAGGAAGAAGAACAAGATGAGGAGATGGATGTGGTAGCAGCAGCACCCAAAACAGAAAGATTGGCTGTAAGTTTCAATGTATCTCACTTTAATTATTTTATTTGGCAACCTTTGAAAACAGAGAGTGCTCCCCCCCCCCATTTATTCATGCTGGGGACAAATCATAAAAATCCCAGAGATATTATTGTACTTGTTCTCTGTTATGGTTTCCCCTCCATTCCCCACCCCCCAAATGGTATGGGAGCCTGCATATCCCCAAATTTTCTCAGGTGTAGTGAGGAAACATCTAATAAGCATGGATTATGCTTCCTCATACCAGAGGTTGGGTTCCTTTCCCTGTTTTCCTGGGCTTCAGCCCTTCTCCCGTCTGCTCTGCTATCTTTGCATGTTTTCTGCCCCCACCTCCCAGCCTTCTTTGCCTTTTTTCTTGCTCCCCTTATTGTCCATTTCTGCTCTCTCACCTGTTCATTGTTTCTGTGGCTTTCCTGAACAAACAGGCAGATCTGTAGTAAAAATGACCACCCATGTTAGAATGGCGAAAACCTAAGGGGTGGGAATTCTGGCTGCTGCTGCCAAAAGCAAGTCTCTCCAGAACATGTGTTCCTCTGAGCACAGGGATCGCTCTGGCCTACCATTCCAATTGATCCCTAAGGGAAAGTCTTCCTCATCACAGAGGAACAGGTTGGCTACCTCCAAACTCTAGACACCCCCTCTAGACACTAAACAATTAGTTAGGGCCCATTTCAGCCAGCTTCCATCTCTGGGCTTCTACTGAGCCTCTCAAAGACAGTGGTGAATGGTATCACCTCAAGGACCTCTTCTCTCCCTAAGAACTAACAAACCTTGTGATCATCCTCTGAGGTCCTTCTTTGTGTGTCTTCTCCATGAGAGGTCTGGAGGGTAGCAACATGAGAGCAGGCCTTTTCTGCAGTGGCTCCCCATTTGTGGAATGCTCTCCCCAGGGAGGCTTTGTTACATCCAGTATATTTAGGTACTGGGCAAAAACATTCCTCTTCTCCTAGGCCGTTGGCTTATTAGCTAATTTATGGCCTTTTAAATTGTCTGTGTTTGGGTGGGGGCAGGTTATTGTTTTTGTTTGCTACTATGTTATGTGTTGTAAACAGCCCTGTGATCCTCGGATGAAGGGCAGTATACAAATTTAATGAATAAATAATCACAAAGTCTGCAGGCGTCCCTTGTTAGCACTGAGAGTAAGCCCAGCATTTTCCTGGTGGCCGTCATTTTGTTAGCCTCACTATCATCTGTTTACCAGAACATTGCAGGAGCTCCTTTTTAGTGTCTCCATGCTTCTGTACTCAATTCTTGCTCTCCCCTCTGCTCCCAGCACTAAGCCTATTATTGGACTGATAAAACATAGATCCCATTCTGGGTCTTGTCTTAAACACTCCAAAGAGATCAAGGACACCAATTATCGCAAGTGGAGTAGATCTCCAATGCAGGAAGTGGGTTCTTCTCACTTCTCCACCATAACAAAACAAGTACTTATTGGTTTTTGTTAATAGGACCTTGCTGTGCTATCCCTTTTCCTTGCTTTTATGACTGCTCTTCTCCAGGCAGATAAATATGCTGATTCCTGGCTGCAGGGGAGATCTTGTATCTTTGTCTCCTGTATTGGCCAGCAAGCAAGAGAGTCATTACAGGCAGAAAGCTCTTGTTTACATCAGTTCCCTTTTTCAGAGAAGAAATGTGCACCAAGTTAGTCTGTGTTGCTTCACAATATTAATAGGCTCTCTTTCTCTACTCCTGGAAAGCCCAAAATCTTGGACACCACCGTTCTTCTGAGGAGCTGCGTGCAAAGTGCTGTGGGGATGCTAAGAGACCCAAATGAGAGTTCCAGCCGCAGCACTAGGAGGATTGAAATTCTCCTTAGCCTTCTTTCTGAGGAAAGTGATTTGAAAGGTATGAATGACTAGGAGCATTTTGTTTTGTACAGTGGTACCTTTTGGTTATGGGCCCAGATGTGCCACAAGATGTGGCAATAAGGCAAAATCATATCAGTTAAAGCTTTTAGTGCTTCCATCTTGCCAAGATAACAGCTGTAGTTTATTGTCACCTAGTCTAGCTTCTAAACACCAGTGTAGCACATCTGCAACCTCTCCTACTTCATGCTGAGCATTTTGTAGATTCAGCATACTCAAAACTCTTCACTCATCCCCAGATGACGAAGCGCAACAATTTTATATAGATAATACAGGGTGAGTCTTTTAAAAGAGGCCCCATGGAACATGTGTACACTGTATCAATGGGGCCTCTTTTAAAGGACTCACCCTGTATATTTGTAATTTTATAGCTGACAGTCAAGCACTGCAGAAGGTTGTGAAACCTTAACTGGTGTTGATGATAAAATCGGACTAAATTAGCTATCGGTCCAATAGAAATAGATACCTTTTGTTTTGTCTTCAACACTTGAAATCTAGCCTTAAGGAATACCAGTTAGCACACTTTCTGCTATTTTTCAGCTTCCTTCCTGAAGATAACAAAGAATCGCCTCTTAACCCTTTTGAGAAAGCAAGAGGAGAACTCTTACATCATGAAAGAGTGGGTGCTTCGGGAGGCATCAAACCTCAATGCCCTCCAAGAAGCGGGAACTTTCAGGTATACACATTAGTTGAAACTAGTCGTATTTCAGCAATCTAAAAATATAGGCCAGTATCTAAAGAGTACACCTCCCTTAAGATGGTTCCATGCACTCAGAGGAATTATAAATTTATTGTTCCAGCTGTGGCCCCACAAGCTACATTTGATACTTCTCCAGAGGGTCCCCTTGAGCTTTGGGAACTTTTCAGATGGGTTTAAGGGCCGCAGAATCAAGGTGGTGTTAAGAGTTTGGTAAATATATTGCAGTGGTATGCAGAGCGAAATAATCTAGTAAAACAGCTGGTTGAAAGGAGAAATAAAACAAGGTTTATTAGTCATGACAAAGTCATTCTGAGTACAGGCTTTAAAGGTAAAGGGACCCCTGACCATTAGGTCCAGTCACAAACGACTCTGGGGTTGCGCACTCATCTCGCTTTATTGGCTGAGGGAGCTGGCGTACAGCTTCCAGGTCATGTGGCCAGCATGACTAAGCCGCTTCTGGCAAACCAGAGCAGCCCACGGAAACGCCGTTTACCTTCCCACCGGAGCGGTACCTATTTATCTACTTGCACTTTGACGTGCTTTCGAACTGCTAGGTAGGCAGGAGCAGGGACCAAGCAATGGGAGCTCACCCCGTCGCGGGGATTTGAACCGCCGACCTTCTGATCAGCAAGCCCTAGGCTCTGTGGTTTAACCCACAGCGCCACCCGCATCCCCATGTACAGGCTTTGCATGTGGCCAAAAGTAGTGTCACTAGCACATGCTAACTCACACAGGGCTTATCCACACCTCCCTTTTCCTTACCTCTTTCCCCCGGGAAAACCTGCGGTTTAGCACTGAATTGGAACAAACAGCAATCAGGTTTTCCATGGATTCTTAAAGACAGTCTTAGGGTCCCGTGCCTAAGAAAGCACAGGACAAGTGGAAATGAGGGCGAGCCCTGAATCTGTTTTGAGCAAATGTAATTCAGAGAAAATACAGAAAGGAAATAAAAGTCTCAAATGAAGTAATCTATTTCACCAACAAGTGGTTACTAAGAAAGAATAAGCAGGGGAAGAATAAATTGTCATTTTGTCTATTTCCTTCACCATCACCACAATGGTTCGGGTAACTTACTGCAAAGCATTGTTGCTTTATTCCCAGGAGGTGGAGGGTCTGAAAAGTCTCACATGTTTTTCTTTTTTTGTTTTCTGCAGTCAACTGCAGTATTACAGCTAGTTAAATATCCTGGCCCTTTTGAGTTCAGAGCATTTACATGTGTAGCTGGTGCAAGATGGGAACCAAAACTCTTAATAAAACTGGGTGTTGTTGTTTTCTGCAGTAATAGCTCTGTGGGCCAATAATGTTTGACTGTCTTTCAAAGTTTCTGCCTCTGCTTCAGGTGGTAACATTCCATATGTAAATAGTATAAACGTCGCTTCAAAACCATGGTTCACAATTGGAAAGGTCTTTCAAAAGAAGAAAGAAGTATATATGCAAGTCAAAAAAAAGGATTGCTTTTTCTTTATAACATTCTCCCTTGAGATTTTCAGTCTTGTCAGAATGCTCCTGAAAGAGTGCGTGATTGTGTCTGAACAATTTCTTCTTAATATTGGGTATTCTTTTTTTTGTTTGTTTTTGTTTCCTTTACCTCTTTTGAAACTTGCAGGCACACCTTGTGGAAGCGGGTGCAGAGTGCAGTTATACCATTTCTGGCCTATATGGTGTCTGTCCTAGACAGAGACGGCAACTTGGACCTGCTGGTTAGACCAGAAACAGAAAGTTGTGTGAAAGCTCTGTGGATGTTCATCTTCAATGATCTCAATCTTCTGAATATCCCTTACATTATGAGTGACAAAAGGTAAGTGGCACAACCAAGGCAGCAATGGTTGCTGGTGAATTGATTTGTTATTAAATGTAAATGGTGAATGTGATTTTGACTCCCATGTGAAGGAATATTTTGAAAGCTGTTTGTTCATTTGGCAACTATGTATGCCAGTAGAAGGCCATGACAGTTTGGCTTCCCATTTCTCAGTAGGTTTGGCTTACAGCAGAACTCTTTAATACCTAGGTTATATCACATACTTCTAGCCTAGACAGGAGAACCTTGCTGCAAATTTGAATACTGTCTCCTCCATTTCCAGGAGCTTCTCCCATTTTGTCTTCTTGTCTATCCTAGCAGAAGTCCTCCTTTTTTTCCTCCATCCTTTGCACAATTTAATCCTCTTTGCTCCTCAACTTGTTGGGGTTTTTTCGCTGTTCTACCCTGGGGTCTAAATCCAAAACCCTGGCCTGAAAAAAGCAATAGTCTATCTTGAAATCTAGGCAGTAGATGATCTTCTCTCCCATGAGACTTGGGTGAGTGAGCTGGGTGGACCTGATCTTACCCAGCTGCTCCCATAGTACAGTACCAGGCTAGTCGGGGTGTGTGTGTATGTATGTAGGGGTTGTGAATTGCTATCCTGTGGGACCAAAGAGAGTTCTCCAGACCTGTAGTATCCTTTTATTCCATGTGTTAATTATAGTGTCTCTGAAATGCATCCACTACATTCATTCATTCATTCATTCATTCATCCATCCATCCTTATGGAATAAGTTATTGAGGCAGCCCTCATACTAATTGTATCCTGTAATCCATTCATTCTGCATTCATTGTTTCTTTTTCTATATAAACAGATTGCATTTTACATGCACCTTGATTAAAGGCTGGCCTTATGATCTATTTTTTGTGTTTTTTTAATAGTAATGATTAATAGATTAAAGAAAAGTAAAAGTAAGTTTCCCCGCTTGGTAATGGAATTCTACCAACTTTCTGATTGATTTTGCATGTTTCTTGCCCAGCTCCCAATCCAAGACAATTCTGGTGGAGAATTCCTTTCAGGTATTTACAGATGCTGGCAATGAAATACCCTTCAGCTGGAGGATAAAGGATTTTTTGGAAGACCTTTGGGTTCAAGCCCCATATGTCATTGGTGATGAAGGTGAGAGTGCAGGGATGACATTGAAACTGGTGTCACTCATAGGAACATTTAGATAAATATGTCAAATGGATCTGAAGGCAATAATGAGGCACCATCCCTTTTCAATGTTTGTTATGGGGTTCAGCTGCTGTCCTCTATGGTTCTATTTGCCAAAAAAAGCCCCAAAACGGACATTTTGCCGTTTTTCTAAAATCCCCCCCGGGCTCTGTTTTCCCCATTGGAATCCTGTTCGCAAATTCTCCCTTTGTAGAGAAGGTGATTGAGAAAGCGGTGGCACAACAATTGCAAGTGCTCTTGGATGAAACATGATCTCGGCCCATTTCAATCTGCATTCAGGCCTGATTATGTGACTTGATTTGGTCTTGGTCATCCTAATTTATGACCTTTATCAGAAGGAGGACAGGGGAGTGCAACCCTATATTCTTATTTGATCTTTCAGTGGCTTTTGGTTCTGCTTATGCAAGTTTTTAGTCCCTGAGCATCTTCTGTTTCTAATTGCTTTTATAGGCATATCCTAAAGTATACAGACAAATGTTCCTACTGAAAATTTACTGCATATCCAAGAATGTCCTGGATTTATGTCCAGGACATGACAGTCCTAGCTGCTAGACTTGCTAGCTGCTAAGAGCATTGCTTTGGGACTAAAGGAGTGATTTGGGCCACATTTCTGGTGCAATGTCAAATTTTCTATTTCTCAGTAGTTACCAAAAAACTTCTTCATAAACGACAAACAGCTTTCAATGTTTTGGGTTATGAGTCTTACAAAGTAAAGGGTCATCATACTTTTAACTTTTGAAATAGGGCCGTGCCACTGCTGCATGGTATTTCTGGGAGATATTTATTTATTGAAGCATTTATATACTATCCTATCATAAAATGTCAGGACATTTTAAACAATATAAAAAGCAATACAAAACAACCTTTAAAACGACTGGCAATTCAAGAAGATTCATGCCTATTGGCATAAAGAGATACTATGGCATTTAAAATTCCCATCTAATCTAGTTTCCTCCCATTGTACTCCTGACCTGTAGGCCATGCGGAGAAGTTTGTAGGACTCTTTCAGAAGACACCACTGGGGCAGCATATTGCTGGTCTCTCTGCTGAAGAAAGAAACATCATTTTCCACTGTTTTATCAGAGACTATATCCGTCTGATAATGCATGTGGCCTCTCCGAATGAGCTAAATGTGAGTATACCAGTAAGGGATGTTGAGCTGCTTGGAAGAAAGCATGTGCCAGTTGCTACGTTCACAATTTGTGTGCTGTAGCATCTTCAAGAAATGGTATTGCTGGTAGTTGTCTTTCATAAATATAAGTCTGCTTTGTCAAGATACTGGAAGCATTAACCACCAGAATTACCTACCAACAAGGTTTCCCTGTAAGTACCAAGCTATTTTTAAAACAAAAACCTAACCTAAATAAGAGATTATAGCCATTGTAACACTGAGATTGTTAGGACATTTATCTAATAACCATTTGGTTATTAAGAAGAAAAAAAAAACACAAAAGCAACTTTGAAGAAATTAGATTGTTTCAACCAGATATGTGATTACTATAAGAATTCACTTATTTATAAAGACTTGTTGTTCAATTTCCAGTTGCTGCAGACAGCTCTCTTATCATGCATAGAGGAAATGAAGGCAGCCTCGCCCAGTGCGGAGGAGGAGGTGCTGCCCATCTCCTGGATCCATCTTGGTTACCATCAGTTTAGTAGTCGTCTGCAAAACCTTTCCAGGATTCTTGCTGTGAACCCTGAGGTGCTCAATGCTCTCACTGAACATATTGAGAAAGGAGGCAGCCTCTTGCATCGCCAAATGGTAGGAATCATATTGGGTGTGTGGTAATATTTTAGAAAAAAACACAGCCTCTGAAGTACATGGTATTCTTCCGTTGCTTTTCTAAAGTATTAGGAGAAACTATACTGCCTTTAAGGAGAGGTACTAAACATCACACAAGGCTTTAACACGTCCGTATCTGCTATACTCCTAATAACAAAGCTAATCAACATAGTGCCCTGCATCTTTTGTTGGGCTCTGACTTGAATTAGCCTCAACCAGCATTGCCTCTCCCAGGGATGATGGGAGTTGCAGTCCAAACAACATCTGGAGGGCGTCCCATTGGGCACCTCTGTCTTAACAGTGTATCTGCCCTACTGTGAGAACACAAAGATCTTCTATGAGCTTGTGAACCAAATGATTTATACATAATTGCAGTGCCAAACAGCCGTGCAATCAATCTGTTGTGGACATATGTACAGTGAGCATATTCCACAACTCTCCTGAGATGTCTGTGGAAGATAAGATTAGAGATTATGCATGGGGGGTTATGCAAATACTCCCAAGGCAGAATTACGGTGCAAATTGCTGGACTGAGAGCAATAAGGTGAAATTGAATAGTTAGTGTAAAATTCTATGGAAGGAAGAAAATACAGGTGTTAAAGGTTGGGTGATGGAATGTGCCCTATTTAGAATAGAGGGTAAAGCAGGACATTTGTTTTAAAAGTAATAGATGGGATAAACAGAAAGGAAACCAACTATACACACTGCGGAAGTGTCATTACGTGTTTATGAAACTGGTAATGCGGATATCGTCATAGTTCTTCTCAAGTTCTGATGCCAACTTACTCAAGGGAGAGGGATATTTATTTTCTGTAACTTGCTTAGTTAAGGGGGGCATACAGCCTTACTAGTGTCTGAAGCGAATGTATTTTTCTTTACTATCCATGTCTGTATTAAAGCCCTGTTCATGCCTGATTGCTCAGGTTTTGGATGTGCTTGCCGCAATTGCTTGTACTGAGATGTTGGAAGAAAAACTGCTGAACTGCAAATCTCAAACATGGCTCCAGCAGGTGAAGAAGCTTCAAATGCCAATTGAACTTGTGTGTACAGCAAACTACTTTCAAAGCAATGAGAGCCAATGTGACCAGCTGCTCCAGGAAGTCAGGTAGGTCTGAGAGGCAAAATATGAATTTAAAAGTATAGTAATGTTTTCCTTGAGATTAATTGCATATGACATTGTCACTTGGTTACATTGCTGTTTCACCCATTTGAGCTGTTGTGGTAGTCACCCATTTGCAAAGCTGCTTCCCTCTTAATACCCTCAAATCCCAGATTACATGTTTCCTGTGTTATGACACGCACACACAACTTAGTAAGTGGTATAGTGGTTAGAGAGTCAGACTAGGAGCTGGGAGACCAGGGTTCATCACCTCGCTCAACCCTGAAGCTCACCTTTCCTACCTCACAGGATTGTTGCAGGGATCAAGGAGGGGAAAAGAACCTTGTATGCCACCTTGAGGTGGGATATAAATGCAATAAATAGTAAAAGTAAAATGCTATTATGGAATCTACAAAGGAATATGGAATGAAAAAATTACAGTAGTCAAGTGGCTCTGTGAGCCTCCGAATTGAAGCTCAGTGGAACAGATGTAGCTTGTTAAGTAAAAGAATAGTAAATGGAGAGGCTGTGCATCTGTGCTGCTGCACTCACTTGAGTACTGGCCCTCTCCTTAGTTACATTTTACTAGTGGGTTACTAGTCTTTTCCAAATCAAGTCTTCAGTGCCACTGAATTTTATGACGTGCTCTGCAAAAGGCAGTGATGATCCCTTCTTATACAGCAGGAGTCATCCCTCAATCCAGTCATCTGGTATTGTCCCCCCCCATATATAAATAAGCCATAACTCACATTTCTCTTTGAAACAGGAGCCGATGGAATCGGGTTTTCTCAGTCTCTCTCTTTGTGGAACATGTGCTACTTGGAGCAGAAAAGGCGATCCCAGAGATGGTGGATCTGATAAAGCAATACACCACAAGGCTTGGAAAGGTAAGGACCCTTTTTGCATTTGGAGGGAAACATCACTTTAAGAAACATCCTTTGCTTATTTGGCTGGCCATAAACAAGTTAAATATGTACCAGTTTTATTTCAGCACTCAGAACTTGCTTTTCTGTTCATAGGTAGAATGGCACTTCCAATTTGTAAGACAGAAACAGCAATAAGCATAGTGCCTCAAATGCCTAAAAAAGAGATATGTTTTAATCTGTTAATGTCGATGCTAGGCAGGCCTCACGGGAGATCATTCTATAGCTGGGGAGGGGTTGTGTACACATAATACTTGTAAAGCACAGTAGAAATGCATTCTTTCCATCAAAGAATTCTAGGTACTGTGGTTTGTTAAAGGTTTATGGGAACTGTAACCCTGTGAGTGGTAGACTGCAGTGTCCAGAATTCTTTTAGGGGAAGTGTGTTTCAAAACTTCTTTAAAGGTATAGTGTGTCCACATCCTAAGTCTTATTGAACTCGGCCCTTCTGCAAAGACATGTATCATTGCTGTAGTAAAAATAATGTAATAAAGTCAGTTGGAGTAGCTTATTTGGCTAGCTTGTTAAACCCAGTTAGAACAAATGCATGTTCTGCTATTGCAGTTACCATAGCGATAAATGTGCAGACTCCTGTGGTTACTGCATTGTTTGCCTACATTTGAGGGCCTCTTCCCATTCACATTGTTTTTATTCTTTTCAGTGTTTCCAGTGGAATTCTGACATCAAAACTCTTAACACATTCACTGCAGTGATGAAAGTGTTGTGCGACTGCAAGGATGAAATCAGTTCAGCATTTTGCAAGTAAAGCTTTTGGGATGTGTGAGGAGGGCTGGGGGAAAGGCAGTTTGTGGGGAAGCAGTGGGATATAAGTTAAATGTGAAAGGAGAAAGATAAAAAAAATGACATTAGGTGAACTGAAATCTTTTGAGAGCTGTGGGAGTTTGAGAGGGGGAAAATTAAATTAAAGGCCTTATTTGTTTGGCATCTCTGGGTGAGCAGATTTTGCCTAAAATGGAATGACTGACTCATAACACCTCCAGAACCAATGTCTATACTTATTGATTAAAACTAAACTATGGAACTCCCTGCAAGAAAAAAATTGCGGTGATGAAGAGTCTAGTGATTTCCAAAAAGGAGTTAGATACAGTGGTACCTTGGTTGTCAAACTTAATCTGTTCTGGGAGTCCATTTGACTCCTGGAACTGTTTGACAACCAAGGCGCGACTTTCAACTGGCTGTAGGAACTTCTTGCACTCAATTGGAAGCCGTGACGGACATTCAGCTTCCGAAAATCATTCGAAAACTGGAACACTCACTTCTGGGTTTTCGACATTTGGGGCCGAAAAGTTCGGCAACTAAGCTGTTTGAAAACCAAGGTTTCACTATTGGCAGAAAATTTTGCCAGCAATTGACAAGTGATTACACCAAATTTCACCTTTTTATGACTTGCAGCCCCTATGCTAGCATTTTGTGATTGTGGGGGCAGGCAGGGCTCAGTAATTTTCAGTTCTCTCAAATGGACCCTGAAAGGGGAAGGGTATAAAGTTTGAGCATCCCTGACTTCAGCAATGGGCTCTACAATTAAATATATGATCACATTAACTGTGGCTCTTGAATTCACAGGTATGGCTTAAGACCGTGTCCAATATGTATGGGAGATCCTAAGGACCCAGTCAACCTACCTTGTGATCACGTATATTGCCACAGTTGTATCAAACAGTGGCTGGTGGCAGGACAGATGTCCTGTCCGCTTTGCCTGGTTGAACTACCAGAAAAATATTCTATTGAAGTATCCAAGGAGCTCAGGTAATGCCTTCTTCTGATTAACAATCTATAATACTGGTAATGATTTAGAGACACTGGCCTTAATTTCTGAGGACTTAATATAACCCACTAGCTATGCATTTCTTAGCATTTACACACGTGCTTTGTGGTGCAAGTTGCGGAGTTGACCAGATATGTAATGGCTTGTGCATTTTCTTCACAGTATTTGCATAGAAAAAAACACCCAGTTCCGTAAGTTTTGCAACAGTTTTTTCATAGACCTGGTTTCTACTATGTGCTTCAAAGACAATGAACCCCCAGAAAAAGCTGTGATCCAGATGCTGCTGAAACTCCTGTTTTTCCATACAAAGCCTTTGAGAGGTACGTGCACAGGATCTTTTATCAGCTGTCTTGTCTTGAATAAATAGACTTTTCCATGTCTTTATGCAGTGTTTTATTACTTCTTTAGGAAACCCCAGGGTGCATACAAAATCTCTGTCCCCTTTTAACGATGTGGTAGATAAAACTCCTGTAATTCGTTCCGTCGTGCTAAAGTTGCTTCTAAAATACAGGTAAGGACTTTCAATTGGGACTTTCAACTACCCTGCTGCTTCTTCAGCGTTTATCCCACTGATGCATGTTTTCGTTAAATTGAAGTCCTTGTGGTTCTTTCCTGGGTTCAGCTATTGCTTTTCAGAAACTCTTGCTGGCTCTCACCTCGGCTCTGTTGTACAACTGAAATGCATACTTCTGACAGTGGAAATCTTTCATTTTGAGTAAGGAGAGTTTTCTCTGTTTCTATAGCTTCAACGATGTGAAAGTCCATGTACAAAATTATTTATCAGAAGTAGAATCAAGCGGCATCCTAGACAAAGATGATAAAACAAAAGTGTACGTGCTATTTGTCAACTGCCTTGAAGTAAGTATACTTTCCAGTTTCCTTGTTTACTTTGCAGGGGTGACCTGGCCCAGTGGTAGAATCTTAGGTCATTCCAGAATCTTAACTTTTCAGAGACATGGAAGAGATAGTATAGAGCAAACATTGCCTGCTGCACATGTGTGCTGGAAGGAAATAGACTAGATCAGAAGGTGCTTGCGATTAGATTTAGTCATTTGCAGTTGACTTCTGTGGCACAAACAGGATTTCCTCATCATCTAAGCTTACACACCACATTTTGTTTATATATTTACCAAGCTGTCAGCTGATGGATCAGGTAGGAGGGAAATACCTTTCCTTACTCGACAAAGCCTGGCACAGCTTTTGCATTAGCATCAAATTCAAAAATTTCAAAATTGAAATGAGCCAGTGTGGTGTAGTGGTTAAGAGCAGTAGACTCGTAATCTGGTGAACCGGGTTCGTGTCTCCGCTCCTCCACATGCAGCTGCTGGGTGACCTTGGGCCAGTCACACTTCTTTGAAGTCTCTCAGCCCCACTCACCTCACAGAGTGTTTGTTGTGGGGGAGGAAGGGAAAGGAGAATGTTAGCCGCTTTGAGACTCCTTCGGGTAGTGATAAAGCGGGGTATCAAACCCAAATTCAAACTTAACTAGCACTTGGGAAAGATTGAGGGCACAAGGAGAAGGGGACGATAGAGGACGAGATGGTTGGACAGTGTTCTCGAAGGTACCGGCATGAGTTTGACCAAAATGCAGGAGGCAGTGGAAGACAGGAGTGCCTGGCGTGCTCTGGTCCATGGGGTCACGAAGAGTCGGACACGACTAAACAACAACAACAACAAACTAGCACTGTGTGTTTTGATTATTGGAGATGGTAGCAATTTCACCCCCTGATATTATTTTGAAAAGCAGTGAGTGAAAAGCCATAATGACGATCATGAGTCATTCTTGAAACATTTGGAACTGTGTGACTTGCTTCTTGATAAGCAAGCCTCATAGTTGTTCGGCTTCCTAAAATTGCCACAGCCCCTACTTGTTTGCTTTTACCTGAGTATTGAACATGCCCACGGAGCATTTGCCTGGACTAAGACTGCAGTCCTAACCCCTTACCTAGGAGTAAACCCCACTGAATTCAGTAGTACGTTTGAGTAGACATGGTTAGGATTGCATTGTAACTGGTGACCAAAATGTTTCCAGATTGGTTTATTTCTAAAGCACCACCAGGAAGCAGAAAAAGCTTTGCAAGCTGGCATACCTGTTGGCTCGGTGGCATTCCATGTACAAAATGGTGTGTGTGTGCTTGCATGTCCGCAAAGGTGCAAACTACAAATGCAAGAAGTTTAAACAGCTTAAACTGTATGGTATGGAAACTTAGTTGTAACCAGGAAACATGGTTTCATTTTTTAGGATTCTATGTGTGAGAAATCAGGAGCCTCCTCTGAGGAAAGCAAAGCAAACCGGCTAAGAGAGGATGGGCGTTTCCTGGAAAACTACTTACAGTGGAGCAGCAACAGCGGTGACACCCGTCAAGAAGCCACCATCGAGTATTTGCAGGGTGTGGCCCACATCCAGCTGTGCTTGGACAGGGCTGCAGAGCTGCTCTTTGAGCTTCATGGAGCTTCAGGCAAGTGGGATTATGGTAACCAAACAGGAATGCAAATGTACCAAAGAAATGGCATGTGAAAGAGTTCCTGGTGCTAGATGATTTTTATCTGTCATACACTTTTAAAATTGTGACCTTTCTATAGCATGGCATAGGGAATAAGGCCTTGTTTTCTTTCTCTCTCTCTGTAGATGGTAGTGAAGAAACAGAGAAGCAACTCTACCTGCAGAAAGTGAAGCGCTTCTGCTGTCAGACTGAAAATGACTGGTATAGAGTTTACCTTGTCCGAAAGCTTACTAATCAGTATGGAATGGAGTTCACACAGAGGCTTTCCAGTGAACAACAGTATCTCTGGGTATTTCCATCGGAAGTAATTAAACAGCAACAGGTAATACATATCTGTATCGTTAATAAATTTGAGATGTTTATTTCTGAGCTATGGCTTGGTACACAAGGGCCAAATGGAATGGCTCTTAAGAAGGAATTTGCAAAAATAAAAGGAATTTGTTTTGCTTACATTGAGATTTCACCCTCTAAGCTAAGATTTATTCACTCAGGCCTTTGGTAACTAAGCTGGTTTCTATGGTGGTGCTCATCTTTTTGTGAGATAGGTAGGACTAATTTTATTCAGTGAGCATTTTAGGTATATTGTGCTATACATGCTTTAAATTTTCTGGTTTTAGTTGTTTTAATCAGTTTTTTTATCTTGTAAGTCACTTGTATTTTTTTGTAAAAAATGTAACTAACAAATATATGTAATATTAATAAGCAAAATATATTGCTTTGGCTAGAGAGCCTCGTGATAACTTAGAATGATTGGGCAGGCATCTATTACCCTTCTGAAGTTTGAAATTCAACTGCAGATTTGTTGGGCAGATTCTGTAGTTACAGCACATTGTTTAGAATGTGCTTTCATATTCACACTTTTTAAAAATGGGACTTGGTATTTTGTGGCCTCAGAGTCATCAGCACAATCAGATGGATCGGTTCCTGGTATGCGGCAAAAACTACAGAGTAGTTCGTGATGCTTTGGGAAAAGCAATAATAGAATGCCAGGCAGATGGTATTGCAGCAGCCCTGAAGGTAAAGCCATTTATTTTGATTTCATATATTCCTGATGATTTTTTCTTCCCTCCTTCCTTTGTATATCTCAGCTCTATTAACAAGGTTTTCTTGCTTACTATTGGTGTCTTTAAGTTGTCCAAAGCCCAAATATTCACCTGTGTTCTACTGTTTACTTCTTGTGCTTATCAAATGACAAGCCATTCTTGCATTGGCTGGAGTATCGGGGCTGAATTTCAGCGCGCTACATGTTGCATTAGAAACATTGACTCTGCTTATAAGTGATGGACTTCCTTTACTGTGCCATTTTGTAGTGTCCTTCATATGTTCTCATCCAGATCTGGGTGGGTCTGCTACCTACAGGAGAAATTTGGCAAATAAAGAAATCCCAATTGAAATACCCTTGCCATGGGTGATGGAACCTTACTGGCTACCAGATTGGAACAGTGTCAGAGAAACATTTACAAAAGTTGTGCCTTTAGTGTCCTTTTTGGACACATCTAGAGATATATTTGGACTGATGCACTAGATGAAATCTTTGTGACCTGGTACCATTTCATGTGGGCGTTTTCTGTAGCAATATCCATGACTGCTAATAGCCAAAGATGAAAGCTTAACTATTGATAATCTCTCATTTCTTGCCCTCTTCTCCACCCTGCCCCACCCCCAATCCCAGCCTTGTAACTTGTGCCTTCTTTTTCAGGCATGCAATGTCGCGAAGTCTGTCCAGGCTGTTCATTTTCTCTTGGCTGTCTTCAGAGAGTTCACATCTCTGTATGGATGCAAGGAGCAGAGTCTTCATCCGAAGCAGGAGGTAAATGCCTTTGTCTTGGTGCCAGTTTGCATGTTGCCTTGTGCACATGTGCTGCTTCTTTAGGAGAGAGAAAGATTTAGGATATCAATTATAGAACTGAGCAAAGGTGGTCGTTTCCCCCAACTTTCATTTAAAAATCCATTGAAAGGCATTGACCTATATGCATTATTAATCATCTTCCAAACAGTTGATCACCTTAGTTGGCCATAGTTCATATGAAGATTGAAGTGAGTCTAGTTGACAAATCTCACCTTACTTTTTGAAAAATAATTTCCTTCTTATTTCAGCAACGTGATGTTATCAAGGAGTTCATCCAGAGCTCCAACGTTCTTCCTTCTCCAGAGCTGGAGAGATTTGCAGAATCTCTGATGGATAACCATCTCCCCTCACTGGCACTGAGCCCCCAAGATTCCAGCCGCAAGAGGGTAGTGATTGAAATGGCAATTCACACTGCCGCTGTCTTGCTGTCTGGCCAGAATCGAATCCTTGAACCTCTAAGGAATCTGGCATTCTCACCTCATACCATGCAGGTAAAGTAGTGAATGTTCCGTTTTCCTTTGCAATTCCCATCAGTTCCTGCACTCATTACTGTTTTACTTGTCTGCCATCACACAGAAACAGCCCTCTCCTGCATGCAAGCATAACACACTTTAGCACTTGGCGAAAGAGTTCAACTGAAGATCTTAATACATGAGCAGGAGGGCACTGCATATTATTCTAGTTCCACTTTGATATTCTCCTTCTCCCCTTCTAGGGTGCTTTTCTGCCAACAATGCCAGAAGACTTACTGGCTCAGGCTGTGGGATGGGTAGCAGGAGCAGGACTTCGATGGTATAGTAAGTACCATGCTCAAGCTTGGGAGCAGTCTAGAGAGCTATTTTTTCCCAGTGGTGTCTTGTCCCCCGAAAATGGTGGAAATAATCCAGGGTATGATGGGCATTGCTTCCATATATTACTCTCCTGTCAAATTACTGTGTTGTATCTATCCATTTAGGCACAAAGACATATGGTTAAGTGTCAGTGGGTGGTACCCAATTCACTCATTCTTTTAGTGCAAGGTTTTCCACTTCCACAGCAGATCCCCCCCGTCTTTCCTCCCTATGCACCCCTGTGACCTCTTCTGAACAGCTTCAGGGGGTTGAGGGAACCCCAGAACAGCCCACAGTCATTGTGCTGACAGAATGAGCTTGTTGAATACCCCCCAGTGTGGACTTTTTAAAAAGAATCTTGATAGTAGTGTTAACTTCTCAGAAATGTGAAGTTGTTATAAAAAAAAACTTTGTGCAAGTGAAATAAGCAGACCTGAAACATTCCAAGATATTTTGATGTGTACCATGGGAACAAGTAGCAGATTGATAGAAATATCCTATTTGTTTCTGAAAGCATCCAGAGGTGTTTTGAGATCAGATTATGTTGTCAGAATTAGCAGAAATTTGTTCATATTTGCCCCATCATGCATCAGTTTGCACTAGTTTACATTTTATTGCATTTGCCATTTTACTGCCCAGTAACTTAGCTTGAAGAGAATAAAAAAATTCCTTCCAGTAGCACCTTAGAGACCAACTAAGTTTGTTATTGGTATGAGCTTTCGTGTGCATGCACACTTCTTTCTCTCCCCAGGGAGGTTTGCCTGGCACCATCATTACACACCTTTAGGCGCCTGCCAAAAACTCTCCACTTTAGACAGGCCTTTGGTTGATTGACATCCGATGCCCTTTAAAAAAGGGGGGTTATTGGGTTGTTTTTGTTTTTATTTTGTTATGTATTTTGAGATTTTATATTGTGAACTGCCCTGTGACCTGCAGGTAAAGGACAAATGAATAAGTAAATAAATCCTTTCTCTTTTTTCCAAATCAGCATGTCCAAATGGCCATCCCTGCACTATTGGAGAGGTAAGAGCTTTCACAGATTGTGTGTGTATTCTGGTTTATTTCTTTAAAAGCAGTCTGTGCTACAGTTTGTGTAGCACTTCATTCTCCTTCAACATTCTGTCATGTTTTCAAGGAGTGCCTTGTAAAGCAAACTAAATCAGAACTTTGCTATGTGTGTGGCTTTTGTTTGTTTGTTTGTGTGTTTGTTTAGTTTAGTTTAGTTTTGCAATTGCTTAACATTTTGAAAAATAGTTGAATCTTAGCCTAAGCTTTACCAAGCAGAATTACTTCTGTTTTCTGCTTCTAATATTCCATCCCTCTCTCCTTTCAGTGTGGCCGTCCCATGCAGCGTGGTTTGTGTGTTGATTGTGGTGTTGTAATAGGAGGCGACAACCACAAAGCAGTGGAAGGCTTTCATGAAGCACGGTATGTTTTTATGTTAGCTTTTTGGAATGTGGAATGGCATATACTTTTTTAGAGTGTGCCCTAAAGATTGGGAGGTGGGATATTTGCAGCTATTTAAGGTGAATCTATTCTAGAACAGGTCTCTGCCCCATCAAGTTATAACAACTTTAGAGGTAGAAAAAACTAATTTACCTTCCTAGAATACTGCAGTGATTTCCAGTTCACCTATTTCAATGGCCATGTTCAGAAGAACAACAAAGGCTTCAAAACCTTCTATTTAGGAAGTTGTGGCTGTCCCCTTCCCTATCCTTTCCCCTCTTCCTATCATGTTCCACTTTTGACCCAAAGACCCGGGCTTGTATTGAGCTAGCACTCCCTATTTTATGTCCAAAGTGGAGAACTGTGGCTTCCACTGCTCACAATTATCTGAGAGTAATTCTCAGTTGGACTTACTTCTGAGTAGGCATGTATAGAACAGGCATTAACAAACAAGAAAGAAGCCAGGATCGTACTATGGCTTTCCTAATTTCTTAACTTTGAGCCACCACCCCTCATTTTTATTTATTTATTTATTTATTAGAAGTATTTCTACATCTCTTTATATAAGGCATGTCAAGGCAATTTACAGGATAAACAGTTCACTAAAAATACAACAACGGCATTAAAAACAAATAATTAAAGCAGTGTATACAAGTCAAGGGGGTATTTTAAGTGGAAACATATATAACAGCAAATAATGGTATTTTAATATTTTATATACCACATATGTAATATGTTTGTATCTCTTGTTTTAGTGTGATGATAATTACTGTCTGGATGTCTGGGAATCAGAATTTTTAAGCGCGCAAAAGTACTGTTTTGTAGCAAGTGTGCACACACTGTATATATTATTCTGTACAGGAATATTCAAGACAGGTCACAAACCGGCCATGTGCTTGGACAACCTGAAAAAAGAGAGGCTAAGGTTGCATCTGAGAGGGAGATGTCTCCAGCTGTCCTGATTCTGATTCGCTTGCTCACTCATTTGTCGCTGCTTTTGGGAGCCACAAAAGATCGCCAGGTATTTTCAAATAAAACTAGGAACCACACAATTCTGTCTGAAAAGCATTGCTGCGTGGAAACTAAAGAAAGCATATCTGAAACGGAGCTCAATTTTTTAAAAACGGTTTACTCTCAGTATCATGTGAAGGAGATGATTGGATGCCAGCAGGACTGGCCTGGGATGTGTTTCCACTTGAGGCAAAGTGCCCCACTGGGGTTTTTTTTAAGTATTTTTTTTTAAAAAAAATGTGGTTGTTAACGATTCATGCAGAAATGCATTTGTTACATTTCAGTAATACATGGAGGGAAAGTAAGACTGTTAACAAGCTTCATATATGGATAAATGTTTCCTAGAAACTGAAAAGGTACAGTAGTACATCAGTGTACAAACTTAATCCATCCCAGAAGTCCATTCTTAAACCGAGGCGCACTTTCCCTAATAAGGCCTCCTGCCGCCGGTACCCTTCCACCGTTCGGCTTCTGTTCTTAGACCGAGGTAAAGTTTGCAAACCAGGACACTACTTCCGGTTTTGCGGAGTTTGTAAATCAAATAGTTCGTAAACAGGGCTGTTCTTAAACCGAGGTACCACTGTACTCGGTTTCTCATACTATAGTGGACACTTGTGGTAGACAGTTCATTACAATAGACCTCTGGCTTCCTCAGGGATGAAATCATTTATCACAGTTGTCCAGCAATTTGGCATCAGGTGGCATTGACATCACACAGATGCCTTCACTATACTCTTTCCAGCACCTCCTAAAAACAATTTTGTTTAGACAAGCCTTCTTTTTGTTTAGACAAACCCCCGAAACGTATTGCTGGTTTTTAATTTTTAGAAATGTTTTGATTGTTTTTACTAATAATCTTCCTGTTTTATTCTTTTTGTAAACACTTTGAGATTTTTCACTAATCAAGCAGCATATAAATTTTATGAAGTAAATAAATGACTGACTGTTAGTCTGCATGCCTTGCAATAGAACTGCATATTGATCGCTCTGAACCTTGCATTTTGTTCTTGAAGTCCCTGCTACAGATCATAAAACCACCAGTTGAAGATCCAGTGAGCTTTCTCATGCAGCATATTCTTAAGGACTTGGAGCAACTGATGAATACTCTTGGGAAGTGTGCTGATGAAACCACCAACGTTGTCCATCTCATTCTTTGTAGCTTTCTCAAGGAGCCTCACCAACAGACAGGCCAATGTAAGGAGAGCAGCTTGCAAAATGTGGTTGCTTACATTTCTAGTAAAGCAGACATAAATTCACAGCATTGACTGTGACGTTATATTTCAGAGTTGATTGAGGCAGCCATGGCAGAGTTCTCAAGAAGAGCTGTATTGTACCTATTTCTAAAAATAAGTAACTTTTTTCTTGTGAGTGGCATGTCTGCTCTTAACCTGATTTCATAGTCTCATTGCTTTTATTATTTAAGTCTCCACTTTTCAAAATAGTCCTATTTGCATTACTGGTGGTTCTGGGCAAGTTCTTTTATTGGGCTTTGCATTATTGAATCATAGTACTGATAAAGTGAAGAATGCACACAGAGTATCTTGTTTTTAGAATATACACTGTAGTGCAGTCTTCATTTATATTCAAGAATGCTGCCCACATTGAATGTGGCCCCTTTTGTAACTTAGTGTGAGTCACTTAATGTCTATACACAGAATAGGCCTGTGCATCACCATGGAACATATATAGAAGCTAAACCAAATTGACACATTCTGATGTTTTAGAGCTGTTACACCCTTAATGCTATGGTTCTCACATAATACTAAGCCATGGTTGGGGAACTTCCTTGGCTTCACAGTCCAGATACTTATCAGGCCTAACCTCACCAGCCAAATAATCCGATGCCACAAATGTCACGATGAAATCAGGTGATTTGGCACTTTGAAGTCCCAAATTTGAGACTTCAAAGCTGTGTGCAGGGTGGTTGGCAAACTTGCCAAGACTCCTGCACAGTACTTTAAAGCTCCTGAGACTGGCTGTCTGGTTCATCAGCTGATGGGTTGTATAGCCAAAGCTTGCTTTTTGAAGACATCAGTTCTTCGTGTGAATTCTCTTGTGAGAAACACTCATGCACTGCTGATCCAACAGGCTTTGGTTCTCCCACTCATCAGTGAATAGGCAATGTGCCTTCCTTTGCCAATGTGCAATTGGGAGCATACTTTAAGTTTCCATATTCTGCACTGGCAGCTGGGTCTCTATGTGTCCCACACCTGAAAGCACACATGATGCCAGATGTAGGGCAGGTGGGTGTGGTTTGGAGGAAATTGCCTTATGGGCCAAGTTTGGCCCCCAGCTTAGTGTCATGTGTGAACTCTGTTCAGCAGCTAAACCATGGTTTGTTTACTAGCAACAAACTGTGATCTGAAGCCATGGTTTGTTGTTGACTTACAAGTCTTGATTTGTTAAACATGGCTTAGCATTATGTTAGAGCCTGGCACCCTCCCTCAATCATGGTTTGTTTGACCATCCCATTCCTGGAACTCACCAAGCTACTAGGGCATAAAGCAGGAACAACAGGAAAGCAAACTTTGGCAGAATAAGCTATGGTTTGTTTGTTCATCTGTGGGGCAACTCTTTGTTACATCATGGTTTGTTAAACAAACGATAGCCTTAGTATTTTGTGCAAACCAGGCTAGACAATGGGAGGATGTGTAGTTTATGTGGTAGTCAGGGGAAGGAACCAGGTTTTTTCCTTTTAGAGGCTAATACAGGCAGAAGAAACTGGGAATTGCTATCAATAATCTCCAGCCCTTTAACAAAAGCAGGGACAGAGAACTATTAATTGTTACTGCTACTGCCACTTTCCATAGCTGACCCATGCCAAATTGAACTGCATGCAAGGAAGCAGAGATAATAAGAAGGTGTTACATGCAATAAATGTCCTTTTGCAGGGCCAGTGCGTTTTGATGGTCAACTCTCCAAAAAAGAGCAAAGAAACAACTGGGAGGGAATTGTTGCACGCATCATTCTTCCTGAACTGGAGGTAACATAAAACACACTCAAAAACTTGTATTTTCTGACAGTACACAGACTAGCCCTGTGTATATTTCATTAGCAGCCGATACAACATACATTATTATCCTGATTACAGTGGAACATTGTGCATGTATTTGTACCTGTTTGTGCAGGGATGTGTATGCAGGTAGGTCTGTCACTTCTGCAGGGCTGACAGAGTATCTGTTGAGCAGGGGAGGGAAAGCACAAGAATGAGAAATCTTTCTCTACTGCTGATTTAGCAACAGATAAGGCCACCTGTCAGCAGCAGGAAGTAGTGGGGTTTCTAGCAGATGCTACGTTGACCTCCCCATTCTATTTGTGGTGCAGAAGAGAAAGTAAGCACGAGAATCCTATTTTTGAAATCTAACGTGCCCAGTAATTCCTTCCAAGGCTAGTGGATAAAGTAATGGTGTGCACTCAGGGAAGACATTGGCAAGGGCAGGTTTAGCCCCATCCATTCTTAGTGTCCGACATGAGGACCAGATCTTGTCTAGATTACTGCATAAAATTGTTTGGGAGTTCCTAGGGACTGAGGAAGTTGTCCTCTGCAAAGCTTCACTCTGGGTTCAGTTTCTTGCTGTGATGCTACTTCAGGATTCTAGAAGCTAGTTTTTTATTTATATTGATAGGAGTACATTTGAAAGAACAATTACTAATTAGAAAAATGAAAGACTTCTCTTTCAGAAGTAACTCTCCTTGATACCCCACACCTGCAATTTTCATAATAGCTCTAAGGAAGTGAGCATTTCACCTTTTGAGAGCTAAGGTGTTCAGAACCCTCAGATGAACTAACAGATTCAATTATTCAAGATGCAGTTAGAATCACACCAATTCCTAGATCAGCATTAAACCCCACTTCCCAGCCCTGCCTTAAAGTGTGTGTGTGTGTGTGTGTGTGTGTGTGTGTGTGTGTTGAAAGAGGCTGCATCTTAATGGTTATAACCCTCACTCCCTCATTTCCCCCATGCAGGTTCTGGATAAAACACTTCTGGAGTTGAATCGACGAATCAGTGAAGATGAGAGAATCTCTTCGAACCCAGTAGTGAAAGTTGTATATGGGGACCCTGCAGCCTTCCTGTTCACACTGACCAACAGCCCTGTACACTGTTCCAGGATGTGGAGCTGCAAGAAGAGGATCTCCATTGAGTACCTGGGGCACGTTGTCCAGCAGAAAGGTGGCAAGGACACACTGCCCATCTTATGGAAGTTTCTGCAAAAGGTGAGCATGCCCAGATTTTTGCCTGGCCCTAATACGGGAATACATGAGTCAGAAACTGCCATGCAAGGGACCCAAGTGTATGCTGCTCTTCATAATTAATAAAGGGGAAACCCCAATATGTGCCCTTCATCTTCCTTTCTCTTTTCCTTCGTTTTATGAATGTTATGACTTTGTTCTTATGAGCAGAAGTCTCCTGTCAGCTGCTTGTCAAAAGCTGAAGTACATCAGTAAGCATCAAACCAGGCAGGTGCTTTGAAATATTAAAATCACAGTCATAGCATAAGGTAACTTTGTACTGGTATCTGTGAGGTAATGACTATCAGAGACCCAAATCTACTTTACCATCCAAAGGTATTGAGTGCTGTGAGAACTGGATTAAGGGAACTGTTATGCATGTTTCTGGAGCTGAGATTGAGAGGAACGTAAGGACAAGGGGCAAATTCTACTGTTAGAAGTTTTTTTCTTGATCCAACACCTAGCTATTTAACCCTTTTCTGCACCTGGATACCACTTGCCTTACCATCTGTGGGGTGGGAGGATAAACTGGGTCACAGTATCTTTTCTTCCTTTGGATGGATGAACACTTGGGGGTTCCCAGCTTTCATTGCAGGGTGGGGGGAAATGGACACAAAATTACACCCCACCCCGATGTACAACCAGTTTTAGCATCTACTTGCCTCTGGCAAAGCAGTAGAAGTGCTTAGACTTAGGCTTCACCAAGAAGCTGAAGAAAAGTTTCGTGACCACTTTTAGTACTCATTTATAGCAAAAGGAGATGTGTTAGAATGATGTTCAGTTTATTTTGTGTTAAAAATATTGTGTGAAGTCTTATGTAATGAGAGGAGCTTTGCACAGAGCAAGGTCTACTTGCACCAAGCAGATCTCTGCCCAGAATGACTTAAAAGTAAATGCTTCATTTATACCCTTTCCTGGTGGAAATATTACTAGAATTGAGAATATATTTTTTGCAGCTGAAGAAAAATCAGGGGCAAAGTGAAGTAGGCAAAAAGCCAGAGGGGATGCATAAAATTGTGTAAAGCTGAAACCAGGAGAGAGATTGTGCAGGGGTCCTGCTTATTTCTAATTCTGGTAGCGCCTTACTCAATTTGCTTTACAATGAAGTTATACCTGTGGGAAACCATGTTCTACGGACTTGCTAGATATGAAGAGTTCTCTGTGTATGTTAATTTCTGCTTATTTACAACCACCAGTGCTGATTCTTCTACATGGGAGTGGCTCACCCGGTGAGGCAGAGCTACAGTTGCTTCCTGGAAGCAGCATCACTGTGAGGTGACAGCAACGGGGTGGGGGACTGTGCAGCAGCAGCACCAGCAGAGGCAATGTGGTGCTCTCACTAGTGCACCTACACGGGCCCAACCTCACTGCAATTTCGCTCCTGGCTCTCCTGGTAAGTGGCAGTGATACCACTGTCTGGGCCAGGTGAAGCAATTGCCTCCTAAGGGGAAAGCCACTCATGCTTCTGTAGTCTTTCAACTCCTCTTATCTCATTAGCACTACTCTGCTTCATTTTAGGAAGCTGAATTGAGACTGGTAAAGTTTTTGCCAGAAATTCTGGCCCTGCAGAAATACTTGGTGAAAAGGTTCCAGAACGTGTCAGAGCTGGAATACCGAAAGATTGAAGATTTTCTCAACATTTCCGCAGGTAGACTCTTCCGTATTAAGTTAGCAGAGCATTAAGGCGTGTGGTTAACACCAAGCTTCACATTTATATAAGTCATCCCTGTTTTGTGACCTTGCACAGAGCAAAAAAGAGGAGAAAGTCGAGTGACTTCCTGGTTAAAATGGTCACCTCATTGTGGCAATGCATCCTTCAGGAAAACACAGCCATTGTTTTTGTAGACATAATGGACATGATCCAACTAAAATTAAGCATTTTGAAGTCCCTCTGATTTCAGTGGAAACATTAGGGCCATGCTTAAATTTCTGCCATTGAAATCATTGAGATCCAGAAGTGTTTAACACAACCTGGATCATGATCCATTTTAGCAGTGGGAAGCTAGCATTTGACCAGGAGATAAAACTTGCTTATATTTGTAGCAGTATTTCATCACAATTAATTTGGGGATTCAGTGCAACAACGTACAATGGTGGACACTAGCTTAGATGGCTTTGAACGATGGCATTCATAGAGGATAGGTCTACCTGAAAATTAGGCATCTTAGTGACACGGGGTTGCCTGAAACCAAAAACTAGATATAAACATCGGAAAGAGTGTTGACTTTGTGCCATGCCTGGGGCTTCACAGAAACATGTGGCTGGCAGCTATGGGTACTGGTTTAGGCAGACCTTTGGTCTGCTTCAGCTAGGCTGCTCTTGCATTCTAACTTCCTGAACCAAAACTTACTTGGGCAATAACTCCCTTAGAAAGACATGCAGAACTTTGCAATCTTGCATATGTCACATGCTGTTTGTTTCTTGCATTCTCCAGAAGGCAAGAGGTGCCTTATGACAAACAGAGTGAAGATATTTCTGACTGTTTGGAACAAACTGAGATCTTCCTTGGAAACCAGTGGTGAGTGGCAAGTTTACACCATTACTCTAGAAAAATAGTAAGATTGCGAGGTCACCTGGTGCCATCTAATGGTAACTTGGGTCTTTAATGCTGGAAGAAACACTCTCTAGTCTCCTGAAAAGAGTCTTAAAAAGGTTGTTCCATTTAGCAGTCTCTCCTTTTACAGTACTCCCCCACCCACCCTTAACATAGGACAGGGTGAACTAGTAGAACATAACATAGGACATTTGAGTTTAGAGCAAAGGACTGTGCAGTTTATTACAAGAATGGGTTGGATTGGCAACTTTGAGATTATATTTAAGTGGCAATAGATAGGAGGGACCCAGTGTTATGTGAGAACTAAAAAGAGAGGTACCAAGCTGAAGGCATTACCTATTCCAGAACAATAGAAGGGAAAGAGGGATGGATCCTGTTTCTCTGGCCTTTGGACACAGGGGTGGTAGCAATCATTGGGTCTATCCATTATGAGTGCTTGGAAGTCAGACACCCTGGATTTATATTAACAGCCGCTTTGTCATCAACCCAGGAAGATGGAAGTAATAGGCAATTGAGGGCAGGTTGATCCCTTCTAGATCTCCTTGAACTCCTTATGGCATGGAGCTAGTCTTAATGGTGATGGGTGGTGTATGTATTATGTGCCTCTCTTGGAGACCTAAATATGCAATATATAAAAACAATGGATATGGAACTAAGGGAGGGAACACTGGGGGAAGGAGGTGGAGGTCAAGCTAACTAGGAGTGGAGTGACTTAGACTGATCTGAACCAAAAGGATCGGCTTGGGCAGCTCAGGATTGTACACGGAAGGCTTAGTGGAATCTCTAATAGGCTTGATCATCTAATGGAGAAGTTTTCTTTGATCAAAGGGAGAGGAAACTGCATTTAAGTTGCAAATTTCCCCACCATAGCTGGCAAGTTCAAAAAGAGTGTGTGGAGAGAGAGAGAGCTTGAGAAATACTCATGTAATTCTGGGTGGAGATTCTGATCCTTCATTAATGCTAATCAATGCTGATGGCTGACTCTGATGTCTTTACCAGTTGGTTTCCCAGCACTTCAGGCATGAAACATCTTCAGTCAGGGCTCTGTAATGGCCATATTAGTGGACACCCCTTGAATGGCATTTTCATTTTATGGAGTGTGCATTTCTCTTTGCTTAACTGTTTGGAGTCATTCCTTGTGAACATGCTGAAGGTGATCTTTGCCCTGCTTTCCAACAGGTTTGCTTAGTTCACCACTTTCTAAGACAGAAGAAGAATGTGGGAGTCGAGGTGCTGAGGCATACTTAAAATGAGCCAGCGTGGTGTAGTGGTTAAGAGTGGTGGACTCATAATCTGGTGAACCGGGTTCGCGTCTCCGCTCCTCCACATGCAGCTGCTGGGTGACCTTGGGCTAGTCACACTTCTCTGAAGTCTCTCAGCCTCACTCACCTCAGAGTGTTTTTTGTGGGAGATGAAGGGAAAGGAGATTGTTGACCGCTTTGAGACTCCTTAAGGGGAGTAAAAGGCAGGATGTCAAGTCCAAACTCCTCTTCTTCTATCTTCTTGGTAATGAACAAGAGATAATTAGAAACCTGGTCACTCACTAATGTTTTCTGGTCCAAATGCAGGTGAAATTAAACTCCCCAAAGATTATTGTGCTTCTGACCTCACTCTGAATAGTGACTTTGAGATCCTTCTGCCTCGCCGACATGGTCTAGGCCTCTGTTCCACTGCCTTGGCCAGTTATCTCATTGGCCTACACAATGACTTTGTCTACACCGTAGAAAAATATACAACAGATGCCGAAAGGTATGCCTGTGTGTGTATGTGCTAGAATCCCCACTACTTCCTGCAGGGTGACAGATAGCCTTATCTGGTGCCAAATCAGCAGTAGAGCAAGATTTCTCATTCTCTTGTGTTCTCCCTCCCCATCTCAACAGATACTCAGTCAGCCCTGCCGAAGTGACGGATCTACATGTGATCACTTACGAGGTGGGGAGGGACTTGATCCCACTGATCCTGTCCAACTGCCAATACAGTGTGGAGAAAGGAGGAGAAGCCCTCCAGGAACTGGAACTGGAAAAAATTGAGCAGCAAATTACTAGCAGATTCCTACAGGGAAAGCCTTTAATCACATTGACAGTATGTATCATAGAAGCTTAATGCTGCCACATAGCTTTCCTGGTGCCTTGTGAGATCCATTTTTCAGGTTAGAGAGCATTATTGCAAAGGCCTGCTCACTGGCATATTTTTTCTCTCTTTCTCACTAGGGCATACCCACTCTGGTATACAGGCATGACCAAAATTATGAGCATCTCTTCAATGATATCAGAACCAAGCTGAGCCAGGTGAGCTTCAGAGATGGGAGAGAAAGAATACAAAAAGTGGCTGATTGCATTTCAGTAAAGTTTTGTTATAATTAGGATTAGCTTCTTGCTGCACAGTGCCTGATTCTGTGCTTGCTTGGTTTTTGTTGGCATCCTTCTGTCTCGAGAGATAATGGAGTGCATTGCAGGGGTGAAGTTAAAACACTGGAGAATCACAGCGCCTGCTGTGGCTGTAAAGACCAGTAACTCGTAACTGCATTGTTTTTGCTGTGTTAGTAGCACTGAAGTGACCCTCTCCAGGTGCAAGCCTAGGTAGTGTGTATGGAGGTCAAACAACTCTGTGTATTGCCCAGAGGAGAAGACCCCACTCTTGGCCTCGCTGATGTGGTTCATTGGGCACCAGATTGGCTGCTGGTATTGTCGGAAGGAGGGTGGATAAGATGCCATCCAACCATCTTAAGGACTCCACTGTGGATTTGTGTAGGGTTTACTCCTTAGCCTCCCAAGATGTCCCACAAGGCAGCAAGTACATTGGTAGCCCTTTGGAATTCATTGGGACACTTCCTTGTAGGTGTGTGCCCAGTTTGCTGTCCAAGTCAGGGCCTGGCAAACAGCTTCTATAATGTGGAAGAATCATTGCAGAGAAAAGGAGTGGACTATATAGAGACTGACTGCAGTGTTTGCAACAATCTGTGCTGAATGATGGGCGTTGACTGGCTTTCATTCCCTTGAATTACAGAGCTCTCTGCCAAATTCCACAATTGGCATGATCAGTGGGGAGCTGCTATCCTACAGTGACATCTGTGAAGCTCTGTCTGTCACCGAAATAACCTTAGGATTCCTAGCTGTGGCTGGAGGAGACCCAGATATGACTTTGTCTAAGTATGTTGAAAATATCCTGCAAATGGGCCATCAGATAAGTGACCACGTGATGAAGGTGAGTGCAGGGGAAAAGAGGAAAGTCGACTAGGCTGAACGCGATGACTGTCTTACATGCCCCAAGCTAAAGGAGGTGCTCTCTCCACCCATTTTTTTCCAGAGGTCCAAGTTCCATTCACCTTTGGCCTTCCTTTTGACCTTTTGAGATGGAATGGGGGACCATCCCCACAATTATACTGACCATTGGAGAAAGCACAATGCAACTGTTGTCTTCCAGCTTATGATTTAAGTCCCTTTATTTTGGCTGTTTCTGACTTTTAAAAAGAACATCTTTTTGCTATTGCAAGTTTTCAGTCAAACCGTTTTTTGCAAGAACCTAAAGATTTATCCACACGCCACGCTTTCCAGGCATGGTCCTTGCATTAAAGCTCCACCTGCTCTGAATTGCAGCAGAATTGCCATTAGTTGCGCTTCAGCTTTAAAGAGCAGGTTTTCATGGGGGAAAGCTCCAGGGTGAGAAAGAGAGGATTCAGATACAGAGCTTTAAAGCTCAGGCCTGTGCCTGGAAAGCACAGGGCAAAAAGTAAGTCCTAGCACCCTAGTGGTCCAAGACATTCTGCTGCTTCAAGGGGTGTTGAAATGTCACAGAAGGGGATGCTGGTTTCTGTTTAACTTGATACAGATAAAAGTCAGTTATGTATACACAAGAGCTGAATAACAATAAACTCTTGGGCACTTTAGGATGAGTTTCAATGAAAACAGAAACTTAAAGCTATTTTTAAAGAAAAAAGATGTTGCTGGTTGCAAATTTATTGTCTCTAGAGAATATACGTGTAACAGAATGTATATATTCATTTCATTTATTTTATTTCTTTGCTGCTTTTCACTCACACGAGTGATGAAGCGGCTTACATAGATAAATAATAACACAGAACATCACAATTGCAAAATAAATCATGCAAAATAATTAGCAAATTGTCAGTAAAATAATTACAAATCATCAGTAAAACAACCACCTTCTACTAAACATTATTAATGAAAAACAACTTTAAAAATATACCGTATTTTTCGCCGTATAGGACGCACCGGCCCATAGGACGCACCTAGTTTTTTGGGGGGGAAATCAAGGTAAAAAAATTTATTTCCCCCCCAGGTTTGCGCAGCCATCCCCAAGCTAGAAGAGGGAGGTGGAGCGCTCCGTCTCCCTCTTCTGCCTTCAGGGACAGCCTCTCTAGCCTCCGTGGGGCAGCAGCTTGCCCCGCTGTCCCCCGAGCTTGTGGGGCTGGCGATGGGGAGAAGCAAGCTTGCTTCTCCCCCCCCCCCCGCCAGCCTCCAGACCAGGTCTGGGAATAGCGGGGTGGCGGCGCTGCGCCTCCCCGCTGTCCCCCCAGCTTGTGGGCTGCAGGCTGCTGCCCACAAGACTTGCGAGCCCGCGGGACCTCCCGCCGGGCTTGCAAGGCTTGCGGATAGCTTCCTGAAGCCTGCATTTGCCCCATAGGACGCACACACATTTCCCCTTCATTTTTGGAGGGGAAAAAGTGCGTCCTATAGGGCGAAAAATATGGTATTTGCATTTCTTCTAAAGGAATGTTTAGCTATGTCCACCTCATCTTCATAGCTGTTGTATACCTAGTTCTGAATTATAGTAAACTTAAAAAGGGTCAAACATTTGTGTGTTTCTTACAGGTGCTGAGCCGATGTCACCTAAAGCACATTATTGCACTGTGGCAGCTCCTTTCAAGCCATAAATCTGAACAGCTGCTGCATCTGAAAAAGGTAGGAATCTGAAAGGGGTGGGGAGGATGAGATAACCTGATGTTCTGTGCTCTTGTTCTCCCTTCTTCCCCTAACGATGCTGTTGTGTGTTTCTTCCCAGGATCCCTTCGCAGAGGTCAGCGAATCCTATAAAGAGGAGCTCACTCCAGAGAACACAAAACTCCTCAATGCCTTCCTTATGCAGGCTGGGCTGGATTCCTTCCTGCAAGAGTTGCACGAAATGATCATCCTGAAGCTGAAACATCCCAAAGCTCAGGAGGTGTTCGATCCCAAGTGGAGGTAAGAGCCTGTCAAGCCCAAACTTTGCATATTTTCTTTATCACCCGGATGTAACTCTTTTTGTGCTCGTGAACAGTGCCATGTACTGCAGAATAGCTGATTATACTTTGTGCTCACTCTCTTTCTCTCTTTCCCAGCCTTAAAGACACACTTGTTCCATACCTCGAAACAAAAGGGAGCAACATACCAGAAGAACTAGAGGATACATTCCCGGAAGAGATCCTGCTCTCCCAGTGTATCGCTGCCTGGAAAGTGGCTGCCACTCTTAAACGAGACCGAAGGCTTGGTTAAATGCAGACACTGTGCTGCTTCCTCTCTTCTTGGCCAAGCCACTTTCTGGGGGAAAAAAATTCCTGGAGAGCAAAGCACTGGATTTAGGTGCTGCTTTTCTTGCACATAGCAAAAACGAAAAGCACCTTTTGGATAAAAAAAACAAATTTCATTGCTGAAGGAGTTCCTAATGGAAAGTGTCGCTGCGCGATATTAAGAATAAACTATAATGTGTAAATCTTAATTTAAGCCATAGATGCCAAAATAAAAATGCTATTTATCCCCCAGTAGAGCACAAGCCGAAAGATGCAAGCCACATTCAGAGGAAGGCAAAAAGACATTTTCAGTGGCAAGTTTAGTGGATAGCAACACAGGTCCTTAAAAAAACCAAGGTATAAATGGTCAGTATGGGGCTATAGAGCAGGGGCTGTGTGTCACCTTTCTGTGGGATGTCTCTTTCCCCTTAAGTCACTCAGGTCGGCAAGATACAAGGAACCAATCCTCTTTCCCTCAGGTTTTTTCTTAGTCTTCCTAAGTGCTACCAAATCTGCCTTCTCTACTACTAGAGGCATCGTTTGTTTGTAACTTTTATTTTGCCATAGTGTGTCTGTTAGTCTTTGGATCAGGACACCCAAACAAAAATTGTCAAAGCTTGGTCAAGGAAGTTTTCTAGGTGGCTTTCTTAAAGCCTTTCAGCAGGCACAGAGTCAGAACTAGCTTGACGTCACTGCCTACACGAGAAGCAGCCAGTCAAGGTTGCCTAACCTGCCTGTTGTTGGCCATTGTGAATAGGTATATTCACTCACTTAGGCAGCCTTCTTCATAGTCACATGAGTGTCAAAATCTGCTTGTTTTGCCGCTGGACCGTTGTATGCATAAACTTGGTTTTCCTTTCTTTGACCTCCACGACTTAGATATTCTATTTGATGTTAGTGCTTTGAATATAACAACTGATTTGCTGCTGATGTTAAATTTGCAACTGTGATCATGATTAACTATGCCGTCTTAATTTCTGTTCGGGCCGAAAAATAGCTCAAGCACATTTCTCTGATCAGCTTTATGAAGGAAACAGTGTTGAATTTATTGGACCAACTAGGATGCTTTCAAAAATAAGATAGCTATTTTATTTCATTTAAATAATGTTATGTTTAAACTGTCAGCTATATACAGCACATTTAGCAGCTTGAGATGCTGTGCCTCATTAAAACAACAAAAGGAGGAGATTCTGTGAACGTGATTAAGATTTCTTGAAGGAGGAAGAAAATACCACTTACTCCTGTGTGAACTGGTGCACCATTAATTGAAGGAACTTTTTCAAATTTCTGTTGAACTGTATTCATGTGGATTTTTAAGCATCTTTCCTAAAATATTCTTGTCTTGACAGGCGGATGACAACGACAACCCAAAATATTTTTGGGAAGAATTTCTCAGGGTGAAAGTAAAGTAGTATCTGCCACTGCTGTAAATGATACTAGCCAAGTTCTGCTGGTGCTCTAAATTTTATGTGCTTTATAAATAACAGGGTTCTTAACAGGTAATCATACCACATGTGCTTACACGTACTTCAGTTCACTGAACTTTTTCTTAAAGGGCTATCAAAAGCTCATTTCACATATTCTGAGTACTTGCATTTCTGGCCATCTGCATTACTTCCCTAAACTTGACCTGTTCAACATGCATAATCTATTGATAATCTACACTGGGTACTAAATACAGTTTGAGTCACTGCTGATCCAACTGATCGTTATTTAAGTAGTTACCTTATTACTAGAAAGTTCTGAGTCTGGGGCTGAGTTGCTTAGACTTGCTCTATTTCCAAACAAGAATACAAGGGACAGGACACAGTGAAGGAACAAATAAAATTAGCACTGTTCTGGCGAAACAGTAAACTGTGGCTTTGTTTACGAGTATACTGAGTTGGGGGACCATAACCAACAAATGTTTAAAAATTATTTTGTATTTTTTCCCCCTCCTTTTAATAAAAAATGGCTACACAAGACTTGTATTGTGTTTAACTGTCCTGAAATTTTGCTATCATGATGAATTCAGTCTGGAAAGTTGATTGTGTTCCTTGCTCCTTACAGCAGATCTCTACTTACACCATTATTTCTTGGGTTGGCAGGGGTGAGGTTTTCTATAAACTTGCAATTCAAAAGCAAATCAGCATAAGTGTTTCCCAATTATTAATCAATACGGTAGGTCTGAGATGCTTTTCTACACAGAAGAGGGACGTCTCTTCAATACATTATCGGCTGATTATCCGCTCAGCATGAAAATTCTAAATTCAATGACCTAAAGGTTCATTCATTTTGGAGCTGGGTTTGAAAGGCAAGGCAAGATTATAATGATGGGTGCTTTGCTTGTTGTGCAGTGCTAAGGCATATCATTGCTATCTTTCTTCATGTATAGGGTTTTTGCAGTTGCTCCAGATATTCAACGGATAGTTTCTAGAATGATCAAGCATCTTTTGGAAATAAATTTCATATTGCTGCGTCTAGCATAGTGGTGGGGAACCTGCAGCCTTCCAGTTAGACTTCCCGCTCCCATCCGCCCTGGCTCAGTCTGGGAAGTGTAAAAATATTGAACTGCTACCTTCCCTGTAGGAAGTATGCAATGAGAACTATGTATGTGTGTGTTTCCTTTTGTTCGGGGTTCTCCACCCTACACTTTTGCGAGCGAGGACCCTGTTTTAACAGCTCGTTTTCCTGACAATAAAGATCAGGCTTACTAGCCGCTTTACTTTATCCTATCTTTGGTTGGTCTCTGTTCATTCTCCGACCGATAGGGAACCTCAGCGATCTCTATATGGGCTCCTTGCATGCACCTTCTGCAAGGGAAAGGAGAAGTTCAATATTTTTACAACAGAAGCTCTGGGCATAGACAGTGTTACAAATTTGTGTGTGTGGCAGACAGGAATTCCAGACGGGCAATCCTGTTAGGCTGCAATAGATTGTAATGGGTTGCTTTGAAGCAGGGCCAGATTTAGGTTTGATGAGGCCCTAAGCTACTGAAAGGTAATGGGGCCCTTTATATGTCCAGCTGCCCTTTGTCAACAAATTGTTGCTTTTTTTGTGTTGAATTTATGCTATATGGTAATTGATGGACCTAATAGGTATCTAAAGCCATTTGCACATACAGTGGTACCTCTGGTTAAGAACTTAATTCGTTCCGGAGGTCCGTTATTAACCTGAAACTTCCTAACCTGAGGTACCACTTTAGCTAATGGGGCCTCCCACTGCCACGCGATTTCCGTTCTCATCCTGAAGCAAAGTTCTTAACCCAAGGTACTATTTCTGGGTTAGCAGAGTCTGTAACCAGAGGTACCACTGTATTGCCATGCAACCAGCCCATGCAGAATGTAGGCACCCTATATAAAGAAATGAGCAAACCAGTGATACTTTAGGGAGCAGGCGGGGCCCATTACTTACATCATAGGAGCTACACAACACAAAACGCTGTTGCTGGATGTGGGTTTTATTTTATTTGTTTTTTATGTTTTGGAAATGTAAATTTAGGGTTTTTTCCCCCTTTAAATTTTTGTGGGGCCCCAAGCTATACCTTGTTTAGCTTCTACATAAATCCGGCACTGCTTTGAAGTCACTTCAGCGGGGGGGGGGGGGAGAACCCCCACCCAATCTCCTTGCCATGCCCTGTATGTATTTTTCCACAACAAAGGTGGCAACCCAATCAGCAGAACTTGCCCTTTCCAACCCTAAGGCGCGCCTTTCCCTATCCCGGGACACGTGCGCTCCTTTCCATCACTGAACCGCAGTGCAGGGAGAGCGAGCGCCCTTGGATCCGCTCGGTGAGGGCGTGATCAGTGCAGGAGCAGCCCAGGAAGTAGTAAGGCGGGAGGTCCGGCTGGAATGGCGGACAGGGCTGAATCCGAGGCGCGGGTGGCGGAGGAGACGTTGCGCGCCTGGGAACGGTAAACTGCAGCGGAGACGTCAAGTCTGTCTTCCAAGGCGGCAAGCGGGAGCGCGCTATCGCTGGGGGCTGCGGGATTTGCATTGTGCTTTCCGGGCGGCTGAGGCTGCGGCTCGCTCGTGCGCCACCTCCTGGGCTTACTACTGCAGTCCTTGCTATTTCACAGGCTTACCTAATTGTCTCCCGGCGACGAGCGCGCCACCCGGACTGCTCACGCGCACGTCGTTTTTAGCTCCCTTTTGCATGGTTATAAAATGCCTTTCCTAACGCTGCAGTGCCTCAAGGGACCGTTGCGTTTGGGAGCCAGGAACTAGTCAACGTTTCTCGCCTAGCAGCAACAAAGCACCTTCTCGCCCCGAGGAGTAAAAACCTTAACAGCGCGACCAGAAGCTGGTTGGTTTACTGGGAAGCCAGCGCCATCGATTCCGAGCGACCTGCTTAGGATTTGAGCCTTAGCGCTATCTTTGCTGGTCAATAAACAGCCCACTCCTGCAGTGCAGTCCTACACGTGTCTCATTAGCAGCAGGACCCACTGACTTAAATTGGTCTGATTCCCCAGGCAAATGAATTTACGATTGCAGGATTAGTGCCTCCTGCTGTTGGGCTGAATAAAAGTTACAAGGTGCCTGATAAACCTTACCAAAAGAAGTTGGTTGGGTTTGGACCGCTGTGTTTCACAACACTCCGTAGGGCAAAAAGTTCAGGTTACCTAATCTTGCCAGCTTTCCTAAATCTGATACCTTTGGGCTGGATTACAACTCCCATCAAGCCTAGCAATTGGCTGTACTGGCTGGGGGTTGATGGGAATTGGAATACAGCAGCATTGGAGTGCCAAAGGTTTCCCAGCCCTGAATTTGGCTTTGCAGGGTCACTGGTGAGACAGCGGGTGGAGAAACTTTGAAGGATTGACTCCAGATAGTAAATTTACAGTGAAAGGTATGGATATATATATATTTGAAAGCAGAATGGTTTGTCTGCTTATGTGTTGTTCCAAATGTCAATATGCATTCCCTGAGATGGAAAGCAACAAAAGCAGACCACTGTCTCCCACCATCTCCCTCCCACACAATTAAAAGATAAAGGTATCCTTTAGGCCTTAATTTGTTTGTGCGGGTTGAAGAGAGATGTTCCTGTATTTATGGAAAGACACATGTTGAAGCAAAATGAGTTGGTTTCATAAGCATTCTGGGCCAACAAAGGTCTCCTGTACTGTATATTCTTATTAGTCTGGAGACAGAGAAGATGTTTGAGTTTTTTAAAAAGAGCTAATTTGTATGGTGGAGGCATCGTTGGTGTATACATTTACTGTCCCTCCACTATCTCAGGGTTAAACAGATTGTGCAGGATTTCAAAAGGCTACAAAAACCTGCAGAACCTTTGAACCAGAGGTAATCAAGGGATAACTGAGCAATTATGCTTCTATCATACTCTTCCAACACATTGAAAATTGCCTGTTCCTGGCCTGGCCTGGTGCTGGAAACAAACAGATGCTACCTAGTTCTACTATGTTTCATAGTGATCAAGCACAGCTGAAGGCAGATGTAATTGACCAGGACACCCAAGAGTGGCAAAGCAACCCCTCCTTTGCTGGACTGGAGAGAGTTGGAGGAGTGGACCTGTCTTACATCAAAGGAGATGACACAAGTGCCTGTGCTTCACTGGTGGTGCTCAGCTACCCAGACCTTGAGGTAACCATCATAGATCTCCCAGGTTTTAAAGTTGAGAACAGAAGGAAGGGCTCTTCGAGTTCTGGTAGAGCTGGCATAGAAAGGATAATAAATGTCAAATGTTACAGTATTCTTAGTTGCTGCCTGAGTAACTTTAAATTAGTAGTTCTGTTTGTTTCCAAGCATTGAAAGGCTGAGGATAAGATTATGGCAGCAGTTCAGGGGTAATTCAACAAGACACGTGAGTTTGAGGAGTTTCTGCCAAATTATGATCGCTTGATCACTATAGGCCAGACATAGGCAAACTCGGCCCTGCAGATGTTTTGGGATTACAGTTCCCATCATCCCTGACCACTGGTCCTGTTAGCTAGGAATGATGGGAGTTGTACTCTGAAAACATCTGGAGGGCCGAGTTTGCCTCTGCCTGCTATAGACTCTTATGAGGATGCTAAGATGGTGATGTGTGTATATTACTTCACTTGCTTGAGAATGTGGTCAGCCACTCTTGCTCATTCTGCTGAGTGAGTTACTCCACAAGGAAATATTTCACTCTGCATTCTCCCTTGATCTTTTTAGGTCCTGTATGAAGACTGTTGCATGGTAGCTGTGAATGCCCCATACGTGGCAGGTTTCCTGGCCTTCAGAGAAGTCCCTTTTCTTGTGGAGGCCCTGCAGCGGCTAGAGCAAAAAGAGCCTGGTCTCAGGCCCCAGGTGTGATATTTCCCGCCCTATTCTCAATCAGACCAAGAGTCCATCTAGTCCAGGATATTTTCTTTCCTGCAGTGGCCAACCAGATCCCTCCAACAAGCTCATAAGTAGGGCTAGAAAGCAACAGCTCCCTCCTGCTGTGGTTCCCCAGAAGCTGATATTCTATCATCATCATCATGCCAATTAATTTTTATATTGCTTACATGCTGAAACGTCTTCTAAGCAGGTAGCATACTGGTTCTGAACGTGGAAGGTTCCCTATTGGTATCAGCGGCTGCTTTTCTCTTTCCTTTGTGGGAAACTGCCACTAAGGACATCTTTTCTGCATAACAGTTTAGTGCCAACATCTGCTTCACAGGAGAGCTCACCAGGCTACCAGCCCCACAAGGCATCTGTGCAAAAAAAGAGGGATGCCACCTATGCTTATTTATACGGCATCTATAAATGAATGCAGATTGCTAAATCAGGATTTGTTGCTCCTGATTTAGTCTGTTGCTCTCTGTCTTGATTTTACGTGCTCCTGTTTTAATATTTGGTTAAGTTTCCTTTTATATTGCTGAGTTGTTGTAATCTTTTTTTTAAAAAAACAAGTTGCTTTTAGCAACAAGTAAGAATAATAACTTGGATCCAGACTTAATCATGCTTTTGCAATCAACGCAGTGAAATCAGTGGGACTTAAGTGAGCTTTGCTAGATCTGAGTGATGTAGCAGTAGCCAGACAGGTGCCACTGCCACCCACACCTGTCTGTTTACCTGCTCAGCACATTTCTCCTGCTACACTTCCCATTGAAGCATGTGCAGGGAAGCAAGGAGCTGCTGCATCTCTGAGCGCATGCCGAAGGGATCCAGAGGATCTCTAAAACGGCCTATGTGGAGTCATCCACAACTGCTACAGGAATTCCCTCACAAAAGAGGTAAGACTGGAGAGGAATATTTGGAACCAAAAGGATGGTGAGGCCTGAGGAACAGGCACTCTGCCACATGTTCCTTCTGAACTTGAGGTGAGGGAATTGTGTACATTGCTCACTTTCTACCCCTCAGCTCTACATCCTCAATGAGGCATTCCTGGGGTATGAGACTCTGTGATTGCATCTCATCTCTTTTAGCATTGGGGGAAGATGGTGTGAATATGTGGGTGCATTCTCTCTCACACACCTTCAGTTATTGCAAACATCTCCCACCCTACATCACCTGTCACTTATGTCCCTCTTTGTGGCTTTTCTAGGTCCTGCTCGTAGATGGAAATGGCATTCTCCACCACAGAGGTAAGACTCTTGAATTGGCTTTTTAGTCTAGCAACAATCGGATTTCCCTTCCATATTTGGTTGGTCTGTTGTTGCGCCTGGGAATTCTAGAGATGCCAGCATGGGGAGCGTCTCTCCAGCGCCTGCTCCCATCTTTTACAGTGCCCTTGGGAAAGACGCCCTCAGTTTACACCCTCTCTCACACAAACACCCCACTCAAAGCGGGCAGACCACTTCCTTGACGTGCAGCGTAAATTAATAATGCAGAGTTTTTAAGTGAAAAAATAAGAGCTTTACTGAGTTAAAATAAACTTCTTCATAAACAACATGGTTCCAAACAGTTTGACTGAGATTACATACTGACTCTGCTCACAACTGAGGCAGACTGACTCTGACTGAAATCTTACTGAGAACACAGAGAAAATGGCTGCTACTTATAAGGAGAATGAGTCACATGTCAGAGTGACTCAACAGGTAGCAGTTAGGCCTGAATAACTTTAGTAGGCCCAAATGATTGTGCAGTCCCAGCACTTCCCAGCCTGCTTTGCTGCTTCTGCTCTCATGTGTCTTTGTCACATGACATTCCTTGCCACTGTCCCCTCACTCACCCTTTCCCTCTGGAGTCTGGACCCAGTTCTCCCAAAGGCTGCTCTTATCACTGCTTGCATGCTTGAGGAGAGCAGGTGAAGGAGCAGCAGCAAGATGGGAGAGGAGCACCAGCCCCACAACTGGGTGGGGGCCTCCATGGGTACCCTGTTGATGCTGACCCCTGACCCTGGGTCCAGCTCCTTGCAAAAGTTTGTGGGCTTGCCTCTTTTGGCGTGCTTTAGCTTTCCTTTGACAGTTTGGATCTCGCACCCTCATAAAGAGACCCACAGCAAGTCGGAAAGCTCTCTCCCTGCCTTCTTTGCTTCAGCGTCTTCTTCCCACTTTTCCTTTGGCAGGCTTTGGCATTGCCTGCCATCTCGGTGTGCTCACAGGCCTCCCCTGTGTTGGTGTAGCCAAAAACCTCCTGCAAGTTGATGGTCTGGCCAATGATGAGCTGCACAAGGAACAGGTAAGTCCGGGATAGCGATTCTGAGCTCACGTTCCAATTCTCTGGCTCAGTGTAAGGAAGCTTTCTATGAATCGTAGATCAAGTGAGCCTCTTGTAGGAATTGTAGAAGATTTTGCTGGTTTCTCTGCACTGCAGTTGCAGTTCCAACTATGTACACGTGTGTGTGTGTGTGTGTGTGTGTGTGTGTGTGTGTATTCGTGTATTCCATTAGAATGGATGCATTGACCAACATGCACTGTGTCAGGGAACCACAGCCAATCTTGGATTCCTGACGTGTGTGTGCATAGACATGCATTTGTTGCATGCACCTGAGAACGGTCTTACGGGTAATTGTAATGCGTTTCACGCATTGTGAAGTGGCCCCCAAAGGGAAGTCACTCCTCTTTGCGTGGCGTGATCCCTGCAAGTGAGAATTCCACCCAGGCTACTCCTGCCCCAGATGCTTCCTTCAGGGACTCGCTGTACAGAGCTGCAGGACTGAACAGATACTAGCAAAGGAAATGCCTGACGAGTGTGATCCCAACCTCTTTTTCTTTTTTTTAATTGTCTCCACTTTCAATTCATAGACTTTTTCACAGTTCGTTTACATTTATTGAGAGACAGTTTTGTCATCGACATCTTGCAGTTGGGGTGAGGGAAAGGAATAGGTGAGGAGAGAAATGGGGGTATTGTTCTTTCATTCTGTTGCCTGTGGTTAGTGTAGGGATTTGTGTCTCACCATCATGTGGGTAGGTCCTTCGTTTACGTATATATTTATTTTTAATCGATAAGGCAAGAGATTAGGGGTCCTGAGCTTGGTTGCTTGTGTTCAGTTGCTTGCAGTGTGGCTTGTTTGTATGTATGTGTAGGGGTGAGGGGGGATATTAGGTTGTTGGATCCCAACCTCTTAAAGCAGAAGGAATTCTAGGAAGTCACCTTACGATCAAGTTTATAAACCCCGTGGACTCATTTTAGCTGCAACAAACCTATTGTATTCTAGATCCAAGACCTTCAGGCAGGAGGAGACACATTCCCCCTATTGAGTACTTCAGGGAAAATCTTGGGTATGGTAAGTACTGGAGTGCAGAGAGGAGCACTGTTGATAGTGAGCAGAGTAGGAAGCACTGAGCCCCTGCCAAGGGCGTCATCAGGTAGATGGGGAGTAGGCCCTGGTGGATGTTGGCAAACACTCCTGGGGGGGATGGCAGACCCCCAGTACCTCCGAGCATCTCCCAGTAGGCACGTCTCTGGAATGGCATGTCCCTTCACTCCAGAGTGCCCCTCTGCGACACTTCTCATATGAAAAGTGCACACAAGTCTTCTGGCATCACACAGCAAGAAGACAGAAACATCCGTAGATCTAAACTATGTTTTACTCACAATATATACAGAGAATCCATAATCACGTCTGTCTTCTCCAAACTCTGGCAGAAACAGAAAGCATACAGCAAAAGCGAACGTACAGTCCAATAACACTCTCAGACGGAAGAGATAAGACAGTCTTCCGTTCCCACACCCTTCTCAGACATCTCATGTGATTTATACTAATCACATTAGCCAGCATCGGCTACATAAAATCCTAACAGTGGGTCCTTTGCCTGTACTTGAACCAGGCAGAGGGCCTTCCTGGTAGTGGCACCCTCCCTGAGGAACGCCCTCCCATCAGAGGTCAAGGAGATAAAGAACTACACAACTTTTAGAAGACATCTGAAGGCAGCACTGTATCAGGAAGTTTTTTATGTTTGATTTATTTTTTTTTAAAGTATTTTGGTGGAAGCAAAATAAAACCCAGCCAGATGGGTAGGGCATAGATTATAAAACGATGAGGATGATGATGCTCCTCCATCTGGCAACAACGAGCCCTGAACTGGCTCCAGTTGCTTTGGCGTTTGCACCCAACTCGTTGTCACTTATACCATCTTTTGTTCATTTGTTTTTAAATCTGCCCTAGGCTTTGCGCAGCTACGCCAAGAGCACCAAACCCGTGTACGTCTCTGTGGGCCACAAAATGAGCCTTCTGTCTGCTGTGCAGTTAGTGCACTCCTGCTGCAGGTATCGGGTTCCTGAGCCCATCCGGCAGGTGAGAACAGGATTTCAGGTGGAAGGGTGGTGCTGGCAGCCTCAGGCCAAGGGACCAGCTGATCTGCCAATTTGCCGCGTCAGTTGTAGGCTAACGCTTCGAGTGGTGGTTGACCTGATGGCTGCTAGAAGGTTGCAAACATGGCGATGACCATCGTCCTGTTGTTTGTCCTCAGTGTCTTGTGTTCTTATGTCCTGTATATGCGAAGGCTCCAGTTTAGGTATCTTGGCTGGTGATAGCCATCGAAGATCTGTCCTCCATGACAGGGGGTGGTAGCCTGCTGGTTTTGGCCTAAATTGCCAAAGCACTCAGAACTTGGGCAAGAGCAATCTGTCTCTTCTTTAGCAGGATTAGCAGAGAGACAGAGAGGGATGGGGTGGCAGACACAAGGAGTGGCATGGCAACCCAGCCAGATGGGCAGGGGGATAAATTATAAAATTGTTGTTGTTGTTATGGACCACTTTTAGCTCTGGCCCCATCCACTGCTGACTACTACCCTGCCCACTCCTGGCATGTGACCACCAGCAAATTACACCTGTCATGGCCGCCGGCCACCTGCCAGCTAGCCAGCCTCTGGGCCCTGTGCCATCTAAGGGGAGGGTCTTCCTGGCTAACACAGAGTGTAATCCTCTGCTCAGCCGATTCTTCCTTTTTAAATAACTTGCTGCCACCAGGTAAAGCAGGGGAACTTTTTCTTTCTATCTTTTTTTACAATACTGCCTTAAACTTACAAGGCTGCCTTAAATCAGGCTTAAACTCTCCCCTGGGGTCTCCCTGAAACTTTTCAAGGTACTGCAAAGTTTATGGCTCCCAGGTAGGAGGGTGTTTGCAATCAGCTTAGACATCCCCCCCCCCAGGTTTATGAAAAAGCAAAAGGAAATGACTAAGATTGGATGGAAAAAATATGGTGTTTTAAAGAAAAGGTATTACAAGGAAAAGTTACAGAAAAGCATTATATTCCCCAATGGAGCAAAATATCAAAATAGATTAAAATGTGATCCTCTTTTCCTCTTCTCTCATTGCATGCACTAGAGCTGGTTCTCACTTCTTCTCACAAAGCCTTTTCTTATCACACTGAGACCCACCTTGGTCTGCCCACCTCCAAACTACAGTGGTACCTAGGGTTACAAACGCTTCAGGTTACAGACACTTCAGGTTACAGACTCCGCTAACCTGGAAGTAGTACCTCAGGTTAAGAATTTTACCTCAGGATGAGAACAGAAATCGCGTGGCGGCAGCGGGAGGCCCCAATAGCTAAAGTGGTACCTCAGGTTAAGAACAGTTTCAGGTTAAGAACGGACCTCCGAAACGAATTAAGTTCTTAACCCGAGGTACCACTGTATTCTAAATGCTTAAAAACAACAACAAAACTTTGTTTACCTGCCCCCACTTTATATGTTCAATTCCTCCTGTCAGGCTGCACAAGTTCACCTTCTAATCCCCAACTGGATGTACGAGATAGTATACAGCATTTCATAAAAGCAAGGCTCAATTCCTTCACAACCTTCAAGGTGGGGAATCGCCGACCCATAAGCCGAATTGGACCTGCCAAAGCTCCCCATTTTGTTTTGTGAGGCCGTTTTAGCTAAGCCATGCCCATGCATGCATTACATATGACATGGGCCAGATCCAGCACTCCAGCCATTACATCACACCAGCTGTTCCTTTTGCTTTCCAAGCACGTATGTGCATGCCCTTTTATGAGGTAAAAATTGTAAAAAAGCTCAACAACTTCAATCCTTAAAAAATCTCAACAACTTTGGTTGGCCCTCTGGTTGGCCCTCATGGACCTTCACTTTATCAAATCTGGCCCTCTTTGAAAAAAGTTTGGACACCACTGTCCTAGCCAATGACATTTTCTCCTGTCACCCCTCTGTCAATCATGCCACTGCATAAGGGGAGCAATTTGCTTTTACTGAGAAAACTATAGGGTGCCCAACTATAGGTGGATGAAGTCTCCCATCCGAATTTCATGCCTGGGTGTTCCTGGAGTGCAGGATTTGATATCACTGCATGATATATTACTGCCTACGATGCAGGTGGAGGTTGCCCACAAATAACTGGCAAACCTGCACATCAGCAGACTTAAATGGCAAACACGATGATAAAAGGAGTAGGCTAAATTGACCACCTCCTTCCTAAGGCCTCTCTTTTCTTGACATGGAAATCCCTTGCCAGCTGTAGTCCCTTTGAGAGGCTGTGCACTGGCTGGCTGGCTGGCTGAATAGCTCTAGCGGCATTGCTCACATCAGCAGACTGCGGTGCTGCCTCTGGCTCAGGACCCTGCAAGAGGGTCTGCAGAAGCTACCAGTTGAGAATGCAGCCAGAAGGTGGCAGTGCTAGACCACCTTTCTTAACCTGGAGGCTGCATTTGAGCAGCGGGAGATTGTAGAGTGGTGTGTGGGCAATCAGACATGCCAATAGCCTGTGCCTTTGCTGACTGCAAGGTAGGAAAAAGTTCAGGAGAAGCGGCTTTTCCCTTCTCTGTAGCAGGGCCCAGCTACCATAACCACAGGGAACGTTTCTTAGACGGCGGAGTGTGCGTAGTTGGGGCTCCCTCTTGATCTGTGGTTGCTTCGCACGAACACGCACATGCTCATCATTTATTGGCTACAGCATTGCCTAAGAAGCCATAATAGTTCAAGCATCAGAGGGAGGGAACGAGAGGGAGAGAGATAAATGCTTGTGCTGCGCCACATCAGCACAAACACAAGGCCTTTCGGTGTGATCGGTTTGCGTTTCCAAGTCACCAAGTGTTCAGTGATCCAAGGTTTTGTGTGCGCTTGAGAATGGAGCTCATTCCAATGTATATTTGAAAAGAAAAACTGCTCCAGTGTTTCTGTTTGATTTCTGCAACATGCCCCACATCTCACAACCCCTCTAGTCATGGTGGGCTGCTTCACCCCTACCCCTGCTCTCACTACTACACAGGAGAAAGTCCCCTGTCTGAAAAAGAGCCGGAGGAAAGCTTGCTGTGTAATTTTAGGCCCTTCTTTCCATGCTTCCCAGCACTGGAATGAAACAGATTCCAGTCCAGTGGCAACAGAACTTCCATGCTCCACAGTCTCCAACCATGCCCTGGTCTGATATGCCCAAATCTCTTCCCAAAATACTCCCGGCATAACCTCCAGCCCCTAATGCTGCTGCTGCAGCTAGTCTATTCCAAAAATAGGTGTGATCTGGGGGGATTATTAAGGCAACATGATCCATCTTATTGATTAGCCTCTTGGTTTAATAAGCCGGGTTAAGCTGACTCTTAGCACAGTGCTAGGAGTGAAGACTGGCAAGACTTTTTTGCAATATAAAAGGACACTTAATGATGCATCAGATAAACTTGCTTTGGGAGTGTCTCCCAAACCCAGGCTACCAAAAGTGAAATGAAGGTAGCTCTTGATGCTGCTGCCAGTTAGTGTAACACTTGATAAACTAGAAATGAAATGCCCCATGTTCTATTGAAATATACTGGAATATATTTAAATCCCCTGGTTATGAACCCATTTGGGCCACTAGGGACTGGAAGTCCCTGTTCGTGAATTTCATTGCAAAGCCAACTTTTTAATCAAAGAAGCAGAGTTATTTGTCAGCTGGGTGTAAGATGAGAGAAATTCATCCAGTGAAACAGTTCCACCTAGAGCCATTTTCCATTTTCACTCCAAATGGATGGATTTATTTTGGAAGAACAGGGTGGCTTTTAGCTTCTACTGTAGCATACAACACAACTTACTTGTTTGAGCCATCTAGATTCCCTTGTCCCAAAGGGAATTCTGGTATGGAGCTGAATGATGGGGACTAATGAAAAGTGTAGGAGAAGGAGTCTCAAAGTTTGTCATAATGAACCTTCCCAATGTTGAGAGATGCTGGTAGCTGGCAGGCATTGAAAAGCAGCACATTGCAAAATTCCCCTAATCTAACTCTTATTAAATGTACCATCTCAGTATGGACCTGACAAGCTCTAATGGAACAGTGAGACCTAAGAAGCAATTGGGCTGAGGGTCTGATACAATCAGCCATGTCATTTTTGACCACAGTTCCCATTGCATACAAAGACTAACGCTGCCTCTGTGTACACATGTAAGCTTCTCTCTCTTCAAAGGCATTAGTTGAGCTGCAGTGGTATTAAAGAATATTAGCCAGTTATAGGGGGAGAAGAGGAAATCTTCATTTTTAGCATTCCCCAGTGAAAGTGGGGGGGGGGCAAGCTTTGCCTTGGGCAAAAGCGGAGAAGAGGCTTGAGGGTGTGCAGGACAACTGTGTAGCTACATGGAGGAGAGGGAAAGATGCCTAGCTAGGGGACAGGAGGAGCTCTCTCTGCAGAGGGCAAGGAGCCTGGCTGCTGGGACCCCCAACTGCCAAGGCGATGGGAGGAAGACTCTACCGGGGACGCTTTAATAGGAGCAGCTGCACTATGTTTGGGGGACAAGAAGGACAACGGCTGAATGCCATGTATTGGTTTGAAATAGTTAACGAAAACCAGTGGTTAACAACAACAGAAAGAAAGTTAACCTGTCCAAATATGGGCAAACCAACTTTGTCCTGCGGAGTGCTGCAGAAACTCAATCCCAAGTGATAGGGGTTCGGGAGGCAGATTATTCTGTGATATTTAGGAAGCCTGGAAGATGGTGAAACTGGGTATTGGCTTGTACATCAGGCCTAAGCATTGCAAATGGAGCCCTTCCCTTGCTGCCCCCATGGATTCAGTTTACAACATGCAGGCTTGGAAGATCTAGGGCATGCATGGGGTATATTGTGCCCTGGACCTTCTGCTGGTTCATGGCATGAAATGAGACCTTCCTCAGATAACTCTGTAGGCATGGCAGGGAGAGTCTGAGCTGCACCATGCAAGTTACAATGGGTGCCTCTAAGCCCTGGCAAAAGCCAATGGCAATTCAGAGGGGCTGGAGACTTGTGTGCAGGCCTAAGGTGGCCTGGTGAGATCTGTTCTGAATCCTGGCTGGCCAACCACAGGAAATGATAAACCCTCCACCCCATTCTCAGCCCTGGCACAGGGACTATCTCAAATGACTGCTGGTCAAACACACCAAGTCTTTGCTCCAAGTGGTGTGAGAAGTGATCAGAAATTGGGAAGGGTGGCTTGTGGGATGTCTTTATTGTCTACCATCTGGTGAGCTCTGAGTTAGTGGCAGCAATTTCCCCTACAAGGGTGATGAGCCCATTCAGATGGTTCATCCTTGGAGATTTATTGGATCTCATGAGTTCCTAAACCTTTCCAATGAGGAAAGCTTATGATCCCGTTGCAGCCCTGGTCTCGCTGTCAGGTATATTTGTTTTTAAAACCATTGCTGTAATTATTGACAATTATTTTATATACACCACTTAAATATTTTTCTGAGTAAGCAATCTATAATTTTTTTCCTATATATATATATATAAATCAATAAACCCAGCCAGACCACAAATCCTCCACCAAGTATTGGCTTGTTCTAGAATTAGGAAGTGATTCCCCTGGGAAGCCTAGTGAAATATGTTCCCCAAGGAATCATGTGACAACCCATGATGAGAATTTTATCCCACTGGCTCTCTGCTATTTCACTCAGCTCAGCCATTTTGGCAGCATGCGCCTGCTCACATCACTTCTTCCTGAACACTGAACTGGCACACCTGCTGTTTGAGCCGGCGAATCAGTCAAAAACTCTCACATACATACATGCACATGCTCACATACAATATATTCATAATTAACTGCTTGAATTGCCTTTGGAAAATCTCTAACCTGCTGTACAAGTCATAGGTATAGAAGACCATTTTCTCCAAGTTATTCAGAAGGCAGTTCGCATTGAATCAAGACATGGATTAGGGAAGGCTCACAGCAGCTCATGCCTGCAGAGTACATTCTGTGCATTGTTGTTGTTGTTGTTGTTTAGTCGTTTAGTCGTGTCCGACTCTTCATGACCCCATGGACCAGAGCACGCCAGGCACTCCTGTCTTCCACTGCCTCCCGCAGTTTGGTCAAACTCATGCTGGTAGCTTCGAGAACACTGTCCAACCATCTCGTCCTCTGTCGTCCCCTTCTCCTTGTGCCCTCCATCTTTCCCAACATCAGGGTCTTCTGCATTCTGTGTGTGCAGAAGGTCAAATCCCCAGCATTTTAACTTTTAGAAGGGGTCAGGTCAGAAGTGACAATGAGAAAGATGGCTTCCAGAGTGGAAACACCCAAGGCTAAGTGGGCACAGGGTAGCCTGACCCTTCTACAAGGCCTCTGGATTTGTTCCTTGATTTCAATGCCCGTTCTGTAAAAATAATAAAAAAATGGCACCCATGGCAGTAGACAGGTGTCAGGGATGTGTTTTGTTGCCTAATTACTTGAGCCAGATTGGAGCGTAGCCTGGAATTAATATGGAGGCCTTGTGGTGAGTTGTTGGGTGAGAGGTCAGTCCAGAAAATTTTCCTCAGATGGTTGGCCTAAGCATGGGCAGGACTGGGCTTTGGGCGTTTCTTCTTCCTTGTTCATTAGGCGTTATTTATTCCCTCTCATCCCACCACAAGCTCCTCAGATACAACTACAGACATCAGCCAGCCAAAACAAACTGTCCCCCCCCCCCCCCGTTCTGTTTTCTGCTCTGATTCCAGGCTGACATAAGATCCAGAGAGTACATCCGGAAACATTTGGAAGCCGTCTCTGCATCACCTCAGCCAGAGAGGTAGGTGTGGGCGATTGGGTGGGATGCGTGGCCGCGCATCCCCTTTGGGCAATCTGCTTTTTTAATGCTCTTCAGTAATGGCATTAAAGGGACAGCTAGGGTAACTTGGCAAGGTGAAATGACCGCAGGGCCCACACAGCCTCCGGGAGCAGGCTATTTCCAGCAAAGCACCGTGTTGCGCCATGTGTTCTCTAGGTAATCACGTGGCTCCGCGCTGGACATGGCAGAAATGCGTTTGGTCCGCGTTTGCCTTCAGAAGGTCACAGAGGATTTGCTATCCTTTGAGCAAATGCAACAGAAGCCAGTGGTGGTATTGCAGAAAAATGCAAGTCTTGAAATGGATGGGGTGGGCAGAAGGTAGACTTCTGGCTGCTCTTCTTGGGAGCCAGTGTGGTGTAGTGGTTAAGAGCGGTAGTCTCGTAATCTGGTGAACAGGGTTCGCTTCCCCGCTCCTCCACATGCAGCTGCTGGGTGACCTTGGGCCAGTCACACTTCTTTGAAGTCTCTCAGCCCCACTCACCTTACAGAGTGTTTGTTGTGGGGGAGGAAGGGAAAGGAGAATGTTAGCTGCTTTTCGACTCCTTTGGGTAGTGATAAAGCGGGATATCAAATCCAAACTCCTCTTCTTCCTCTGCAGTAGATTTATCCACAGTTTCTTTCCCAATTCCCACTTGTTCCACAATTGCAACAGCAAAATTGCTTCGCACAACCTGCCCTTATGAGTTAGGCTACTGAGAAGATGAAGAAAGCTTGGGGGAAAACCCTGAGTGGATTTGTGTGTGTCAGGATTGTGTAGCTCAGTTTCTGTCACTGTGAAAACCAATTCTTGGGCTGAGCATGTGCTCTGCTCTACCCTGTTCCCTGGTTTTCTGTTGCCACTATGTTGAACCCAGTTTCAGTTGGTTCTTGTAACGAAACCAAAGTTGATCCTGCAAGCCTGGAGGTTGCCCATTCCAGTTCAGAGTTGCAGGACTCTGGCAGCTCTGGGCAGTGAGACTGCTGCATCTTCTATGCTGTGTTAAATCCGCAGTCACCCAGGTGATGTTTTGCTCCTACAAACCAACCCACGTCACTCCGGCTTGCAACCAGGGCAGATCTGCTCTGTTCAGAGGGGGAGGGTGGAGTTTAGGAGGATAGTTGATGAGGAAAGGGATTAATCTCTGAATGGTGCAGCAGAACTTTTAAAAAGCATTTGACCTAGCGTGGTGGGGAGGGGCAGATTAGGTGCTGTGGATCAGGCGGCAAAATGTTTTGGTCTGGCCCTGTTTGCCACTCTGCTCCAAACCCTGTTTTCATTCCAGTTCATTTCTGCTTCATTCCAGATCTGCAATCCAAATGTGATGCTATGTCCAAATAATAAGCCAGAATCCATTTTTTTATGCTGTCATTATTGTCCTTTCACTGCACTTATGACCTGCCTGTTATCTGTAGTGGCTTCATTTTCAGCCCCTAGATCCATTTTCAGCCTAGAATGTCCACTGACCCTGGGACCACCTCCATTCATAATACGCAAGCCCTGCCTTAGAGGTTAAAGGCAGCCAGAGAAGCTGTTTTGAAGATGCTTCCCCTCCGTAATCTGACAGTTGCCTTCAGGCTGAAGCTCTTGGAGGAGCAGGGATCGTAATCCTGGCAGGGAGGGAGTGATAGGTGTTTTAAGTGAGTGCAAGTGTCAGCCCCCCTGAAAGGCTATTAGCATTTATCTGCAGGCGGGATAATGGAAGAGGTGAAGATGAGGCAGGCCAAGTCCCTCTGCAGAGAGCTGGCAAATTGCCCTCCTACCCTTTGGAGCCTGATGCATGCAGGATTCTGCCTTCATTCAGGGCACTGGGGTTTGAGAACCATCTGCCACCATCCCAGCTGTTGTTGTCTCTGTTCAGCTCAAGGGGTGCTGAGTGCAGGATACGCCCCCAGCGTGCGCTGCCCCAGGCCAAGGCTCTTGTGCCCTCCTGTCCCATGCTGCACCTGCTTTTTATGATAGTTGTGTTTGCGTGTGTGTGTGTGTGTGTGTGTGTGTGTGCATGTGCTGGGAGTGTTTACCAGGGCTGCAAGTTTTTAACAGGTTTGCGTTGCTCAGCGTAACCCCCAAATGGCGCTGTGCTTGATCTATTCTAGATTCAGGAAAGGTACATGGATTCTGAATTTATTGTTATTCACGTTTTATACTGTATTTTACTTTTGTTGCATCAATTAAGTGTTTTAAATTTGTTGTTAGCCGCCCTGAGCCCGGTTTTTGAACTGGGATGGGCGGGGTACAAATAAAAAATTATTATTATTTATTATTATGAGAGGTGGATTCTCTCCACCCCCAGATCATGGATTCCTCGGTGCTTTTTGTTCTATACTCCTTTTACACATTCTAGGCTAAAAAGGGAAAGACACTCTGATGTAGGTGCTTATTCTGCCCACACTTTCCCAGAGGTACAAGCTATTTTGATGCCTTGAGCTTCACCTCTTTCTTGCTGCTGTTTGCCCCTGTCATAGGTTTCCAACAAGGCTCACAGTGCAGGGGCAGAGCTGGGCAGCACACGTTCGCCATGGAAATCCTGTTCCAACCAAGAAAAATATTGCATGCCATCTCTGCTTAGGCCCTGATTTCTCTAGTGCTTGGGAGGGTGTGGGTATGCAGTTCCAGGGCTTCTGTTCTGCACAATTCTGATATGTTGGGGACACCCACCACCAAAGGCACACTGCCCTATGGCTGATCTTGTGGGGGCTACATCTCAGAAGTGGGAATGGCTTAAATGCAAAAGGCCACAAGCGAGGCCTGCAGTTCTCAAGGCTGCCTTTTGAGAACCTTTACCGTCAACTATTCTACGATGTCTTAAATCATGCCTTATCATTCATTATTGATTATTCAGTTCAGGAAAAAACAAATTAATTTTTTATTGAAGGACAAGTAGGGGTGGGGGTGGGGAGGGCGCAGTGTCCTGGGGAATCACAAAAAGCTTTTTAGATCACGGTGTCGCAGCAGGAGGCCAGTAAGGGAAAACGTACTTCATTGTGTGTGTGTGTTTTTCAAAATTGAAAGCTATATATTGGCGGGGTCGAATGTGGCAAGTTGTGGGGTCTGCAAAAAAAACTTTTGGCATCAAAGCAGGGGACCCTCGAGAGCAATGTGTGTGTGTTTAAACAGGGTTGGGGAACATTTTTCAGCCTGAGGGCCACATTCGCTTCTGGGCAACTTTCCAAGGGCCGTCCGTATCCTTGTGATAGGTTGGACTTGAGAGAAAAATGAGGAAATGTAAATTTTACCCTGGTGCATTAGGCTTGTTTACACACACACACACACACACACACACACACACACCCCTTCTCTATCCCCCATCCTGACAAGGAAGAGATACTAACAGAGTTCTAGTATTTATTTTAGCTGGAGTACGAAGCAGGACAAGGGCGAAGTAGAGTTCTGAGGGATAGCTAGAGAGGCCTAGCGGGCCGCAAATGCCTGCCGCCATTTTAAAAGATGGGCGCATTGAGAAGGGACCCAGAAAAAACATTTGCAGTCATGGACTCATAGTGGGGGACTCATGCATGCATAGAGAAAATAAATAATGCTTTAAAAAAAAAAAAATACAACTTTGTGGTAGCGAGTTTTGTGAGGGGGCAGGGCAGCCTACGGCCTGCAGGGCATATCTTAGCCACTCCTTGTCTAGTATGAGCTGTGCCAAGTTGCAAGGCCTGAGACCTCCCCACCCCCCAAGTGGAGGTTGGTGTTAAGGGCACTTTTCTTTAGCAAGCCAGTTCACTTTGACTGAGAAGTCCTATTGCATTTTGAGGGGCTTTACTAGAAAGTAAATGAGCTGAGGATTGCCGCTTCTGTTCCTCCAGGTATCACAGCAGCCGCCTACAAATACAGAAACCTGCGACTGTAGGAACTGTTCCCGTCAATAAGTAATCTCCAAATAGTGGCTTTTGTTGAGATACTAAAAATGTTACACAAATTGGCTAATTAATTAGCTAACGGCAAGGCTGTTGATGAGATTTTTTTTTAAAAAAAACTCTAATTTGTTTGGCAGCTGTGGAAGTGTTCGTTCTTTCCCCCTCTTTTTAATACCTCCTCTCCTCTCTAGGATGAGTGAAGACGCAGACTCTGAACATTAATGCAGCATTGAGGACGTTCTTTGAAACCTCTTTGTCCGGGACAAGTGACACAACGACCTCCCAGCTGCTCTGTGACTTCTGTTGACTTCCCTGTGCAGACCTTCAGCAGAAGGAACAATGGAGCTTCAGTGCCACCAACATTGTGGCCCTGATCCCCCAGTCGTACAGCTGGGGCAATCTCGGGGCTGCTTCTCACCTTTTGCAGCAGGAAATACTCTGTTGGTTACCAGAGCCCGGACTATATGCAATGTTAGTTGCACAAAGAAGAAAATGTACACAGCACTACTGCAATGGGAACAGGTAAAAGTTCAAATCCGTGTGTTGGGGCAATAGGAATAGCATTTGTGGGGACCCTGGGAGTGAAGTGTAACTCTTTCCTTGCCTACCAGAGTCCCACCTCTTCCCCGAAGCTGGTATTTGCATTTCGGAGGAAGGGCTTGTTTACACTTTCACTTCTCCTGTTCCTAGAAAGCAGTTTTGCACTTGACCTTTGTCCCGCAGCTTTCCCCTGATAAACGCACTCTTCAGTGCTAAATCAGAACAAACAGCAAACCTAGTTGTGATTATCCTCAGGTTCCCACTGGCATTAATAGAAATGCAAATAGTTGTATTGGAGAAGCAGGTCTTCTTGGAGCCACAACAGAGTTCAAGTCCCCCTCCTCCTCATGGTCTTGAGGCTGCTCCCTCTTCCCTGTGGGCGAATTGCATTCACACAACTTGCATCGCCTCTAGTTCAGCCCTTGATTGGGAAACTGCATTCTACCCCAGTTGCTCTCAATAAAAATTTGGGCAGGTCCATATATTACATTTTTCTGTGCACGCATTTAGAGAGCATTGTCTTAAGCTTGCAATGCGTGAAGAAGAAGCCCCAACTCCTGCTGTGAAAGGAGTGGAAACTGAGGAGTGGGCATGCAAGAGCATCACCTGTGCCTGTCTGTCTTCTTTCCTCACACAGCCACACACAGGTCAGGAAGAAAGCATTGCTTCTGTTTGTAAGATCTTAGTCATATTTGAGATCTTCAAAGTGCCGAAAATAAACCTTTGTTGGTAATCTCTGAACGATTGTATTTCCCACACACACACACACGTGCGGTTTGCCAACAAGGAGGCGTCCGAGAACCTGTGCTCAATTCTACAGCAAGAAACCAGGCTGTGTAGGGCTGCTAATGGGGAAATAATACGGCAAGGAATGGGAATTCCAAGGGAAGGGATTCCATTAAAGGCTGTGAGTTTAGCCAAGCAATATAGCTCAACTCATATGGGCAGTGTTCTCTCTGTTTCTCTCCCCTCCCGCCCTTTTGCTTGAGCTTTTCTAGCGACATCAAGTCACTCAGCCTCCTGGCTCATTCTGCTCTCCGCTCTGCCGTGATCATTTCTGCCACTTTCACACCTCCCTTGGGAGCAGATGCTGAATCCCCAACTCCTGATGGTCCCAGCAGATGGATAGTGAGAGGACTCTGTGTATCCCGTGGGTGGGTGTAGCTTGAGGAAGCCAACAATCTGCCTCCTTGTTTTGTAGGAGGCCCGGGCTACGCTCAGGCTGCAGAATCTTGCCGGGTGCCTCAGTGAAGCAGCCTTTACTTAGCCCACAAGGGTGACAGTGTTTTGCCTTTGAGAGTTGGGCTTGCAATGGCCAGCAGGGTCTTACGGCAGCCAGAACTGGAAAAAGGAGATTCATGTTGCCTTGCTCACATGCTCTGGTCTGGCACCGTATTAGTGGGAGCCTGACCAGGAAACTCCAAGAAATGCTTCAGACCTATGAGTTTTTTTAATATAAAAAAAGGTTTATGTAGCTAACTTTATTTTGCGTGATATTAAAGCATTAGTTAAATCTAAGCAAATGTTCATGGTAGTGAACTGTTAGTAGTCAGAACAAATAATAGGTTTCATTATTTCATTAATTGTTGTGCCTTGTGGAATTAGTCCACAGTTGCTCAGGGTGTATGTAGGGACTCAACCATTCAGCCCTCCTCAGTATTAACAGGGGAAACAACTACTGTAGAAATAATATGTGTATTGTATACCTATTTATGCTTGTGGCAACTGGAACAACAGGCCTCAGGAGAAACTCCAGCATGAGCATTCGTCTCATCCTCTGCTTATTTCGGTCCTGTGATCTACTCCAGATCAACTCTGACAATGGCACTTAGCCTTGACCTATGAGTGCATTTGTCATCTCTCTCCCGCCTTGCCCCCACCCCACCCTTCAGGTTTGCTAATGCCCTTCAATCCCATCCCACAGTCCACCTGTTACGCAAGGCCTCAGCTCCTCCCATCCATGTTGAATTAAGCCCCACGTCTCTTCGTTTTGACCTGCAGCCCCCACTTCACCCCCAGCTGCACAGCCCAACTCTTGGCTCCCTTTTCCTCAATCCCATCCCACAGTCCATCTGTTATCCTGAGCTTTGGTTCTCCCCCTCTTCCCCATTTATCGTGATGTGCCATTCGAGCTCCTCCTCCACCGCCCGCTCTCCTCTTAAATCCAATCAGCAGCATCCTCCTCTTCCAACACCTTGGCTTTCCTCCGCCATCTCTGCTTATGCTGATGGCACCAGATCCTGGGCCTGAGTCCCTTTCTCCAGTGGCAATCCAGGTCTTTACAGCATCTGAGACCGCCTGGGTACCCAACACAGCTTTGCAAATATCCTTGCCATCGCCAGCCTTCCCTGGGAGCTAGCTCTTTGCTTAGTGAGTGGCACAATGGCCCAGTGCTGTCAAGGAGCCAGACGAAGGGAGGGAGGGGGGAGTCCTTGCAGCTGGCATTTCCCTTTTGCAGCAGCCACAGTCTCAGCTCCCAGATGTGAGCTGGGTGGGGTGCTCAGCTGTGACTCAAAGCTGGGGTGGAAGTCAAGGGGCTGGAGAAGAGGGGGTGTTAAGCAGCTTCTGCCACCCAAACATCTTGTAACGGGGAAGGATCTGCAGAAAGTGTCATTGGCGAGCTCTGCCTGCAAAAGCAAATTCACTCTGGCTGAGTGAGATGGTGCCATCTGTGCACAGCTGTTAAGGTGGCAGTGCCTGAGCCCCTAGGCCACCTGCCAGATGGGTCCATCCATCATTCCACTGCTCCACCTGTTCACCTACTCAGGTTCTGTTGGTTGCTTTGGAACGGGAAGATATATAGCAGGGTATATAGGTATATAGCAGGGCCGTTTGGAAGAAAGCCTGCAAGCTGTCAGAAAGAAAGAAAACAGAGAGGGGTGTGAGAAAAGAATGGGATACCCCGCTTACTCTGTTTTCTTAGAGAACAGAGCCCAAAATTAGCAAGAGGTTGAAGAGCAACAGTGAGTGAATGGCAAGGGGTTCATGGACCCAGCCGATGCAACCTGGAAAGCAACAGAAAAAAGACACACAGAGAGAGACCACCGTCTCCCATAGTCCTTTGTGGCTTCTGAGGATGCAGGAAGGGAACCTTCTGGAACATTGGGCAAGACAGGAGGGAACCCACCCCACAGCACAGTGTCAGCTAGATGCCTTTTTCTTTTTCTGCCTGCTCTCCGCGCCGGCAGCAGGAGAATGGGAAAGTGCCTTCCTACTCAGTTCTCTCCTGCCTGCCACGAAGAGCAACAGAATGTTCATTTTTCCCCCCAGAGCTGGTTTCTGTCTCCAGAATTCTCCCTTCTGCCGCCCACTTTTAGTCAAAACCTTCCCTCTGTCACATTAGTTATTTCATTAGTGTGTGTTGAATCTGGAGGGAGGATCAAGGCGACAGGGGAGGGTGGCGTGATGCGAAGCCCACCAGCAGGAACGTTGGGTTGGCTCAGCTGTCACATGTCTGTGCCACATGCTCACCTTGCCATGTCCTCCCGCTCTCCATTCTCATAAGCAGCAACAACAACACACCTGCCAGGAAGTCAGGCTAGAGCTTCTATCACATCAGACCACCCACCCCTGAGCACCCTCCCATCACCCTTCATAGGCGAATTTAGGGGAGTGGGACCAGTTCGCCCACACTGAGTGCCACAACAATGATGTAGAGTGGAAGGCAAGAAGGGGAGGGGTGCCGTGGCACTGGATTTTGCCGTCACCCAGGGCGCTGCTGACATTTGAAAGCCTGCCACTGCATCATTGGCCATGCTGGCTCACAGTTGGGATTCCAACAACATCTGGGAGGCCACAAGTTTCCTATCCCTGGCCTGTAGGGGTCGATGGGACTGCACAATTATTATCTAGCACCTAATACAAAGTCCTGTAGGTGTGGCAGAATCTGGGTATCTTCCCTTGATTCCTTTTTAAAAGGATAAGCTTTTAACTCTCCTGGTTGCAGACAAAAACGGGGTAGCTTCTGCAAAGCTTAGGATAACTGAGACTGCGTATGTCTGGGTGAATTTCCAATAACCAAGGCATCACTTGAACGTACTATTCCTTCCCCTTACCCCTGTCTCCTGCATACTTACACAGCTGTTACCTCCTTTAACATGCCCCAGAAGTCCTTGCATAGCACACCAGTTCCAAAGGAGCTTTGTTGGTTGTCAGTTTGCTACCAAACCACATTCAAGATGTTTGTTGTGGCATATAAAGCCAGATCAGGGACCTAGATCAGGGATGACAAAATCAGTGACCCACCCAATGTTACTCCTATCAGCCCCAGCCAGTATAACCAATGACTGCAGAATTCTGGGACATCAGCAACATCGAGAGGACCACAGGTTCCCCATCCTGGACCAGGATTCTTGACGGAGCCCTTGTTCTCATAGGCATCTGCCCTCATGATTTGATCTTGTGTGGATGTCCTCTTGACTGTGCCACATCTGCCAAACATCTACTTTGTGGCAACACATGGGAGGGTGTTCCCAGCGCTAGTGCCCTAGTTATGGATTACCCTTCCCTCTCAAGTTCAACTGGTGCCACCCTGATGGATTTTCAGTGCCAGTTTCACCCAGGCTTTTATTGGTGGAGATGGTCTCATCTGCCCCCCACCCAACCTGTTGACTTGTTCCTACTTGCTGTTTTAAGGTTGTGTTGATTTTAATTGTGTTTTTAGTTTATCATATTGCCGCCGCCCCCCACCCTCCCGGATTATATTTAATGCAAGGTGGACTATAAATCTCACAAATAAATAAATAAATACGTTGCAATGAAGCAGCTATGTTGAACTCAGCTGAGTTAAACACACACCTACCTTCTCAGTACATAAATCCCATTGTTTGGTTTCTATTCCTGATCCTGCAGACACAATGGCGGATTAGCCTGGTCTTTATCTAATGGGTTTAGAAACAAGAAACAGGAAAACCTCATTCAATATTCGTGGATCGCCAGCCTTAGTGGAAAGACACATGTTTGGAACTTTCCTCCACCCCTGAGACCCTTTAAACTCCTTTCCACTGGATGCAATCCCTGGCCAAGTTTTATTATATTATGCCTGGTGATTGTTAGCAGTAAACCTATCTCTCCAACAGTGGTCTGAGAGATTTTTGTGCACCTCTGCATACCTATTTGGCAGGCTCTCTTCCCCTACATTAAATACACAAAAGTGCTTAAGGCTGCAACCCTAACCCCACTTACTTTGGAGTAAGTCCCAAGGAGCCAAGGAGTTCAGTAGGCCTTGCTTTTGAGCAGACACTGTTAGGATTGTATGGTGAAGAGGGATCATTTGCCAGGTCCACATGCAGGGCAGAGCTGGGTCCATTTCTTTCTCTTTTTCTATAATTTTTATTAAATTTTCTGTTTTACATTTTAGAATATTCATTCAAACAACCTTACAATATCAATGACTTCCCTTATCTTTCCATGGTTCATTTTGCATAATATAATCCTTGCATATTTTATATAAACTAAGCCATTCAGTATTCCATTATTATATCCATCAAAACTTACTTGCAATGTTGAATTTATCTTAATGCTGGCCACATTTTCAAATGTACACAATTTCCCCCATATATTCAGTAAACATTTTCCAATCTTCTTTATACATATATTCTTCTTGTTCTCTTATTCTATACGTTAGGTCTGTGAGCTGCGCGTATTCCATCAGTTTAAGTTGCCATTCTTCTTTCATTGGGACTTTGCTTTTGGGGCTAACTAAAGGTAAAGGGACCCCTGACCGTTAGGTCCAGTCGCAGATGACTCTGGGGTTGCGGTGCTCATCTCGCTTTACTGGCCAAGGGAGCCGGCGTACAGCTTCCGGGTCATGTGGCCAGCATGACTAACTAAACACCGTCCATTTCTGGCACGTCCCATCCCAACTCAGAAAACCATCCTATCTCCCTAACAGCCCCAGAGCCCCAAAGGAAAAACTAACTAGCTTTTCTATAAGCACAAAATATCTTGCTTTGTTAGATGCCATTCTCTTTCCTCTTTTTTTAAAAAGTGTATTCTTAATGAGAGCAATAACTCTTAAACAGATGTGTTTCTGGCCAGGAGGAATTGACTTCCCCCGCCTTGTCCTTGTCCATAACTTCTGGCCAGGAGGAATTGACTTCCCCCGCCTTGTCCAGCCCATAACTTCTGGCTAGAGACCCTGCAAGTGTGAAGATAAATCAGGCTTCTCCACACACACACACACACACACACACACACACAGCCCAGAGCTCCATCTGCCTGAATGGAGGCACTAGAAGAGGCATCTGGCACTCTCTTTGGAACCCCTCCTCACTTTGACTCAGCAGCCTGTTCCCGGCATGAGTCAAACCCACCTGGCCTGTCCCCACTCTGCCTCCCATCCATGCTACATATTTCGGAGCAGGCTGCCTCCTTGTGCTGCCCTCTTCACCAGCATATTCATGAGGTGCCCATGTGGCCTTCCTGAACCACAGCTGCGTGGAGTGTGCATCCTCCTTCAGCTGGAAAACTGGTAATTAAAGTGAAGAATGACATTTAAGCTTCCGCTGGGTGGGAGGAGAGAGGCTCCCAAGCATCTGGGTAGCATCATGCTCTTGATTACAAGGTTGGCTGTGCAAAGAGGACCTCTCAAGCATGGATAACCCAGCCCAAAATTTGCAGAGCCAAGACGTGAACTAATTTCAGGCACTATCATTTGCAGTCTTGGTTCTTGGTTAGCAGTGCCCCTTTGGCTTTTATTAGCATTAATATTTCTTTTGCAACAGCAATACGGCACTGTCTGTGCATATGATGATAAAAGGGCAAGTCCCTGCCCTGAGGATCTTGCAGTTTAAAATTCGACCCAAGGAAGGCAACAGAAATTACAGGAAACTGAGCTTAGTGGTGGGCAAAAACTCAATAGATGGTGGTTATTCCCATCACTATATCTCAATGGCAGCAGAACCATTGGTCCACTGCAGCATCTGTTTTGCATGCAGAAGTATCCAGATTCAATCCTGGCATATCCAAGTAGGAAGGCACACCAGCTTGAAACTCTGCAGACAGCTACTGCCAGCCACTATGGGGTAGCCAATATACCACCCTCCATATGTTGCTGGACTACAGTTCCCATCAGTGTTAACCATTGGTCATGTTGGCTGGGGCCAAGTCCAAAAACATCCATGAGTGGCTACCCGTGGAAGACAATACTGAGTTGGATGCAGCTGTACTCTGGCTCAGCTTGCTGTATCCAAGACAAGCTCCATCTGCTAACTTTCTGCCTATCATGCAGCTATTTAAAGGCACAAGGGCTCTACTAGAGGGGGAAAGAATATCCTGTTAGGCAAAGGGAAATGCTGTTCTGCCCCCCGCATCCCAGAAGACCACAGCCATGCTCTTTTCCTGGAGCTCCATTCATTTGTTTTATTTATTAGATTTATATACCGCCCTTCATAATAAGATCTCAGGGTGGTTCACAGAATAAAATGCAGGATAAAAACAGCAAATAATTAAAAATTAAAACAGCAAATCAATAACCTCCCTTTCATTTGCCGCATCTGAGCCAGTGCTTTGTGTTCAGCAATGGGTTCTTTGGGTGAAACACAAAACAGGAGTATCATGGCCATAACAGGGAAGAGGACAAGGCTTGTGCACATATAAAAATTGCGAAGAAGAGGGTTTCCAAGCAGTAGCTTGCAGTCTCATATGCAATCTGTCACCATGTATAAAGCTCCCTTCAAAAAGCAAGGAATGGGCTGGGCTAGAATATTTCTCTCCCCCCCCCCAATGTTTGGTAGTTCTTTATTTACAGGAGGTTTAAAACCACCAGCACCAGGGGCAGCCCGCCCCGTTTTGCCACCTGAGGCGAAACAGGAATTGCTGCCACCTCCCCCGCTACTGCCACCATCGCCACCACCGCATCCCAGCTCTTGCCAAACTCGGTACTCCTGAAAGCCTTGCTGTTCAGCTTCTTCCTGAGGCGGGTAGGGAGCTGAGCAGCAACGAGGTGTGCAGGAACACCCTGGCTCTCTCATTGAACTTGACGGTTCGGCGGGAGCCAGGGACAGGGAAGATGAGTGGAAATGCCACACGTCGAAACACCTCCCTCACTGCGGCGGAAGTGGCGGGGCAGGTGGAGCCCTTGCACTTCTACGGCCTGAGGCAGGTTCTCGACCCCACCTCATGACAACATAAAAAGAGCCTCCTCGACCAGGCCAATGGCTTATCTAGTCCTGCTTCCCGTTCTCACAGTAGCCAACCAGATGCCTTTGGAAACGCCACAAGCAGGACCCAAGCACAAGAGCACTCTCCTCTTCCTTAAGCTTCCAAGAACTGGTATCCAAAAGCATTACTGTGTCAGGAGTGTGTACAGGAGCCAGGCCCTGTGACCAGCAGGAGTAGGGCCTTCCTAAGTTTGTTCTGAGGAGGCAAGGCGCGGCCGCATAGGTGAGGCCGATTGGTAACTCACAGCACCTGGTGGCAAGAGCCGGGAAGGGATATAAGGTCAGCATTTCCCTTCGGCGCTTTGCCACAGGAACACGTTTCCTGCCTTGCTGCGTTTGGCT